GGAAATGGCGCTGTATCAATATGTTAAACGAAATATGGGTCGGAATCTAACTTAACCTTCTGTTAAACGGTTTAATATGTTGTATACCCTTAAGAAATTTGAGTAGGCAAATTATTTATTTAAAGACGTTAAATTCGATAAATGTCGAGTGCGCCATCCCTGTAGTGAGATTTCGTCGTGAAAACCACGATTAGCGATTCAAAATGAGATCGCAATCACGCGCAAGTGCGTACAATCTGGAAATCGTTTCTACAGATCGCTAATTTGTAATTTTGAAGCTGAATTTCGGCACTAAAACAGAAGATACTGATTCAAAACGCTTTTAATCGATTGGGCCAAAGAAATCTCTCATGTTATCTATCTAGTTCCATTGCATTCTCCTACTTCATTCGATTGCATAACAGTCATTTCACACCGTTTACTGTTGAATGACAGCTAGTTTTATAACTGAACCATTTTTTTTAAGAGCAGTCGACAGCTGGACCACTGCGATTGCAGTTCCTTAGAGCCAATATAAAATGTTTCGTGATACATGAACTGCAGTAACGTGGCATTTTAGATACTACGATTTTTATGCAGGGCTGGGCACCACCTCAAGAGTGTCGCATAGTTACTTAGCACATTTCACAAACGTCTTATAGGCCACACTCCCTCTTCCACCAAGCACCAACCGTGACTTTTGTCTATGAGGTTATCTCAAAAGCACCGTTTATGGGATATCTAACATTTGGCAGAATGAAATGTGATACCTGATAACTTCCTCCTGATATTCTATGGTAATGTGTATACGAGCCAGTTTCCTTAAAAAGTCCTCCACGAAGTCATCCCTCCTTTAAGGCAGATAGCACGAGTGCTTGTCGTAATCTAATAAACCAAACCAAAACCAAACCTGATATGCTAAGAGCTGCTGTTGAGAATGCAGTAACATGATTTAACTTGCTTTCGGAAAATGCTGGACGCTACATTGAAATGCTTTGTAACACGTTCGGAAATATTAACACATTTAAACAGATGTTTTTCGGTCTGATTTCATTTAACAATATTGTATACAGCGCCATTTTTCCCTGAGGTGAGTTTTTGAGAACTCTTTTTCTTTTTTCCGCGCGAAATAAATTCTCATAACCTCCTTTACACAATCCAAGTTTGATAACATTTGGTCCGTAGTTTTTCCTTATGACCATTCAAAGTGGAACTTTAATAACAACCACCATGTAAAATAAGCTTTAAAAGTCTGACTTTTGGTTCAAGTCCCACTTTAAAAAATATATATAAATATAAATTTTTATATAATTCTAGAAACAGTTTTAAGAAGCTAATTTTTCTCTCGCGTTATAGATGTATAAAAAACATGATCTTTAATATGATTTAGATTGTTCAGCCGATATAAGAATCGGGTGACTCGTGGTACAGAATAAACCCTGCTGGACTGTTTTATTTCTTTGTCATTTAGCAAAAATCTTTTAATTAAATTATTATCCTTTGGACTTCGCTTTAAACTTTATTTATAGCTAAAATGACTAGAAATGAAAAGCTGTCTTTAGCTGAAAACGCAATTCATATAATTGATATTTTAAAAAATTGACAAGAATGCAAAATGTATGGAAGCCTAGCAGTCGAAAAATCTTAATTTTCTTGTGTGAGCACTGAAAATAACTGTAGAAGGAAAGAAGAAAATTAGGGAGAAAAGTAAGCAAAATTTGCAGGGAAATTGGCTGTCAGACGTACCAAGATGTTCCAAAAAGTTGGACGCTTTCGAATATACTTTCAGAATACTTCAAGAAGTTGTGTTCAAAGAGAAAACACTTGGACGAGTACACCCAAAAATACCATCAATTGAGCTTGTGTTAACAGAAAAGCAAAACGATATCATTGCAGATTAAAGTGAAGAGCGACTGGTTTAAACTATATGGTTGTGTAAATGACGTTATAGAACATCATATCGTATCATAAATGGTGAATCCCATGATTTCCTCAATCGAATTATTTGAAGATTCAGGAGTTTATCCAGTGATGTATGTGGATGTCACTTAAAGATGTTTTTTTCCCTTCCTAATGAACTAGCGGCCGAGCGGTAAAGTCGCTGAACACTGGTAGTTCGGTCCGAGGTTCGAATCCCGCGAACGGGCTGGCTGCATGGGCGTTTTCGTGGTTTTGCCCATGTGTAACGTGTATCCGAGCCAGTTTCCCTTAGAAAGTCCTCCAGGAAGGCATCCCTCCCCTTAGGCAGATAGCTGTAGTGTGCTTTGTCATAATAAAATAAACCAAAACCTTTTGATGAAACCAGTCTTTCCTTTCATCTCATAGTTTCAAAATGTTTAGCCTCTAAAGGCTGATAAAGGCTCTGACGAAATACTTCGTGAAGAACTTTCTAAGGGAAACCAGCTGTCATACGCGGTGCACATGAGAAAATCCACGAAAACGCCCATGCAACCAGCCCGTTTACCGGGGTTCGAACCCCGGAGTGAACTACCAGTGTTCAGCAATTTTACCGCTCGGCCGTTTGTGGGCCTTTATGAAATGGAAGGCGATAACTTTATTTAAAATGATTGTCAGAAATACCAAAATGTTTCGAAAAGTTGGATACTTTTCAATATACTTTCAGAATGCTGAAAGAAACAGAGAAGAAAATAAATTTTTCGTAAAATTTAGTATTCGTATTTTATTTTTTAAATTTAAAACTTTTCAATCTTATGATATTTGATTCTTGCGATTTCAAAAATAAAATATTTGACTAAAATATGAATAATATTTTAAGAAAACCAAATGAAAAAATGTGTAAAGCAATGGGCACAATGATAAAACTGTTTTAAAGCAGTGTATGCAAGTCATCCTAAGTTAAAATATCGGGTTATACATCTCTCTTATTTATATATATTTTTTCTGAACGGAACATTGAAAGGCGTGTAAAACTGTGCTTTACGTATTTTCTCTTTTAATATAGTATGCAGTTTTCAAATGCATCGTAGTCTGGGTTACAAAGTATTCTTCCGAAAAAAAAAGAAATTCAAATAAATAAAATCAAATTCTGGAAAACTGATATTAATAATATATTTAAAATGCTCAGTTGAAGGAATAAATAGAAAATTTTAAAAACAATTATCTGAAGAGACAATGCAACACAAACAATTAAAATAAAGTATAAAATTTAAAAATGACCTAAAATAATAGCTATGACGAAAAATATATATAAAGAAAACTATTTTAAAAATAAAAATAAATAAACGCTGTACCTTATTTACGCAGTTCGAATAGGTAAATAGAAATTTTTAAAACAGTTATTCGGAAAAAAAAAAAAAAAAAAGGTGCAACTTAAACAATTAAAATGAAATTCGAAAGAAAAAAAATTACTTAAAATAATAAGTTATAATTAAAATATAATATAAAGAATATTATTTGGAAAAAAAAAAACGATGGTGACTTTTTTTCCTAAGGAAACTAGGTGCATATTTAAGAAGTTTGCCAAGTAAAGTATTCTTGGCGCAAACTGACAAAAAGTGCCAACATAAATTTTGTGAATTTCTCCGTAAATTTCGCTCCAAATTTTACAAAATTTCATATTTAGGCGTAATTTGAGTCGTAGAAATCGAAATATGTAAAAAAATTGGTATGTTATTTCAGAAAAAGTCCGATTTTGTGTCAAAATACCTATGTTAGAATAGTGCTATATATAAATCTAATATATATCCTAAGTCGCGCTTTCGAGACATGAAGAACGCAATTTGAATTTTGTCAATCGGCCCAGTAGATCGGGAGATATAGGACTGTCCCATTTTTTTTTTTTTTTTTTTTTTTGAGCAGTGTACATTTACTGTTTGCTACATGTAGCACGTCCTGTCTTACAACATGTTTGTGTAATCAAACCAGCCGGTTATTAGGACCAAAATGATCGCTTCCCAATGTGGTCCAATTAACCGGAATTGACTGTATTTAAATTGTCTACCAAATATAGGGAACAGAAATGTAGCTCTCTGCTTTAAAAAACAACTGAAAATAATAAATTGCCTTAAAAAATGAAAGGTTATTTATGTAAAATTCATTAAAATAAAAATAAAAAATCTAGCAGTCATATTCAGAAAGTCTTATTCAAATCAAGTGAACCTACTAGAACTTTTCCTGAAGTCGTTGATATCTGATTTCATTGTTTATTGTTCATTTAGTAAAATTAATAGATAAAATAACAAAATAATAGTTTTAAGTAGCTGCAGCTTGCAACATCAAAATTGTCTCTGTAAAAACGCAATCCAAAAAAAAACTTTGCTCAGTTATTTTCAGATTTGTAGAAAATTAGTTTAAAAAAAGTTATTTTTCATGTTATACTGCTACTCTTTCTATCAAAAAGATATGTGTTTTCTCCCCTTCTCCCTATAACTCTTATAGAATAAATCCAGGAATTTTAATCTGTTTGGAATTAGATATTTAATACTGCAGGAGAATAAAAAGAATTAATTTATTTAAATTTTAAACCAATTGGGAAAGCAAGAATTTACAGTAATTAACTGTTTAAAACTTTTTTATTTTGATATTTCATGTATTGAATCTCTAATTTTGCCTCTTAGGAGCAACTCTTTAGTATTTAGATAAAAATGAAATTTTATTTAGGTTGTTTTTCTTTTATAATAGGATATTAATTTTGCTTTATCTTATTGAAATGTATACATATCTTTAAAATTCAGTCAGATTACTAGCAATATTTGGTATTTCAATAATTAACTTATATTGTTAAATTTTCAGATTAATATAGTTGAGAAGAAAGAAATTCTTATTAAACTTATATTGTTAAATTTTCTGATTAATATTGAGAAAGAAATTCTTATTAGATTATTATTTTCTGATAATATAGTTGAGAAAGAAATTTATTAAACTTATATTGTTAAATTTTCTGATTAATATAGTTGAGAAAGAAATTCTTATAAACTTATATATTAAATTTTCTGATTAATATAGTTTAGAAGAAAGAAATTCTTATTAAACATATATTGTTAAATTTTCTGATTAATATAGTTGAGAAGAAAGAAATTCTTATATTACTTCGTACCTTGTTTCACACTTTGGCTATGGCTATGCGTTATGAACCTGCTAATGCCAAATTTTTTGCATCTGAAGTAAGTTATTATTAATACATGTTTTTTCTCAATTAATTCTTTTTTTTTTAAGTATTTTATGTGTGTAATGTCACATTGAAGATAAAAGTCTTGGGTTGTTCAGATGTGTAAAAGTCTTATAAAGGCATTAATGAAATACTTACATCATATTATTTTCCAATGATTTGTCAGCATTTGGAGAATACAGAGGGTGTTTGTTACACATTTTTGTAACTGTTTTGCAAGGATTTATATGCAAACAAACCTTAGAATTTTATTTTGTAATATGTTAGTCTGATAATATTTTATTTTGTAATATACTCAGTCTGATAACTCTTTTGTTGAACTATCATATTACATCTTGATTTTTAGGACAAAAGTTCTTTTCTTAAAACATCAATGTTGATTTTATTCTACTTTTCTTTCACAATCTTTCAGAGTCCATCCAATGTTTTAGGATGCTGCTTATAAAGAGCTTGTTTTAAAAGTCCAAATGCACAGATCATAGGAGACAATTTTTTCTTTAAAAATAGCTGTTAAAACTTATTAAGAAGAACTTTCCCTGTTTTCTCTTAACCAAAATATTAAGTATTTTTCTCCGCTTTTTCGGTAGTAAAATGATCTTTTACTGTTGCAATCAGGTAAGTATATCCAATCATCAATTGTAACTATATATTTCCATTTTTCACTTCTCAAATAATTTTCATACAGTAATCTGCACATAGTTTTAAGTCGAAAAACATGTTTCAGCATTAGGTTTCTTTCCTTTCATATTAATTATGTTACTTATTTTACGTACAGAAATATTAAAACCAGACTTTTCTCATCTAATTTCAATAATTGAATAAGGGTATTTTTCTTTGGACTGTGCAAAAATATAGCCTTCGATCCATTATTTATTTTTTGGCAACAGTTTAAAGAAAATTGTTGATGTTCCTGTGTTAGAATGGTGCCGAAATGGATGAAGTACTTTCGATTTTAAATATCCTTAATAAATTCAACCGCGCTCAGTCTATTTAAACCAAAATGAATACATTTAATAATAAAACATTCACACGTAAACATTTAGTAATAATTTAGCAATACAGATAAGCTTTAAAATAAGGATTACAACAGTTACAGGTCAGCTATGCTTTTAGTGACCGAATTCTATGAACGATAAATCTCAAAAGCATGTTGCCAACGCAGGGCAACGAAATGTGGAAATTAATTCGATAGGCGTGGAAGTAAACAAAAAGAATATTTTTAATGCAGCAGACTATATTTAAACCTTATTCCAATTGGGTGCCAGGCGCATTTGTATTTTAAATTTAATATTTAAATTTATGAAGAAAATCAAAATCATCACAAAAATGTATGAACACCCTCTGTTGTTGTATTTGTTGTTTCATTGTGTTATAATTTCAATTTATTAAAATTAGCATATGTTTTAAAATATATCTAAATGTTATTAGAATATTTCACATTCAATACTGTAATCCAGAGCTGCCAGGTGTTCTGGTAAAACTAAAAACTCCTGATTTTCTATCATGTTTTCCAATAACCTGCTAAATCTCCAAATGTCACATTTTTAATGCATTTCAAGATTATATCATATCTTTCAAATTAATGAATCTGTATCAAGAATTGTTGATCATTAAGTTTCAAAAGAAAAGAAAATGCTACGAAAAAAATTTTGATGATGAATCCTTAGAAAAACAATTGCACATTGTCATCTTTAAAGGAAACGTATGTTATGCAAAGTCAGTTTTTTCTTCCCCATAAAGGATTGTCAGTTTAGTTTTTCTAATTAATTTTTATTCAATTTGAGTTGAATACATTATGGAGATCTGTAGAACAGTTATGGAGACTAGTGTAGTGTAAAATCTTTAGAACAGTTAATAGGTAAATCTTTGTACTCAATTTTGTAACTAACATTTGATGTGTAGATTTTTCTATCTAATTTTGTTTTAAATCTTTAAAGGGTATATTACAAAATTTATTTATATACATTTTAATTTTTACTTAGTCCTTTGACAAGTAATAGCTTTTTATCTTCGTAATATAAAATTTTAAAAAATTACAAAGTTGAATACAATTAACTAAAGCATGTAACTTAAAGTAAAATTTTAATTTAAAATAAACATAAATTTAATAGATTTTCCATTAAAAATCATGTTAAAACTAGTTTAAAACTTGAATAATGTTGTATAAATTGAGCTTAATCAAATTTGCTTACGAGTCTATCTTAGCACATTGTAAAGGCTCCCTGGTTATGACTTAGTAGTGTGTAATATTCTTTAAATAATTTCGAGACATGTGGTCAACTGAATTTGCACATGAGTAATTTATAAGTTTTCAAATGCAGAAAATACTTTATGCAGTTTTATTATTTTACAATGATAGTCTAATTGTCATGGAAAAAAAAAAATTCAATGAATAAGGAATATTTTTGATTTTTAAATTGTGCAAAAAAATGTTATGAGTTACTGTGTGCCATTAGAGCAAAGTCTACTAATGTTTTCTAGAACACTGATTCTATAAAGTTCTGTTAATGTGATCTTTTCATAAAAATTTATATTGGCTAATGCTTTTCACAACAGTTAGCTCATGATATAGAATTAATTAATGTTGAATCTCTAGCTCTCACCTGATATTTCAATTGTAATTACAAATGCAAACGTTCTCATTTTTGTATGAACTCTGAATACAATCTCAAACAACAAATTAAATGTCTAGGCTATTTTTGGTTGAAAAAGAATCAAATATTTTATATATTATTTTTTAGAATGAGTATAAAATTTTGCTAAATATAACTATAGGGTCTGAATGGCTATATAAAAAGTTAGATTTTATAATTTTTTTACAAAATTGATTTTTTAAATTTAAAAATGACGAATGAATTAATATTAATATTATCCTTACTTAAAGCTATTTTGTAGTTGCAATTATGTATTTACAACCAACAGTTGCAGATATAATGACTGCATAAAGACTGTTATAGGTGCAGTGTTTAATTTTTAGTATTAGTTCTAAAATATGAAAAAAAGAATATGAATTCCTAGATGTTTAATCTTCTGACTGACAGAGTTTTTAAGATCTGCTCATGAAAAACTATATTTAAAGAGCAGTTATTAGCTTGAGTTGTATAATAAAGTATTTTAATATTTATTTCTGTTAACTTTCATTTACCAGAATTGTATTCAAATCAGTAAAGAAATAAAAGAAAACAATATATTATAAATAATAAGATATTATATTCTAAGTACCAGCAATTTTCATGACTAGATAAAGTGATCATTCCACTCAGAAAGCTGAACAACTTTGAGTCAACTATACTGTATTTATAGAAAAAAGTATCTATGTGTCTGAAGGTTAATTATTTGTGAATAGTTAAATAAAATTTTAGCTAGCTATTAATATTTGAGAATTTAAAATTAAGAAAAATGTTCTCTTTATTTTTGCTGCTATTCAGTCTTTTCAAATGCCTGTTATATTTTTCATGGCTTTTTTCTTTGTATTATTATTCTGTTATTTGTACTAAGTTACTGTATTTTGCAGAAGGATTGCTTTAAATGCCAGATTTTGTATTAAGTAAATAAGATTTTAAGTGATTTGAAAATATATATGTATTTGGGAAAATGCATACATATTTTTAAGATGTATAAATGAAAAAGATTCAATATTTTTTTCCAAAAAAATTATAAAAAAGTGTAGTTAAAACAGTTTTTACTAAACAGATTAAAACTGTACGGGTTTTGATGTATTCTTCTGAAGTAGAGTAAACATAATTTTAAAATTTATGAAACGAAAATACTTTTCATGCAAATTTTAAAAATTGTGACAAACATTATGGGGTTTCTTCTGTGTAATTTTACAAAATATAATGCTTTTATTCATAGACCTTGAAAACTTTCTCAGAAGGGAGACTATGTCACTCATTTTGGTGCATAATAAAATTGCATTAAATTGCATTTGATGTGATTTAATATGTGTAATTGCTTTTGTGATCATTTTGATTACTCATTCAAAATTGTGGATGATTTGTTATTTGTTAATGTTTTATCTTTACAGATATGCCATACAAGCTTAACGGACACTGTTCGTTTACTTGGATGTTTTAGCAACAATACTTCCTTAGAAGATTGTAGTGAGAAAATTAGTGTTTTGCCTGATGACCATGTCTTTCATTTAATATTTTCCATGGTAAAGGACACAAAGTAAGCTGTTATTGAATAGTGTTACGAGTTATAGAAACTAGAATTTGTTTAATGTTTGTATTATCTCATGCATTTAATTTATGATTTTCTCATTGTTTCTTTTATCTATTATAAGTTATTGTCCTAAAGGACAAAGCTGATTTGCTTTGAAAAACCTTCATCTAATTATTATAATTTAAAGTGTTCAATTCCACTGATGTCAAATGTTGTGTCAAAATTCTGTAGCTGAAATGATCTTTTGGGGGAAAAAAAAAAGTGAGAAAGAAAGGGGGGAACATAGTTCAGTATAGGACATCATTCAAACAGAATTTATTGTGGGTTCAACTAAAAAAAGGAAAAAGCAAAAACTATATAGCTGAAGAAGTTAATTCATTAAATCTTTTTCTTATTTAATTATTTACATTGAAATTAATGTTTCAAATTCTTTTTCTCATTCTAGAATAGCTGTTCATAGTGTTCCAACACCACTCATTTCTTCATGTTTGATATTCAGGTTGTTGTACGACACAGCAACAGATGCTTTTGATAGGTAAGTTAATTTTTATTTGTTAAATGAACAAGTTCTTTTTTTAATACAAGTGATATTGATTATAAAAAAAATTGTTTTATATATGGATGTGTGTATATGTATATACATCTATATCTATGCATGTTATTGAAAAAAATATGTTTAATATGTGTAATATTGGATCAAAATGACCAGAAAACAAAACCACAAATTTTTTTATTTACAGCTGCTAACCTTCCCAGTAAAAATGAGAAATTCTAAATTTTTTGCCACATCTTTCCAATCTCCTGATAAATTTCCAAATTTTGTGGTTTTTTTTATTAATCTAGTTGAAATCCCCCCCCCAATCTAGGTCTAGAAGAATTTTTTCGCTAAGTTTCAAAGAAAAAGGAAATGTTAATTTGTAAATAAATAAATTATTGATGTGATACTGTGATGCTGAACTAAATGTTCGTTTTGGTTGATAAGATCCTTCCGCAATGGAAATAAATTGGCTGGAAGAAGAACTAATTTTTGAGCTTCTTTCATATTTATGTTATGTATATTTGTATTATTTCCATATGTAAAAAAATTTATCTTTATAACTGTATAAAAAATTGTTAATTTTCTTGAATAGACACAATTAGAGTGCCAAGTAAATTGTAGCTGCAAATGTCGATCGAAATAAAAATGAATATTTAATCTGCCTCGGCTGCCAAGTTTGCTTTTCAATATGGGTCAACATTCTACACCATCAATATTACTTCTAAGTTTGCTTTATTACAATGAAGTACTGTTTCATTACATATATATGTATATACAGATAACATTTCCTAATTTCAGTTTGCAATAATTTTACATTTCCTTTTCCAGTACAACGGGCTGGCTGCATGGACGTTTTTGTGGTTTTCCCCATGTGTTGCGTATATACGAGCCAGTTTCCCTTAGAGAGTCCTCCACGAAGGCATCCCTCCCTTTAGGCAGATAGCCCTCGTTTGCTTTGCCATAATTGAATAACCCGTAACCTTTTTCCAGTAGATAATCATAAATAGAAAATTATTAATTAAATTTACAGATATATATACACATGTGTATTTTTATGTGTTTGCTATAAGATCTGCTTTTCCATCTGTGAATTCACATAAGATTCTGTAATTGAATTTCAGTTCATAACAATAATAAAATTCAAAAAATAACATAATAAATTAGAAAAGATTGAAACCAAAAAATTAAAAGGAACAGATATGCACAAAGGCTCACAAAGGAAATTAAACATGTTATTAGTTAGTAAATTCTGTATGAATTAGGTAACTAATAATGATAACTAACTCATGATATATAAATACAGGTTCATGAAAAATCCAATAAAAACTTTGAATACAAAAATGGGTGTAGTTTTTTTTTGGGGGGGGGGTTTTGCCAATAGCTGCAAAATAAAAAGAAGAAAATGAGATACTGAACAAATAGTGTATAAGTAAAGCCAAATAGTGTATAAGTTGGGGCATGTTTAAATGAGCACGAGTTATATCATAGGTCGAAGTTTGTCTTTAGGCGCCAGCTACAAGTTAATTCATAGAACGTTTTAGTTTTATTTTCGTCACATATGATCAAACTCGTAGTATTTTCATGTTTTTTGAAGTTATCTGGTTTTGGGGAATAGGAAAATACACAACAATTTGGCATAATTTAGGTTATTTATTATAATTAATGTAAGTTTAATATAAGTAATTATAAAGTGAATAACATAGGAACTGTAAAAATAATCAACCTTTGTTATGAGGTGCTGCCGTTTTTTGAATCTACTCATTACGAGTAGACTCATAGTTGGCGCTGTTATAAAATATTTTATTGCAAAATCTGACTCTGCTATGACTCGTATAATTAATAAAGCAATTAAAAATTATCTGAATTTGATATCTTTCCCATAAATACATGTTTTGTACTAATTCAGAATTCAAACAACAAAAATCAGCGTTAATTTACAAAATTTTCACAGGACTAGTTTCGATGGTTTTACCGAACCATCATCTTCAGCTGCAAACCATTTGCGGTTTTGCAGCTGAAGATGATGTTCGGTAAAACCATCGAAACTAGTCCTGTGAAAATTTGTAAATTACGCTGATTTTTGTTGTTTGAATTCTGAATTAGTATTTATTCGGCGTGTTATTGTGTCTTAACATGTTTTGTATTTTTATTTTATAATTGATTAAAATTTTTTGGCATGGTGGAATCATTTTTGAAAATGTTTCTTGGCAACAAACACGTTAAAACTCTTACTTAAATATACAGGTATTTTTTAAAAAAAATCATTTATAATTGTAATAATCCCTCACTCCCCCTTTAAATGTGGCTAACAAGTTTGAGAGAAAAGAGTTCACTGCAACATTTTATCAGTAAATGAATAAAAATTCTGTCATACTTTTCACTCTACTTTTAGAGAAAAATTATTTCATTTCATTTATATTTTGCTGCATAAAATATGAAACATTTATTTTCAAACTAGTTTTATTGTAAGTACTTTTATCCCCTTTAATAGCCCCATAGATGTTAAAGGGGGTAAATTTGCATCATTGTAAATTTCTTCCAGTTTCTCCCATTTTCTTTGATTTTTCCCCTATCTGGGAGAGACCATAATCTTGATGTTCATGCACATGTTGTGTAAACGTGTAAATAATAAAATCGGCTAACTGCTCACAATTTACTTAAAAGGCTTTCTGCTTGTATATCAAATGAAATATCATTGTTGCAGTAATGAAACACGGCTGAAATTTTCAAGAAAAGTTAGAAAATATATGATGTAAAAATCTTGGGCATTTAATAGCAAGTTTGGAACTTAATATCTATGGAACTTAATATCCAAGAAAAGTTAGAAAATATATGACGTAAAAATCTTGGGCAGTTAATAGTAAGTTGGAAACTTAATATCTATGGTCTTCTACATTGTTCATGGCTTTAATAGAATCAAAAATGGGGAATTGTTCTTTTAATATTATTGTATTGATAATTGATACAAATTCTGTAACTGTAAAGCTTCAGAAGCAAATATTTTGATTGGAAAAAAGAGCAGTAAAAAAGTATAATTATATAGAAACATATCATTTATAATAATCTCTATGTTTATGTTAAACTTGAGATATAAATTTTCTCATTTTTTCTCTGTTTTTATAATTTTTCATATCTTTTATACTTATTATTAAATAAATTTTTAAATGTTTGAGTACCTGATTTTTTAAATTATCTTTTCCTGTGATATTCTGTAATTATAATTAATTTTTCAATACATAACTTTCAATTTTCATATTTCTTTATTAGACCAAACATTCCTTCATCAATACCACCACAGTCAACTCCATTAAGACGAATGTATTCAGATTCTGAACATTCCTCTTCAAACACAGATTTATCACAAGTCAGTTCCCCAAACAAACGTTCAGGATTTATGATGAATTTTGCACCGCCATCACCTGACCCCATGATTGTTCATCCAGGAGTTGTAGTATCCATGCATCATTTACTCCCATCCATTAGCTGTGATGCCAATCCACAAGTAAAAATATACGTTGTTCCCCTAGAACTTGAGTGTATTTTTAATGGTTTAACAACACTAGAAATGTAATATTTTGCTTCTTTTTATGCTTTCATAATAAAAATTATAGAATTCTCGTTTGATTTTATAATTCTAAAGATGAAAAAGTGTTTTTAATTACAACTGTTGCTGTCTTTTAATTTTAATTGTATTTAGTAATACAGGATTTTCAAGCTACCACACTTTTTTTTTTTTCCTTCAGATGGCACTGACCTTACAAATATATCTAGCTGAAGTTTTGCGATCTTTAGTAAGATCTGAAAGGAACCAACAAGTAATGTGTGAATCAGGGCTTCCAAGCGAGTTACTCGTCCACTGTCACATTGCTTTGGAAAATGAAAATCATCTACTTCATCCTCCATTACAGTACATTTTAGAGCGTCTTTCTGCACAATCATTACAGCCAAAAGACCTTAGGTTTGATTTTAATTTAATCCTGTTTCATCTCTACTAGTATTCAAGAGTGGATCAAAAGTAGATTTATGTTTGTATTTATTCAGAAAATTAAGAAATATATTGACAAAAATAAGTATATTTCATAGCACTGTTTCCATGTGATGTAAGATGTAACATATATTTTGCACCTTTGACTGAAGAATGTTTAAGTTGTTTTTTGCAGCAATGAATGTGTTATTTTCTATAGGGAAATCATATATTTCTACTCTACGCCATCTCTTTTATTGTTTGGGTCATAATGATGAATTTATGTTTTGTTCTTGGTGATAATCCTGTCCAGGCTCTCATCTGTCTCATACTTCTTCAAAGGAAGAAAAGTGCACTACAACAGGCATTATTAGAAAGGCAGGATTAGAAAAGGTAGTGAACATTTCAGTTTTTCATCTTACACAGAGTAACCTGTAGGTCTTTATTAATTTGCTCATTTGAATGATCATGATTGGTCCTATGAGCATAAAAAGTCAACAGGCTGCCTAAGAGATTTTCATCAAAGACATTCATATTACCAACAGTGAACTTTTTGGCTTTTTTTTTTTTTTTTTTTTTAAGTTCTGACCTGGGTTTCAATCTAGGGCATTTTTTTGCATGGGCGTTTTTGTGGTTTTCCAGATGGCCCTAGAGTGTTTTACCATAATCAACTAAACCAAAGCCAAATTATACCATCTGGTAAATCCAAAAGTTTGCCATCCCTGAAGTCTGCCGACTGCTGTGGCTACACTGGTTACACTGGGTGTGATGTTTCACTAAACTTTGCTGCACAAAGATTGAGCGATCATGTTTATACCCTTACAAATGTTAAGTAACGTAAATTTAAAAAATGGAAATTGCATCAACCAATTGTCTGTGACATGTATCCACACCTCATTGTGTATCAATCTGCTGTGGCTGTACTTTCTTGTGTAAAAAGAAGAATGACCTTAATTTTAAATTCATCTGTTAATGTCAATATGCAGTATAAGTATTACTCTATAAGACTTTTCAATCTGAATCGTTTCCACTATCTGTAGATGTGTTTTTATTTAGTGTAAGATGCATGTATATTTTCAATATTTTATTAATTGAAATATAAAAGGTAAATGCTTTAAATTATTATTATTATTCAGTTTATCTGTAGATCTGAGTATTTATTATCTAAAGTCAGTTTTGATTTCATTATTAATATTTCTGATAAGATGGCAAAAAACTAATAGGTCTAGTTTTAAATAGGTCTTTCATGTGTTGTAGGGAATTTTTACGATTGGGCTCCCCATTGTGTTGTACTCCTTTTGATGAAGATGCCAAAGATCCTCTGAAGACAGGTTCAAAATGTGTGCGACCCGCAAACCACAGAGATGGTGGTCCCGTCCCACTCACAAGAGTGAAAACTCTAGTTTCCATGACTACTCCTCGTGACTGTAGACTTCATGGAACTTCCATAATGCCACCTTTTGTAGAGTTTGACATGAGTTCTGAAGGATTTAGTTGCCTTTATTTACCTAGTGTTGCACCACAAAGTATAACAACACCTGCTGTTGGCGTTGGAATGGTAGCAATGAGCTCTGACACATCTGTTGTTGGAGGAATAGGAACTGGTAACTAGATTGTTTATCCTCATGTATATGTAGTATAGTCTTTCATTTCAGCTTTGTTTTATAACTTAAAGAGCAAAGTGCTGATTCTGATATATTTGTATGTTATCCTAGTAATTTTAAATAAAACAAAATAAAGTGATTAGAAGATTATTAGCTATTAATTATATAATGTGCAATTTATCCTTAATATTGTTAAATTTAATACCTTAAGTGATTTATGTAAAAATGTAGTGTCTAAATTAAGATTGTCAAATTTCAGAAAATATGTGTCTGTAAACGAAATGAATTGTATATTAAATGAGTTCAGGATATTCTGTCTGTTTCATTTAAAACTAAAATGTTCATATTTATATTGTTAATTTATTCTTTTGTACATGTAAGTAACATGTGTTTTATTTTATGTTACAAAGTTTGAAATTAAGTGTTATTTGCCAGAGTGCCTGGTAGGTCTCACCATTCTTTAGAGAAGAAGTTTAAATCTGTAGTAGTTAATCTTTTTTTGAGTTAAAGCAGTATGGTGACTGTTCTGCTGTTTGTGGGTCTGGATGGTCCTGTTTTAGTATTTAATGTCCTGTTTATAGCTCTACTAAGCCCTGTTAAGCCCCTAACAATGGTACAAGTAATTTTGATCAGTCACAATGTACAAGATGTGTCAGGAAACCTTCAACAGCATGAAGTAGAAGTTATAAACTCAGCAGAGTATTTGTGTGTTATGCCAATAGAAGAAAGTAAACTATTTGTCATCTTTAATTCAAAATTGCTGTTCCTGTAGATCCTCTTTGTCTTGAGAAAAGTCACTCCATGATATCTTAGGCCACCATGTTGTGATATTCCATGATATCTTAGGCCACCATGTTGTGATATTCTGGTATGTTCACTAGACCTCAGAAGTGTTTTTTCCCTTTAGGATACATGAAAGCAGAAACCATTTGAAGCAACTAATGGCCAGCCAATGTTTGCATTGAGAAAGATAACTAATTGTTAGCCCCAGAGCTATGAGTGCACTTTTAATAGTGTGGACAATCTGATTTCTAGTCATCTGACCTACATTTCTTTCCTAAGATAATATTCTGCAGCAATGCCAAAAATAAGAGTTCTCTCAGTACAGACTAATGATTAGCTACAATTTTTCTGGTGCCACCACCAAACTGCAATAATATAGCAACCAATCAATCATATTGTAAGCTCATCCTGCCAACTAAATGCTGATGTGACATCATTTCATGATGAGGGTTTTAGCTAATTTCAGTTTTGAGTGCAAAATTTTTATATCTGGTGCTGCCATGTATGCAAACTTATCATGAGGTAAAAATATACACCTCCACCCATCTGAGGGAAATGATGACTGATGTTAATTACAGTACTTTCTGATATGCCTCAGAAATAGTTTAAACCTTGCTTGGCCTGGAGGTCAATTAGAAATAATGAATCGGTAAACAATTTCTTTTCATGATCCATATTTCATGCACTCTAATATTTGTGTAGTTAGTTTTGTCCACTTGTTCATTGTTTATTTTCTCTTAAAATGGATCCAAAATGCAAAATTAAATGCACTGGTAATAAATCAATAAAAAAAAGTTCTGCAGTTACTTAGAAAGAAAGGTGGAAAATATTTCATGTATGTAAAAACAGCAAAATTGTGCCAACAATAGTTTGAAGTGAACAGCAAAACTATATCACCTATAGATTGGGATATAAATCAGGATATTTTTGCAGCAGAATAAAGTTTGTAATTTTGAAAGCATGAAGTGTTGAAATGCACAGATATTAGCAACACAAGAGGTTGGGCCCCGTTTAAGCCTTTATTGGATGAAGAATCTGGTATATAAATGCAGACACTGTTAGGTATTCTGATTATCCAGGAAAAGGCAACTTCTTTACATAAGATAATTACAAAAGATGGCTTGCATCACAGATAATGAGAGTGCATTTAAAGCCTTTGCTGGATGCAACTGTTTGAATATGTGCAAAAAAATTACATCCACTTAGATGATAACAAAGTAGTAAATTCTCTTTGAACATGAAAGTTAAGCTGCAGAAGTGTGTATAACATGAATACAAACATTCTAAGGGCATAATTTTTTAATCAAGATAGTTTAGTCAATGGTCACGTTGGATGGTAACATCCTGAACTTATATTCAAGTATAGTGATGATAAACAAGGTTGCTTTGAAGTTGCTATATCGCTGATAATTTTCCATCAGTGTATGCTATAAAAGTTCACTCAAGTAATTACTAAGAGTAGATAGTTTTATCCCTTAAATTCTTTGACTATTTCCTAGAATTATCATTCAAAATGTGCAGCACATTTTCATTTAAAATCAATGGCCACAAACATGTAATTTTCCTAGTTATTAGTGTTATAGTGTACAATTTGCGTGTTTTTAAATTGGTCACATGTGTTTGTTCTAGTGATTCTCATGTTGTGTATCTTTTAGGCGACCGAGTGTTTCCACCACAAACGGGGCTCTCTTTCTCGACTTGGATCTGCTCTGAGAAATTCACTGATCCCCACACTGATCCTCATGCTATTAGACTCTTAACGTTAGTGAGAACCATTCAAGGCAAAGATGAGCAGCTGATATGTCTGAGCATCCAGATATCATCGAGGGACAAAGCCTTGTTAATATCTACCACGGAAACTCCTCTGCATCAGTCAGGTACTTAGATCTAATTGATTTCTACATGACAGGGAAAGAAAGAAATTATTCAAAAATATGTACTGCATTTCTTTAATTCCAATATACACCTCTCATTTTCAATTAATGCCCCCCCCAAAAAAAGGACATTGATTGTAAGCAGATAAGATAAATGAGTAAATTAAAATATTCAAACACATATGTAAATTATGTTTTTAATAATCAACTTGGGTATATTAACAGTGATAATATATCTGTGAAATTTAGTATTTTAAAACAATTAATTCAGAATAATTAGTAATTCTGAAAAGTCTGCAGATCTAAGGTGCCATCAATTCTGAGATGTACTCTATTTTTAGTGGCATTTATATGGGAGGAAAAAAGTGCTCCTTAGAAACAAGAAAATATGACATATGAAGTATTTCTTTATTATACAGACATATATATATATATAGGCAGATAGCCCTTGTATCCTTTGCCATGTTCAAATAATCTTTACATTAATCCCCGACTTGTGTAACTGCAGAAAAATTGTGACATTCAAACTGAAATCAATTAAAAATAAGATTGGTTTGAATTATTTTGACAAAGCATGCAAAAGGCGAAAGATGCCTTCCTGTGGATATTTCTGTGGAAAACCACAAAACACCCATGTAGGCAGCTTGTTTTCCTAGAATCAACCAAGTTAAACTACCAGTATTCAGTGACTTAACTTAATTCAGCAACACAACAGGTTGGACCTAATTTCAGAGATGGAGAAATTGTAGTTATTAAATCAAGGATCTGATATAAATGCAGATACTGTCCAGTATTCTGATTATCCAGGAAAAGGCATGAGCGCGAGTTTGCCGCTAAGTGAGAACTGATTAATTGAATAAGAAATATATATCTTATGAAATTCAAGGAAATAAGTTTAAATTAAATGCAGCAAAAATGTGTAAAATTTAATAGGCCATAGAAGGAAGTCGTGGTGTCCACATCAGTTTTTACCCAAAAAATACTACTATATAATGTTTTATTTGTAAAATAATACTGTGGAAATAGTTTGTATGTACATATTTATATGCTTATAATAATAAATATTGCAGTTTTGTACCAAGTTATGTTTAAACAGTTTACAAATTTGATTTCTCTGAAATTCAAGTTACATAAAAGTTTACAGAATGCATTACTTATGTAACTCATGATAACTGTGCATAATTTTCCATTATATGCAGCATTTATATTAGTATGTAAAACTAATTATGCCAGTATTTCTTTTGTTTGATTGCTTAAAATAAATCGTTTTTGTATTCTAAATGTAATGATTATTTATTCTGAGTTCATTATCTTTTAGAAGTAATCATGAAATAAATAGTCTAGACAAAGTGTCCAGAAAGTTATTGTGCACTGAAATTATCATGTGCCTTATTGCATTGGTTTCTGTATGTTGTGATGAAATTGGTCTGCACTAATCTACAGACATATCTGTGTATTGCTTAAGACCTTTAGAGTATGTAGTGTGATTTCTTAGATGCTATAGTTTTGGTTTGTAGCTCCTAAGTTTGTGTTCAGTATCGGATTATAACTTTCCTTTCAGTACTAACCACCAAAAACAAAAAAGAAAACTGGCTGGTATCACATCAGCTGATATATCGTAGAGAAATTATATTTTTATTTTACTTTTTTTTAAACTTATTTGCATTGCATTGCTCCAGTTCTTCAGATATTAAACAGCAACTTTTTGGGCCAATACTTTTTCAGTATTTTACTTTGCAATTTACTTGAATTAAGTAGAGGTTATAAGAATGATTTCTTTAGTTATCCAGGTTCTGGGAGATAGTACAATTTCTACTTTACTGTGTTTATTTGCATTTTGCGTATCGTGGTTGCTTAGTGAAATATTTTCCTTTACAGTTTATTTAAATTATTTGCAGTTTTATGCAAATGATTTCTGAATCATTAACAGTAAACTTCACAGCTAAAATTTAGTTTCTGCTCAGTGTTCTCCAGTTCGAATAATTTTTTTCGTATTGTTGTGAGAGATATGAAAGGGCAAAAATCTAGCTGAAGTTTTTTATTTTAAACCTTTATTTTTAAATTTTCACCTCTTGTTTGTCTATCAAAACTTGATTAATATGGATTATAGTTTACTTTACTGCAAAAGCTCTTAATCATTCATGTATGACTGCATTAATGCTTCTCAATGTATATGAAATTTAAACACCCATAGGGACATTTTTATGTGTACAAAATGTGTACTTATTAAAAAACTTTTATTAAGTAAATATAATATATTTTGGTAAAATAATAATCTTGTGCTGATATGTCACATTGTTATTTTGTTCACATGTATGTTTATCTTGCAAATAGCATATCATATGATTTTTATATAATTTTATTTAATCATAGAAGGTGTAGACTGGGAACCAGAAGAGCGAGAAGAATGTTGTGTACGTGTATGGTGTCCTGAATTATTACAAGAAGGGCAGTGGCATCATCTTGTCATAGTTTTAAACAGAGCTGTTCTCAAAAACAGTTCTGTGTCTATATATGTTGATGGTATGCATCATAATACACAAAAGGTAATGGCTAGTTGTTAGCTTATATTTTCTTAAATTACTGTAAATGTTAGATTCAGATTCTCTGGCTTTTTATCGTTCTAAAATTTAGTATGTTGAAAGTTTGAAGTTATATAGTAAGGTATGTGCCATTTCAGTCTGAAATTAATGATTGATTATAGATGTTTTTGCATGCTGCAGATTTCTATATCTTCATTAGGTTAGATAAACAATATCTTAAAGCTTTATTGCAATGAGAGCAGTCTTAGTAGTTTTTAAAGCAAAATAAACAGTTATGGAATATCCCCTTCAAAAAAAAAAAAAAAGCAGATATAGGGCAAAATTCTCCTAATGTGCAATTTATATTGAAGACCACCAAAACTCATATAAATCAGTCTAAAACACTAACTACTGTATGTGATGTTCACAGGAAAACAGTCACATGATTTTCAACTGAACTAAATAACTTCAGAAATACTCTTTTTGGAAGTTTACATAGATTTGCCACAGTAACAAAAAATTCTTGAAATGTCATCAACTCTGTGTAGTATCTTAGTTTTACCCGGATGTGGTGGTCTTCAATTTTACTTTTGTTTCAGTGTCAGTCAATTTGGAATTTAAAAAAAATCTGTAACATAATGCATCAAAATTTATTAATACATTAAATTATCATAAAGTCAGAACTAAACAAAAATAAAGTAAATAAAAAATTTATAAAACAGAATTTAAATAAACACAAATATTTACAAAACTTTACTCATGTGTGAAATAAGTCTTGAATGTTATCATTAGTCACATTAAGGTAATGGTTACAGAATGTAATCAATGAGCTACAAATTAACAAAATTATTGTCATAAAAAAACTATGTATCCTTACTTTCAATATAGCTTATATAGAATTGCTGTGCTGCAGAATTTTGACTTATTGTATGAAAATTGCTAAACATTATGTGTCATTTAATTACTGTGCATATTATATCAGTTTGAAACATTTTTTTTTTCGTATGCGTATTATATAAAATATTTAATTTTAATGTTGCATGTAGAGAATGTTCTTGCAGTGTTATTTCATGATCTTTTGCAACACTAAATCACTAAATAATTTATAAAAATACCTGAGAAAGCATTAATACAAAGATTACTACTTCTTTTAACACACAAAATAAACATGAACAAACAAATAAATGTATTTTCTAAAATCACTTCTGCAGTAATTTTTGTATTAAAATAATGATTGAAATAAGGAATTTAAAGAATTAAAAATAAATACAGAAGAACATTTCGCAAATATTTTTATCATTTTTTTAATCTGTTTTTGTCTTCTTTTTCCTATCTTTGATAGTTTTTTTTTTTTCTTTTATTTATCTGTGGCAAGTAATGTAAACTTCATTTGATTATATCAGTATCTTTTAGACCGAGATCCAGTTTATCTCAGTAGTAGTAAATTCAATTTCAATTGTAACTGTCAGACTTGAATATAGTAATGACAAGGTTTACCTTTTAATAGCATTTATTATTACAATGTAATGTTTTTGGCCTACATTTTAAAGCATGAACTGAAGTTTGACATCACTTTTAGTTGGGAATGTGTATAATGTAACAATAAATAAAATATTTGTTTGTTAAGGGGTCTCATACACCTTAAAATCTCAAAAAAAGGGATTTTTCAAATTTTAGTCCATTTTAAAGCTAATTTTTTTGCTTATTTGACACCACTCCCACTTACGATATTTTTCCTAGACAAAAAAAATATCAGGCCATTTTGATTAAGGCGCGCACATAGGTTTTTTATTTTTTTATTTGCAACTAATAATTTTTTGCTGAGTTTTTCTGCTGTGTGTTGAAATCTTACTCCAGCTTTGGATTAGCGTGAAACGTGATTGTTTACAAGCTCTTTTGCGATTTCTAAATTTCTTTTGACTTTTTTGAAGGTGTTTTTATTATAACATTGCAGTTTTTGTTTAGTATTTTTATCACCTGATAATTATGGAAAATTGTGAGGAAGATGTAAAAAATAAAAGATCTTATATTCATCGACCAAAGAAAAGAAAGTTCCAGGGAAATCAGCATAATGATACAATGAATAAGAAGTGTGGTGTCAGTTCTTCGTTTAAAAAATTAAATAGTGACACTGTTTTGCCACCAAGAGATAAAGATAACTTTAGAGCCTAATTTAGTAGGTGGTATAGACTATTTGATTTGGATATCCTATTTCAATTTATTGAAAATAATTTATGTTGTAAAATTTGTAATGTTCATTTAAGTGAACTATTTCATCATGGTTTAAGCTCAAAATTTGAGTTACTATGCTCAAAGTGTTCATGTAAAAGAACTTTCAGAAACTCTAATATGATGGGTGTCCGAAAAAATATATCAGAGCTAAACAGAAGATTTACGTATGCAATGCGAACTCTTGGTCAAGGGAAAGCTGCTATGCAGAAATTCTGCTGCGTTATGGATCTCCCTCCTGTGATTGCACATCGTTCTTTCAAATTAAATTCGTCGTTAAATGTGACTGTAAGTGGAGACGGTACGTGGAAGACTCGAGGACATACGTCTTTGGTTGGAGTCTGTTCCGTAATAGGGTCAGAAAGCAACACAGTAATCGATACAGAAATACTGTCTTTATATTGCAAAGGTTGCGAGTCATTTCTAGGAAATGGCGTAAGTGAACACAAGGCCTGTTTGGAGAATCATGCTGGTTCTTCAGGAAAAATGGAAATGAATGGAAAGATAAACAATTTTTCATGTTCCATGGAAAAAAGAGGTGTAAAATATACTTCTTATATTGGTGACGTGATGCAAAACTTTTGCAGGTATAACTGACGCCAAACCATATGGTTCATTAAATATAGAAAAAATTGAGTGTGTTGGACATATTCAAAAACGAATGGGAATATGGCTACGCAAATTAAAACTTGAAAGAAAAAAAGTAAAATTAAATGACGGTAAAATCTGTCTGGGAAAGGGAGACTAACAGATAAGTTAATAAATGAAATAACTTCGTATTATGGTAATGCGATTAGAGAATATAATGAGTCTGTTAGTGATATGAGAAAAGCCATTTGGGCAATTTACTACCACAAAATATCGAGTGATGAAAAGCCGATTCATGACGTTTGTCCTACAAATGAAACCACATGGTGCAAATACAATAAAGCTAAGCAAAATAAAGCTGATTATAAGCATATAAATTCTGAACCAGTCGCTGTAATGGAGGCAATAAAGCCAGTTTTTTATAGATTTGTCACAACCTTCGTTATTGAGACGTTGCCTTGGCGGCAAAACACAAAATAATAATGAATCATTTAATTCCTTAATTTGGAAATTTTGTCCAAAGACATGTCGTGCTGGTAGTAGGATAGTTCAAATTGCTGGAAATGAAGCAGTAATTGCTTTTAACGAAAGGTCTGTTGGTAGACATTCTGTAATGAATGAGCTACAGCTTTTTAGAAGTAAGTTTTCTATTGAAGGATTTTTACAAATTGATAACAAGAGAATAGATAACGCAGAAAAGAAAGGCTTGTCAGAAACAAAACAACAGCGTAAACTTGAAAGGCAGCAAAAAATGTCAGAAGTGCAGGCCTCCATAAAAATGATGGGGATGTTTATTGTGCTGGTGCGTTTTAATTTGTAAATAAAATTTTAGCAGTTTAGCATACAATTTGAAGTAAGTCGTAAAAGATTTTTTCACCCATGTTAAATAATATGTATATTATACAATATAATACATATCATATGCTTAAATGCTTGAGTTTATTTAACTAAAGTGGTTATGTAAAAATAAATTATTTGTTCAAATATGCTACACGTATTTTAATACACGGCTATCATTCTGTCATGGTATTGTATATAGCAAGGTAAATTTAACGTGTTTCATACATACTAACAAAAGCTTCTGCAATTTATTAGGATTTATACTTTTTAAATATATTTTGAAAATAAATATATACTATGCACTTTATTATTAGAAAGTTATATACTGAAGTATTTGGCATTAAAACTCAAATTTCTTAAAATACGGTTTTTTCGCAGTTGTATACATAGCATTTAAAGTATGCTAAAGTTACCCTTGTGGAAGAACTATTAAATGTTTTATATGTTTGATATACAGTAATATATTACAGAGAACTTTAGCTAAGACATTTGGCTATAAGTAAATTCTAATTTGTAAGGAAGTTTTAGTTGTATCATTCTTAGTCGATATGTTATACTTCGATGAATGTAGCAGTTTAGCATACAATTTCAAATAAGTCGTAAAGGGTTTTTTTTCCCACCTATGTTTAAATAATATTGCATAATATGATACATATCATATGCTTAAATGCTTGAAAGTACTTTAACTGAAGTGGTTATGTAAAAATAAATTATTTGTTCAAATATGCTACACGTATTTTAATACACGGCTATCATTCTGTCATGGTATTTATATAGTATGGTAATTTTAATGTGTTTCATATTGACAAAAGCTTATGCAATTTATTAGGATTTATACTTTTTAAATATATCATTTTGAAAATAAATATACTATGCACTTTATTATTAGAAAGTTATATACTGAAGTATTTGCATCAAAACTCGATTTTCTTAAAATGCATTTTTTCCCAGTTGTATACATAGCATTTAGAGTATGCTAAAGTTACCCTGTGGAAGAACTATTAAATGATTTATATGTTTGATATACAATAATACATTACAGAGAACTTTACCTGAAACATTTGCCTATAAGTAAGTTCCAATTTGTAAGAAAAATTTTAGTTGTATCATTGATAGCGTAGAAGTTTCAAATCATTTTTAGTTGATATGTTATACTTTGATGATGGCAGCTTATTTTACATTAATTATGCTTATACCAACTATTGGAAATTATATAATATTACAATATCTCTCAGAAAATAAGCATTTTATATATTTTATAACAAGAGAAGTATTTAAAAAAAATATTTACATTAAAACTTGATTATCTCAAAACATAAATTTTCACTGTTGCGCGCATGATATTTTAAAAACGGTTCTTGGTACACACTTTAAATTTAATGGACTTCTTTATATGAGTATTATCATCTAACTGAACCAAAAATATATTGAATATTTTAATAGTCAAAAATTTTACGCATGGAAATATTAAAAATTTTTTATTAAAATGCATTGTATAAATTTCTTAAGATTTTTGGTTCACAGTAGTCTTTAGATGCTATACAAGCTGTATATTAACTATGAAGTTAAAATATATAACAGAATGTTTTAAATTGTGCACGCAAAGTGGGAGTATTACGTGAACATATAAAAATTACCTACCTCACAAAGAAGATTAAATTATAAAAATATTTGTGGCAACACAAACTATTTGCTTACTAATTCACAAAGCAGCTGTGCTATGTAGTCAGCTGTAAAAAAACTGGAAGTAATTGCTTTAAAAATAAATAAGCTATCCCAATTCTTACAACAGTATCATATTCAGAGATTTTGAGGGTTTTTAAGGTGTACGAGACCCCTTTAAATTCATTTTAATTTTTAGCTAAAAACTGAGCCATTAAAAATCTAAATTGGAAGACTATAAGTAACAATAGAACTTTAAAAAATATAATATTTTTTATTCAAATTTTAATACAAACACAAAATAAATTGACTGAAAATTATTTCTTCCAAAGCTATGAGTAGTTACAATAACAAAGTACTTGAGATTGATAGATATCTATCTAAAATTAATTGATTATCTTCATTAAGGGGAAATTATTTGTGAATTTCTTATTTTGCTAAAGGCCCACCGGTGGCCGAAGTCGCTGAACACTGGTAGTTCAACATGGATTCCATTGCGAGACCAATGGGCTGGCTGCATGGACATTTCATGATATTCCTCATGTGTAATAGGGAGTGCCAGTTGCCCTTAGAAAATCCTGTACCAAGGCTATCATTCTTTAAGCAGGTAGCCCTTGAATACTTTGCTATATTCAAATAAACTAAATCAAACCTTGTTTTCCTAAAAATGCAATAAATCAACTTATCTGTTGTGAGTTTTATTATAATATAACTATTGAAAAAATTGCCAGTATTTTCCTCAGTTTTCAAATATTGTTACAGCACAAACTTAGCTCTCTCTTCACCAAATGCTTTGACTCATGCAGCAAGACTCTTCAGTAGAAAACAGTTCCATTGATGGGTAATATGGGTCTTGGAGTATTTTATGGCACCCATCTACCTTATTTCTTAAATAAATTGGTCAAAACTGTTCATCCACATGTGTGCTAATGGTGCCTGTGTTGTGATCAGACAGTAAGATAGATAGATATAAACTGTTGGTAAGACATACTGTTTAGATAGATAGAAACTGTTGGGAAAATATACTGTTTAAGTGCATGCTATTCAGTAACTAAGCTTTTCTTATCATATTGAGTAATATGATGCAATTAGATATATAAGATATAGAGTTCCTCACTTTGAAATGCTGAGTTACTGTTGAATGTGAAGAATCTTAAGAACTGGTAAGTGAATAATCGCTTGAGTTTGTGTGACAGGAAACAACAAGATGGAAGGGTAAATAACCCTTTATTATTGAAATAAGATTTAACAGAACTCCGTTTTGGAGTGTACAATAAAAGCCGACACTTGGGCTTGAACTTAAGAGACTAAGAATTAAACTAACACTAATCTAAACTAAAGAGATATAGCCGAAGCTATCAAGATTCTATCAGAGTTGGCTCCTTAACGCTAATAGACTGTGAAGCTGTCAAGGGCCTAATGTACGGCCGAGCGTAATAATAGCTTACGAGAGAGTAGCCTAAAAAGGTGGACATGTGCAGACAGGATACTTGGTAACTCTCTCACTAAGACCAAAGAACTCTGCACCTAGACCGCGGTTTAAATACCGCTCTTCCTCATTATGTATTCAAATGTGATTCTAAAAGTACATTCTGGCCAGAAGTAGTAAGTTGAATTTAAGAATCGACAGGAAAGGAACTTAAAATTTAACTGTTAATAAAATTAACATAATTCTTACAAAAAATCTGCTACTTCGACCAGATTGAAAATTTCAACTGTTCAGTGTTTCAAAAATTTCAAACCTTTGCCATCTTTTAAAAAAAATTAACTTTCCTGATCCTGTGTTAGTTTTAATCATATTGAAGGATAAATTCAGAAATGCGCATGAAAATAAATCAATTTTTGGTGCTTTATTTTTTTTTAAAATTATTCATACTTAACAATAGTTTATACTTTTTTAGCTCCATTACATCTCCCAGAATCCTGGTGGTGGTGCTGCCAATTTAACAGTGGCAACATCTGTTTTTGGTTATATTGGAACTCCTCCTCAATTTCGTCGGAAGTCGAGGCTGCTATGGAAGCAAGGTCCATGCCATCTAGTAGAGGAAGTCTTTTCTCCAGTTGCTGTTGCCATGCTATATCAACTAGGGCCTTGTTATACTGGAAGCTTTCAAGCTCCTACTTTATCAGGTATGTAAATTATATCCCAGTATAGCTTCAAAATTTCCAATATATTATAATAAATAAAATTATATGTTTATGCAAAATTTGATGTATTATCTTACTATTTGCAAGTACACTGTAGGCCATTAAAATTGCTGTACAATGAAGGCAGCATGCAAGAAATGTCAAAATTTCATAAAAAGTACTACTTGCTGAAATATGCAAATGTTTGGTATTTCAGCACAGAGGTTCAAAGCAAGTATGAGTAACACCATCTACATTTCATATAAGTGGGAAGACTGCACAGCAAGTTTCCTCCTCTGGAAAATGCATTTGAATATTGTTATTTGTTACACCTCGTGTAAGAAGGGCAAAATCCTAGTAGCACATGTCGGAATTCGAGAGTGGCAGGAACACGGCTTATCAGAACTGCAGTTTATTATCCTTTGACATTGCTGCTCATGTTGCTCAGGATTCCATAACTGTCAGTCAAACATGAATTTGATGAGTCCAGGAGAGCCGTATTGAATGTTATGCAGACCCAGATGTTTTACGTCACATACCCTGAGTCAGGAACTTGACTTGTATGCAGGATGACAAATGCCCACTCAGATAACAATGGCCATGGCCATGATGACTTTTTCAGCACAGTGACAATTGTTGCACCTTCCCTTATTGAGAAATTGATTCCCAGTAGAGAAAGTTTATGGATGCAGTGAATGAAAGCACTGGACGCAGGACTTTCACCATCTCATCTTTTTAGACCAATCACAGTTCTGCATACGGCAGCTTCATTTGCATGCTGGTATGGGTGGGGTCCTGTTATCCTGGTTACTTTACATAACCTATCATGTGAACAGTTGTGATTACATTTCTAGCGTGTAAAGCCCATGGATTTTCCCTATCTTTGAGGCTTGCGTGACACCATTTTTCAACAAAATAATGCATGTTAGAGACTGGCATACCACGAATCTCGGGCCACTATTATTCATGAACTCTGACATGGAATTGAAGCTGCATATGGAATGAAGTGCCCATATATGACATTCAAGCTCATTTTGACTTGTTGTTCTGCCATGTTACATCTATTGTTGTTGCTAAAGGAGGCATCTCTGTGCATTCTGCACATTATGTACCCCAAACCACATGCAAATTTAATTTTGTCTTCCTCCCATAATACTGCATAATAAATAAGATTCTGCTGTATCTTTCCTTCCTGGTGTAACTGTTTTAATTACCTGTAGTGCAGAGAATTTGAAAGCAGATTTATTAATATTTAGTATTTTTTATGATTGTTGTTGTTTTAAAAGAGAGCAAAGAGTTTGTTTTGTAACCTCAGAAAATTTCAAAAATTTGTTGCAGGTTCATTCTGGAATGTCTGAATTTTAAAATTTTAAAAAAGAAAATAATGTACTTATAATAAACTTAAAATCATCTTTTAAAATGAAATGCTATGAAAATTGTATTAATAATAATATATTTATGCACTTATAAGAAAATTAATAAAATTAACATTAAAGAAATTTATACAGAAAGGAAATAATGTGGCCTGTAACGACATCAAATCCTTGCAAGGTAAATCGTGATGCTCAAAGAAGAGCAGGACGTTTCCATCTGCTAAAGGTTATAATGTAGCATAGTCTTAAAAAAGAAAAAAAAAAATCTGAAAATTATTTAGTTAATTTATTTTTTATCATGCTTTTTTTTAAAAAATAGGGTGAAGAGTATATTTTATAGTTTATGAAAATTTCAGGACCTTTTAACAAATGCATTTTTTAATATGAAATGGTTAAAAAATTTCAAAAAATTGCCAAAAAGCAGTAACTTTTATAGACTTCATTTAAAAGACTTTTTCCCCTCCAAATTTATAGCTGATAGTATAGCAGTGGGTCTAGTGTACATTTCTTGTACTTTATACTACCATATCACATCAGAAGCTATATTTCAAGAACATATGATGAATAACTGCAATAAGAATACATTATTGGAGTGAGAAGGTTTAGATTCTTCTCTTGCAAAATTACCACTTATGTTGGACAATTCACCAATACCAATTATGAGGTTTAAAAGCTGTGATATATGGTTCTATTTAGCATATATTTTTAATATTATGCGAGTCCCATGGGTAATATCATAGTTTGAGATGCTTATGGATGCAAATTCTATTGCAAAGAGCTATTTTAAATGTAATATTCCTTCAGAATTCTTATAATAACTACATTTCAACACCATAGTGCATATCCATATATTTCCTGAAATATCCAAGATTTTTATTTAATGTACAGAAGACTGCTTTTTTACTATTCTGCATATCTGCAAGACATCTTTCTAGTTTAAGATATGTGGGGCATGCTAGGAAAACAAATAACTTGGCAGATGTCATTGCTTATCTTACAGTTGAATTGAAAACACACATTGAAGCATTTTGGCATGTTATTTCTCAAAAAGTTAGTGCACCTTTTTCATTCAGCACCATAGTGCACCATTTTCATTCAGCAAATATTGATGATAAAACAATATTTCTGTAGCCCCAAATAACTCCATATATTGAGTTTGAAACAAGAAATTCTCATAAAGTTTTATTATTCAAGTTCCAGTTCAGTTATCTGATTTGACATGACTAATCTGACATAAATTCCATTTGACTATCTGGGTTTTTTTCATAGTGTTTTATGGTTTATATTATTGCCAGTAAAACTTTAAAACAGGTATTATAGTGTAGCATTTTCATAGCTCTGAAATTCCAGTTTAATTCACGTAAATTAAAATTTTTGTGAATCTTTGGACAAGTTGTTCAATTTCACAAAAAGTTTTATCCTATTATGATTAACAATGCTTGAGTCTTTAGCACAAAATAGAGAATTTTGAATAAATTCTTAGAGTTAACAACAGGTTGTGTTTATATATACATATACGTGCAAAAATTCTTTTTCTATGCTTTCAGAATTTTATGTGATTAAATAGGAAAAAAATGTCTATTTGCTATTTTTAAAGCTGAAATGCTGTCAGCTGAATAATTGTAGTAAATTGCAGTAAACATATTTATATCTTAACCGAATTTGTATGGTAACAAACAGGAAAATATTTTTTTTAATAATAGATGCAAATTAGGATAAAAAACTGTTTCTTTAATGTATTCATATTTCTGAAGTGATTTTTCAATTCCATTTATAATTCTCATATTCACAACATGCTCTTGGAAGTTAATGAAAGACATTAACCCCTTCCCTTTCGCAATCACTGGGTGAGGTGGTATCACCTTCTATTTCGTGTGCCCATGATATTTCTGGGCTGGAATGCTCAAAAGAAATATATCAAAAAAATTTAAAATAACACATTTCTAATACCAAAAAAAAAATTATTTGTAATTTTACATACTAAATGGCTGTATCCTTGATTTCGAGCTAATTTTTTTTTTTTTTAATTCCAAAAATTAAAAATGAATACGTATGTTGTTTTATTATTTTATGTATTTAGTAAATTTTTAAGGGCAGATAGAATGCTTGATAAATTTTTAAATGTGGTTGCATAGTTTTATTCAAAATGTTATGTACCCTTGATTTCGAGCTAAAAAAAAATTTTTTTTTTAATTCCAAAAATTAAAAATGAATACGTATGTTGTTTTATTATTTTATGTATTTAGTAAATTTTTAAGGGCAGATAGAATGCTTGATAAATTTTAAAATGTGGTTGCATAGTTTTATTCAAAATGTTAATTGACTGTAATTTTTAAAACTTTTAGCTGTATTTTCTTTTTTGAAAGGAGGTGTGCTGTCATTTAATCTTTAAAGTATTTCTTAGTATGTAAATAAGAAAGTGCATAACAATTTTCCAAACTCATTTAAATATTTTATTTATTTTATGTGTATCAAAACATCTGATGAAAAGGTCATTTACTGGTGGAAAATTAAAGAAACTAAACTAGTTCTTTTATTCCATAAAGTACTTTTTAAGTGCTAATACATTATCTAAGTATAGAAAAGATAAGCAGAGGTTTTAAAATAGTATCTGTGTCTCCTATAAAATTTAATTTTTTAATTTTTCAAGAATACTAAAGCATTCTCTGAGTGCAGCAAAGATAAACAGAGATTTAAAAATATTTGTATCTTCTATAAAAGTTTTTTAAACTAATTGTTATTAATATTTATTAAAGTTAAAATAATAATCCTTGAAAGTTTATTGATGAGGAGTACATTAATTGTCTTAAGTCAAATGTTTAAAGATAATAATAGTTAAAATATAAAAAAAAGTACTTGATTTTCAAGATGAAACTCTTATAGGTGGGGATGTGCATCAACCTCTTGTAGCTGAAGAGAAGATTGTATTTGGCATAAATGCTGCTGCTGTGTCAAGTATGACACTGAACAAGATTCGAAGGGGCTACAGCAAAGCAGATTGTAAATCCATAGCCAAAACGGTATGTATTTTGTAAGAATGACTGAAAATGTTATTTGTGAATTATTTGCCAAGTAATCAAAGTGTGTACCTTTTAAATACATGACAATAAAAACCATAGCATTTGTTAGTTATTGCCAAAGCATCCTGATGTGAAATAAATAAATTTCAAAATTTAAACCTGAAATGTGTTGATTGATCACACTCATAGTGCCGTCCAATTAATTGATAAAAAAGTCTATTGTAGATATATACAGGGTGATTCATTACCAATGCGACAAACTTACAGGATATATAAGGAGCACAAAGATGATTCGGAATCACATAGCATTGAAGGGTCTGAAAAGCCTTCTACCTGAGTTATGGTTAAAAGAAGTAAAGAGAAAGAATCAAAGCAAGAACACATTAGTGTCGCCCCCAGCAACCAGCAGATACTTTAGCCGCTTTAGGCTTGGTCTCTTTATTGTGGAAAGCATGTAGTAGGTGGGCCACTATTACCATCTGTGAAGGGATGGACAATTATAGCCATGTGTTCTTCAGAATTCAAACCCAGGCAGCAGATTATTGGCAGCTCAATTGTAGATTTTCCATGTGCAGAACTTGATTTCCCTCCTACATGAATATTTGGCTTAGCTGTCGATGTTGAAGCATGGCCAAGTTAATTCCCATGGTTTTTTCTTCTTTGAGTTTTCATAGTGGATCCATTTTTCATCATCAGTGACTATATGATGCAAAAAATCCTTTCATTTTTGCCTGGCAAGAAGCATTTAACATGTAAAAAATTGATTGTCAACATTTTCTTGGGTTCAGTACATGTGGAACCCAATTTCCTTGCTTTTGAATTTTTGAATCATTCTCAATAGTTTTAAACGATGTGAAATTACTTGTTGAATCACGTCTAATGTAAGTGCAACTGCTACTTGCATTTGGCACAAATCTTCATCCAATAATGCTTCCAATTTCAAATCTGCATATACTTTCATCTTTCTACTGCATTCTTTGTCTTTGATGCCAAATTCACCTTCTTAAACTTTTCAAACTGTTTACAACTTCTCTCACTTATGGCAGCCTCATCATATACTTCTACAAGCAGCAGATGTGCCTCAACTCCAAATTTCTTCAAATTAAAGAAGTAAATCAAAAGTTCCTGCAAATGATGCTCATTCACCTTGAAACTTGACATTTTAGCACAACATATATATATATATATATATATATCCTGATACGAAATCGCTACTATTTTAAGGTTTTCTTGTTAGCAGATGTCCAACCTTACGATATGACGTTTTACTTCAGATAATTTTAACCATAACTTACTGTTGCCAAAATTTTTGTCAGACATGCAAAAAGTTATTTATACTCCCAATAATATACCTATTTTAATAGTATACTTTAAAACATGTTTGAAATGCATTTTGGAACATTTTAGTTATTAGAACTATGTAATTTTATTCAATGAGTTTTGGAAGAGAAAAACTGATCTGAAGTTAATTATAGATCATGAATTTTTTCTTTAAAACTTTAGAGGTAAAGAAGATCAAGATAAATATTCAGATTTAAAATGCCGTATTCATTAAGAAATACTAAAAAATACCTTTTCATGAAGACAACATACTATGTAAATGATTAAAATAATACTGGAAGATTATAAGGGAAGATGTGAAATTTGATCTCATATTTATGAGTTTTATGCTTAATATGTAAATAAAAATGTTTGGTTGAAGTACATCTGTTGATTCATTTCTTTTTCATAGCTTGGTATGTCTACACATGAAAGTGCCACTCCTATTCAAATTCTTCATAATTCTGGAGGACATCTTAGTGGACCAGCTCGGTGCTTGGGTGGAATTCTTGTAGGATATCTTGGTAAGGATACCAAAATGTATTTTTCTGTTTTTCCCCTCTATTAATTAAATGAGAGCATTATGATATTATATGAAGGTTGCCAAAAATAACAAAGATACATTTATTAATCTTGAAATATATTAGACATAATATGATACAGACTTTTTTTCAAAAGTCTCCATTGATTACTGTACTCTTCGCCCAGTGTGTGTATTACAGCATGTGCTGGCAGACATCATCTTTAAAACTCAAAATGGCCATTGATAAATCACATTGATGGGCTTGGACTTTTAATTTTGGATAATATTTACACAGAGCTAAGTTTGAGCTCTATGGGGGATGCAAAACACATTGAATCTGTTTTAAAGCTAAGTATTGAAGAACATTGTGGAGAAATGTGAGCGCAGGCATTAACCCAATGTGAGTGCCAACCATATGTTTGCAGCTCAGGTCATTTTCTTCAGAAAACTAACTCATAATACTGCCAAGCAGCAATTCTGTGATCAGGCATTTCATGTTGCTAAACATTTCCGTGATGATCAAAGAAAAAAAAAATCACCGTTACTTTTCCTGCTGTATGATTTAAATATTATGCTTGCATGTTTGCTTTTACGAGGGCATTGTTGTAGCCAGCTCTCATCAGCAGGAATGATGAATTTTAAATATATTCCTTTCAATAATTTCGTAGCAGACTAGGAAGTTCTTGACATATATTTACCTTCACTTGCTTCTATTCTAGAATTAATAGTCTTGGCAGCCATTTGACCTGTTTTGTGTTCTGTGCTGTTGATCAAACAGAATGGTAAATGCACTATTATGAGAAACTGTACCATCTGTACCAATCCATCAACTCTTACATGGAAGTATTTGTTGTGAACAATGACATGGGTTGTGTTTATCATAACATGTTTCATTCCATCAGCACTAAAACCGCTTTGCTTTGAAAATTGAATATGATCATCTTTAAATCATTTGATCCACTAAAATGGAGTTGACTTTGGTAAAGCATATTTTCTAGATGTTTGTTGCAATATTTTATACTTTTCAGTAACAGGTTTGTGCAAATAAGCCCATTCAATACCCATAACTTCAGGGTTACATACTGCTTATCATAGACAGACTGTGTTTATATAGGCAGGAAGGAACTTGTCGGGATTTTTGCTTTCTTGCATTGCTTTATTTTGTATAATTTCTGTTGCAGCTTTTCCAGATAAACTGCAGATCTCTTCAAAGTATTTTTAATATCATTAACATCAAATTGTTGAATAGAATTTTAGTTAAGTATAGCAAAGTAAGGAGTCTGAATAATGTATGAGTATTTTCACATAAGGAATGGCATCAGCAATTATATATGATAGCTAAAAACAGTTTTGTGAGTAAGCATATCTTCAACAGCTGACTGTTAAAAAATTAATTGGCTAAGATAGGTTTTTCATAATGCAAATGTCTGAGCTATGCTTTTTTTTTTTTTTTTTTTTTTTTTTTTTTTTTTTGCTTAAGATATATAAAACGTTTTTTTAAAAAATTATAGTTCCATATGGGGGAAAAGTCAATAAGGAAAATATTTTTTATAGTCAAATTAGGGAAACAACAAAGTTCACCTTTATGTCATCTAAATTATCAGCAATATTATTAATTTTTTGGGCCATTTGCACATTTCCGAAGACAGCTTTATAATCAATTTTCTGAAAAATAATATTTTTAGCATCAACAATTGTGATTTTATTTGTAAGGGTTTTGAACTGCCATTTGTAGAAATTAATAAAGTATGAAAAAAAACTTTTATAAGTAATGGAATTTCTATATGGGTGTGTTAATATTCATTTATATTTTACATATGTTTTCACCTAGGTAAATTATGTAATTTTGATAATTTTTTTCAAGCCTAATTTTGTGGATTACAAAACTCGCTTTTTTTAAAAAGATAATTTAGTAGGGGGAAAAAGTAACCTATTATTTGGAATTTTCTTTACTAACGACAAGTATAAAAGTAAAAATTTTCCATGTATTTGCTAAACGATATCACGCTAGATGTTGCCATAATATGAAAACTTGTGTTAATCAAAAGTTATTAATTACAATCAAAAGTCTGTGATTAAACTTTCTGAGTAATAAAATGATGGTGAATCCTTATTTGTTTGAAAATAAGGATTAGCCATTGTTTAATTATAAACAGGTTATTACTCAAAACAACGTAATTTTAATGTAACACAGTTGTAGTTTTCAAATGGTGAAAGATTTAAACTGCCCATTATCTATATCCTTGGTCTTCCACTGTTGTTATTTTTATTATTATTCACTTTCTTATAAATATGAGCATAAGTTTCCAAAAAAAAAAATCTGAACGAAATTGTGAAATGACATTTTAGAGTCATCTTTTTCAAAGACAGCTTATTTCAGTAACAAGTGTGATAATAAGTAAAAGCCTAAATTTAAAAAATAATTCATGAAATCCATGATGACTATTAATTTTAAAAATAACACATTTAAATAATTAAATTTTGAATACAGTTTTAATTCTTACTTTTATATAGCAAAATCTTTGCAAATCTTGATAATTTAGTTTTTCCTGTAGTATGACTAGTATCCATAAATTTTTTTACAAAAAAGGAAGAGTGAAAATTGCTGCTATGGAATAAGTATGTTTTTGATTTGTTTCTGAATCGTATTTTCTTTTTAATACTGAAGTGTATTCTGTGTAATTCTTCATACTGATGTTCATTATGACTTTACTAGGTGCTAGAACATTTGTTCCTCATCCTGTGTCCTTGACTATTGATAATGTTGGAGGCACAGCTACCCTTCTTGGTCTTGTGGCAATGGCAAAAGATGTTGAAGGTCTATATGCTGCTGTTAAAGCTTTAGTATGTGTTGTCAAAAGTAACAGAGCAGCGCAGCAGGAGATGGATAGAATGAAAAGATATCAGGTATTAATTTTGCATATCTTCATCAGATAACTTTTTAGTCCATGCAGTCAATGTTGTCTTTCAGTTCAAATCAATTTTTAAAAATTATCCCAATTTCTGTCGCTGCCCCCATGACTTAGAGGTTGACTCCTAGTAACCATAGGCTACTACTGGCAATCATTTGCTCCAAAGAGGACCACTATTATTTGATTAAATTTTATTTTCTGAACTTGTTAAAATTTACTTCCACTGCTTTATCATGGCCTATATTTTGACCTTGAATTAGATTTAATCTGTAGCTTGTCTGTGACCAGTGGCTTTAATGTGGACTGATCTGCTTCATTTTCATTTCAATTAAAGAATTTACTGCAGCACTGCTTTACACCAACGTAAAGCAGTGACCAGCAGCTTTAGAAGCACCGGTAGGCCTCTGTTTAATTTTAAAATCTACCCAAATTTACTGCACTTCAAATACTGGTAACATATGTGCTGATTGCCAATGACCGTCAGCCTTTCACATTTATTTTTATTCGTGGTGACCAACAGCTCTGACAGACAATAGAGTTATATATTTTAAAATGTAAATAAATTTACTGCAGTGCCTCATTTGTTGACCCTAAGTAGGTTACTAATAGTCACAGTAGACACCAGAACCAATCACCCGTATGTATGAGTTATGATTAATTTTTAGCTATCTAAATTAATTAAACTGCCTCATACAGGTGTTTCAGTGATTGACCCACAATGGCGGTAACACTCTAATACTGTGATAACTAGGTAACTTTTTAACAGGTAACAATGTGTAATGTCATTTTAAAATCTGTAAATTTACTGCACTACCATGTGTTGATGATCTGTTGATTCACAGTAGCTTGTAGATCATAAGTGAATTGCACTCTTAGAGCTACAGTGCCCTTAAATTTAGTTTTGGCATTAAAAATTTTCTTAACACTTTTCATAATTTTGGAATTCGAACTATTTTTGTCAGAGTATTTCCAAAATTTTGGAGCATTACATTATCATGTACATAACATTCACTCACTTTGTCAAGTGTAATTGCTGCACAAAGCTTACATTTAATTTATCCTTGGCACTTCTCATGACCCAGTTATCAGATTGTTGCCATTCAGCAAAATCTAACATCTCTTTATTTTGAAGTTATGAATATATAATTGCTTAATGAACTGGTTAATTTAAAAGCAATAATCATATTTCAATGTTAAATGTTTATTTTATTATTTAATAAGGTAATGGGGTAGAAGTTAAAATGCATTGAAATATATTATAATTAATGACATATGTTTCTAATGTCATCCATATATTACATTTTTAATTCAGAATCATTTGTTCCCCCTTTTATTTGTTACTTTTAGTTTTTGTTCTGTTGCAAAAAACATTTTCCTGTAATGTATGTTTTTTAACATCTATAGGTTATACATTACATTAGAACTCAATAATTTCTTCTGTATTACAAAAACAGTTATAGTCAAAGTGTGTTGTCTTGAACGTATTTACCGTCTAACATAAATCATGTTCTTTACAGACATTAGCAATGTTATTCAAGAAGAAAAGAAGTTTATTAAATAGCCATATACTTCATCTAACTTTCTCTTTGGTTGGAACTGTAGACAGTGGAAGAGAAAACACATCCATACCAAATATCTCAGCTTTTGAAGATCTATTATGCGATCTTGAAGTAAGAATTATTTAAAATGTGTTCTGCTTTATGTGAGTTTCAGTTTCATTTTTTACTTTCATTTTCTTTAGACTTGTTTTAAGTTCTTAATATTTTCAAAATGCCCATTGCTGAATTTTTTTATTAACTCAGATAGCTGTATATGATGCAGGTTTTGGAGAGTAATCCTATTGATTTGTATATTTTAACTGAATGTAAAGATGAAACTATATTCCAAAGACAAATGAAATTATTTAATAAAATATTGAAGTTTTATTACAGGAGAGTAGTTATTATATTATTATTTTTTTTTTTTTTTTTTTTTTTTTTTTTTTTTTTTTTTGTTTTTTTTTTTTTTTTTTTTTTTTTCCAGGTTTGGCAAGATTCACCTGGGGATCTCCAAAAGTCATTGTATGAACATTTCTGTGAGCTGGTTGCTGAATCTAGGTAGCAGTAACATATGTTTCTTGCTATGTTATTAAACTTCTGACTTCTAATTTATATTCATGTCCATGATTAAATTACTGAATAAGATGTAATTAACCCCTTAATACACCAATAAAAATTAACAAAGTGTTTTTGTTTCCATTTAGTTTTTTTTATTCTTTATTTAAACTCTGTTTTAATTTTTTTTTTATTACATTTATTTACTTTTTAGCTCAAAGCTTTAGTAGATATATTTTGTTGAACAGAGGCTGTGCACACATTTTTTAGATGATTTTCTTTTTAAAAAATTTTTAACTGCAGCTATAAATTATCATCTGCTACTTGATAGTTTTGTTTTCATGCAAAATGCCGCTTTTAAAGAAACAATGGATGATGGATGGAAGGCTATGATTCTCTTCCTTCCAAAGAAAATTATTCGTATCTTGTTATTAAAAAACATTGTGAAAGCCATAGTATTTTTGTATCTAAAGATACGATAGGTAATGTTGTCAACAACAAAAGGAAAAAACGTCAAAATTTAGCTTCAAGTGGGAAAATTGTTCAAATATGTATCCAAGGAAAAAATGAAATGTTTCAATTGTTGCAAATGTGAGACCTTTAATGTTAAAGGAAAATCCACCAAGTCAAGGAGCAGTTGCAAAATCAATAAAATTCTGTGTTTCAACTGTAAACACAGTGATTAATGCTGATTTGAATCTTAAAAGGGTGAAAAATAATGTGCATCATCTTTCTCCATGACATATCGCAGAACACACTGCAGAGTTCTTTATGAAAAGCATTTATCCGGACAAAAATACAAAAGTGTTGTCGCAGTAGATGAATCTTGGGTGTACTTAAATAATTGCAATGAAAAGAGATCCATTTTTATCATCAAACAATAGAAAAAAATCTTAAAACAGGGTTCAAGGAATCCAAAGAAAGTTTTGCTAAAGGGTTTATGAGTGTTTCTGGTTTTTTACATGATGGCAAATTAAAGATAGAGTGTAGAAAAATGTTAAGGCCAACTCCACTTATCAAAAAATGTATTTTAGGCCCAGTTTTTAAATATGAAATACCTTCTCTTTACACACATTGTGATCAATCAGTAGAACTGCATTAAGACAATGCAAGTAGCAACATGTCAAAATCTATTGTTAATTTCTTATAAAAAATGGAACAAGAAATGGGTATCAAGGCTGTACCTTTCTCTCATCCTTACTAAATCTCATGATCTATCACCAATATATTTTTGTACTTTTAGACTTATAAAAAGTGGGTTATCCAAACATCGACCTGCAACCTTCTTAGACTTTGGAAAGCTGTTCAAGAGCAATGAGATAAAATACCTCTTCCAATGCTGCAAAAGGCTTTTTTTTTTTATTATTGTCTTGGAAATTATGGTGTATAAAAGTAATAAAAAATAACAGTTATCAAATAAAACATTTAAAACATAAACATTTTTGGTAGAATATTTCTGTAATTACAATGAAAATTGTGTAAAAAATATGTGAACAGCCTCTGTATCCATATCTTAAAAAATTCTTAAATGTATTTACTGGGGCACATGAAAATAATTTAATTTGTGTAGCTGAGTTAATTCGGTTGAGTGCATTAAGAGGTTAGTAACCAGGGTGAAAATGTTCTCTTCATTGTTATTTCATTTACGCTTTGGTAGTTAATCATAAATGTAGCTTAACATCATTTTATGTTATGATGAATTGAAAGCTTTATTTATGCTATAATAAGTCATGATATCTTTGGAAGCTAAATGAGCCTTTTGTCTGTATGATATTTCTTGTTTGATGTAATTAGATATCTGATATTGCATCAGAAGTATAGTCATAAAGTTAAACCGAGAATTGCTGCAATTAAAATGTAAAGGAAAACATTGTAATTGATTAGTACTTAAAAGTTAATAAAGTGATTTTTCAGGATTTAATGTTATACCATTAATAAACAATTGTACTTAATAATAAGAAATTGTAGCATAATATAGAAATGAAATATGGAGAGAATTTTGTGTTAAGGAAAATTATTATGTCTTCAGATGTATAATTAATAAACATTTTAAATTAGCTGATGAACATTCATCTTAATGCATCCCCAAAAAATCCTTAAAACATTATAAAAATAAATAAATTAGTATTTTATGCTTATTTGTTATCCTAAGTCACGTTTTCTTGATGGTAGTTTTTTTATTATTATTTTATTTAATTAGTTGTGTGACACACACATGATGAGCTAAAGTTGGATTTACTTCATAGGAATTGTGTGCTGCAGAAAGATAAAATATGAAAAAAATGCTCATAAAACTTGTATTTTTTTGTATTTTGTGTGGCTGTGGAGAAAGAAAAAAAAAAAACAATATTAGAAGATCATTATCCAAACACTGGATTGTTGGCATCATTATCAGAAAATAAAAATGCTTGAAAAGTGAATGCAAAACAGGCAGCATGACCAAAGGTTCAGTAATAGTTGGATTTTTTAGATGAATATTCATTCAACATAAGATAAAGGTTACCAAAATATCATTCTTACTCTAGGTGTTTTACCACCAAAAAAATTCTTACTGCCAAAAAATGTGACCCAGATAGTGAAAAAAGTGCCAACCAGTCTTTCCACACACACGCAGTATGCTTTTGAAAAGCATTTTCATGTTAAAAGTTGTCTGTTCCTTGTATTTGGTTTTTTTTTTTTTTTTTTTTTTTTAAGATCTCTTAAATTTGAAAAGTTTTAAGTATGATTTTTCTTCCCTTATTTGATCAATTGACTGTACAGTGCAAATATAATTTGTCTATTGGAAGAAATTTAATTATTGTAAAACTGTATTTTCTCTAGTGAGCATAAATCTAATCTAAAAATCCTTCGTGAATTAAATATGGTGAATCGTCTGCTCCATGTCCTTAAGCAGCTTCAGTTATCTTCAGCAACTTGCCGCATTTTGTGCCGACTGCTTTGCATTTTGTTACAGGATACAAACAGAAATGGAGATATTAGATGGTAAGCAGCATAATTTAAGATACCTTCTTGAATTTATTATTTGATATTAATTTATATTTTAAATACACTAATAATTAGTTTTTAAGATCTATTACTAGCTTAACTCTTTATTTCTGTATGGGACTTTTTAAGTCCTGTTAGTAAAATTGCTCAATTATGTCCCAATGTAATTTTTATGGCCCTAGTTTTAGTTTTAAAAAAATGAAAAGCTTATATCAATTTTGTAAATCTAATGTGAGGTGTTTCTTATGCATAAAGAAGTGTAATGAAAATATTCTAAATTCTTTTTCAAAAAGTACAAGTAAGGGCATAAAGAGTTAAAAGGTGTTTCAGTTAGTACTGTAGCAAGTTAAGTTGTAAGATCTATCTCTACTTGTCCACATGCACTAGCTTAGATCTTACAATGAACCTGGCGAATTCTCACACAGGCATGAATTAAATACCAGCACAGAAGCAAAATAACCCTTTATTAACTCATACTAAATTAACAGAAAGCACGGACTTCATGCGTTACAAAACACCGTTCACTTGCGGCGATAACTAAACGCAGACTAGAATACAAAACAAAATGTGAAAAAATAAATGAGTGCAAGAACGCACTTCAAAATTACTCCTAAAAGATGGACTCGCAGAAATCTAACCGGCATGATACTAAACTGATAAGGCCAAGAGGCTTACTAGAGTGACCGGGAAATAACAACGAAACATGGGCTAGGCTAGCGAAACACGCTGTGAATAAACTGAGATAATTACACATTTAAATAGCACTTCACTTAACTTTAAATTTACATCCTGGTGAGAGAATGTGAGGGGAAGTTTGAGAAGTTGAGAACAGGAAAACTTAAAATAAATTTGTTATGCAAATTAAGAAAAACCCTACAAAGTAAATTTGATTTTGTCCTAAGAATTTTTTCCCTCATTTTCTGTAGCAAGATTATGATATTTAGCAGCTATTATTTTATTACCTGCCAATTGTTATTTAATTTATAGAGTGTCATAATGCTCATGTGCTATACACTTTTAGTAACATAGTAAATCAACTCTGCAAATATTAAATTTATTTGTTCTAAAATAAAATAAAAAATTATCACCTAATAGATGTTTTAATCCATCTCCCCCTTGCAGTTTTTTATTAAAGTACTTAAATGTATTATAAGAGTAGAAAATTAAATTTTGAAGTAATGAAATTTGTGTTGCTTTTTTATTTTTTTAGTTTAGGGCAGTTTATAGCTGCCACAATTCCAGTATCATCAATAAAAGAAAAAGAGATTGATCTAAAAGGAAATATAAATGATGCTTTGACTAATTCTGGTATGCTTTAGTTTTTTTTTTTTTTTTTTTTTTTTTTTTTTTTTTTTTATTTTTTTTTTTTTTTTTTTTTTTTCTGTAGAATTGCTAAAACTAAAATTATTAGTAAAATTTTTGCACTTTTTTATTAACCCAGATGGCTGTATAACATGCAGGGTTTGGAGAGTAATCCTATTGGTTTATATATTGTAACTGACTGTAAAGATGAAACTGCATTCCAAAGACAAATGAAATTATTTAATATGTATTTGTAGCAATTATGTTGAAGTTACTTGTATTATTTTTTCTTTTTTAATTTCTCAGAAAACAAGGAATTTGTTGAAGCCAAAAATAATCAGAATATTTTGTTAAGAAACCACTGCCTTGGTTTATTCTGCTCTCTGCTTGCAAAAGGAGGAGCTGCTAATTATCAGTAATACTGTTTGTTAATGTTATATTCTTTATATATATTCAGTTTATAATTATGTATAAAATCAGTGTATGTATTCTTTATGTAAGTTGAATTAAAAAAGGAAATGACTAGCAATATATAAATATGTACATATATATGTGTGTGTATTTCGTGAACTGTTCAAATAGTATGGCCACTTTTATGTAGTTGTGAAATTTGTTTTTGTTTTATAAATATTAGATTTGAAATTATTTTGCTCTCTTATTTTCTTTCATGGTATAGACCCATTCGTAATACAAAGTAAAACACAGTGTATATATTTATACAAAAAAATAAAAATCGCTGAATTCTCCTTGTCTTTGAACAAGATGATGAAGGGGGAAAAAATCTTTGTCACAGTTGACCTGCTTTACATAAGTGACCAACTGACACTTTTGTAGGAGCATCTAAAGTAATAGAATGATTCATACAAACAAGAGAATGGTCTGAATGAGATAAAATTATGAGGGATAGATTTGCTGACATAGCACAGGGTCACTGATATTGCTAAAACGTCCTGTGAGCTCCACATATATATTTGAATATTTTATAGTGTGGTAGCTCACTGCATTCTTACACTATTTTCTGTAAAGAAACATATGTCTCGTGAATAACATATGCATTTCTCATCTTGCAGAATTATTCAAGAAGCATTCTATGTGAATTTTTAGCATCTTCCATAGCTGCCTGTCACATTCCTACATGCATGCTGTCATGTGTAAATGATTTGTACCTCCATCTAGCAAATGGAAGATCTTTAGTTTAAATTACAGTGAGGGCATAGTTGACTTTTCATGTTTCTTAAAGTTTCTACATTAGCACCTAAACTAAAATATAGTGGATACTTATTTCGTCACCACCAGGTTTGGGTGAGCTGATTCTTTTTCTTCTTCTCAATAATCCTTGAAGTTAGAGAGAAGAATATAATTATTGCATTCCATCATAAGTGCTGACATGGTATAAGATAGCATATCCAGCTGGCAGTTGGAAGATCTGAAGTTCCAATCCCAGAAGTCACAGTCAATTTCTCATATTTTTCCCACTAAAAAGTGAATAGTCACTATAGTGGCACGTGAAAAATATGGTGATATAGTGGGTCATAGGTTGTGACCACCTAGATTTGGTCGAATAAATATCATGCCCTTTCCCAGTCACATTTTGAGTAGAGAGGAATCTAAGGAATTTTGCAATCCATTTTGTGTGCTCTTGTGGTGGTATAAGCAGTTAGTACATCCAGCTAGCAAACATAAGAGTTTAGGTTCGAATCTTTGTAAGGCACAGCTGATTTTTTATATTTCCTGCATTAAAAAGAAACTGATAGTTCTTACAACTAGACAATTGTGAGAAATAACTTCAGTTAGGAGACATATATAGCATGAACTTTAAAGTTAATTAAAGTTTTAAAACTCAGTCTAGTTTGGCAGTGATTCAGATTAGAGACTGCTATGTTATTAAATTATAATTCTGTTTGCTTTTTCCTCCTCTGCCATGGATAGATTTCTGTTTTCGAAAAAAGTAGTACTAGCCCTTGAAAAATTTGGGCAGACTTACTATCTGCATTTCAAAGCAGATCTTCAGTGGACAGTTATAATTCCTTCATGGGCTACAAATTAAGTTGTAATGGTAATAGATTTTTATTAAATTTTGTTCATAGATTCTTTGTGAATTATTTAATTATAGTAATGTATTATTCATATTTTGCATATGTAATCTGAGTGCATGCACACATATATATTTATCAGAGAGAGAGCATGTAAGATTTAATAATGTAATTATATTTCTAGATTCTGTGAAGCACTGATTAAATGTTTGGGTTATGATTGGGTTCTTCTGTTTCTTCAAGAGCACTTACATCAGACAACAGTAATCTGGGGTCTTAAAATTCTAGCTGTGTTATTAAGTCATCAGCATCTTTTGCAGTTATTCAGGGAATCTTCAGTGAATGGTGGTTGGCTTGCTGAGACAGATGCTGTACTCAATAGTAGGATGGATATTGTTCTCGGTTAGCTACTTTTATGCTATGATCATGAGAGTATTTTAAAATCTCTATGTTTATTACTGTTTTTTAATGATTTGAAATGGATTTCCATTGTTTTCTTCTTTAGCTATTGAACTATTAAATTTAAAATCAAAATATCTGTATAATAAAAATTTTATCCATATTTTGATTTTATTTTTTGTTTGATATACCATCATGTGTAATTTTTTTACATTGTAATTGTTATCATTATCTGTATTTATAGCAATATGCAAAAACTGTGAATAAAAATTAATGTAGCAAATTTAAATCTGGTTATTTATTTTTTAAACTTAGAAGTAGTAATGGTTTCAGAGTTTACACAGTGATTATATATAAAGTATTAAAAGAACTGAAATTCATTGAAATCGAAAAAATTTATAATCTCTGAAATGGGATTTATAAAATGATATAACTATTTTCAAATTACATTTAGTTATATAAAACAGCAAATTAATCATCAAGCTATGCATTTAATAATTAATCCAATTTCTATACAGAGTGACATATTAATAATATTATGTAGTGCATTATGTATGCATAGATTTCTCGTGCTTTATGAAAATAGCTTTTTTGTGAAACCTTTTGTAAACCAAAATACTGTAAAACTAAGAAACAATTACCATTAATTTACATAACTGGAAAATATAGAGAATAAGTACAGTGAGTTGATCCATGGTAGATATCCATAGAGGTAGTGGTCTCTTCCATTGTAATGCAGTTATGTTATTTCAACTTGGCTTTAACTTGCATAATCTTTCAGTCTAACTTTTTATATCATTCTCATTGAGTCTGACATGTTTAAAAAGAATATTATGTGGAACAAATGCTGTTTACAAGGTTCCTTCTCCATATAGATACTGCATCACCCTACTGAACCATACTTTTATTCTTCAATGAATTTCAATGCATTTATCCCTTCAACAACCAAAAAACAAGTAACTGAATACTGCTCTTTTTTCATGCATGCTGCAAATACCATTTTTAGTAGTCATTGTTTAGCATTTTTGGATCCTGCACTATCTATCAGCTATGTTTTAACTCATCAGAATCCCTGTTGCCAATTTTTAGATTAGTTAGTTAATTTTTTTGGGGGGGAGGAGGCTTGGTGTATTATTTTAAAGCACCACAGTGACTTCCAAGTAATGTGTCATTTATGTTCCAAAATTATTTTGGAGTATTTTTCATTTTTATAGTAGAATTTATTTTTTTCTTAGAACGTAATATCTCTTTTGCGAACTTTAGTCCAATTTGCTATGAAACATACTACCATTTTGTGGCACGACTATATGGAACTTAAATCATTGCTGTGTGATCTGTTAAGTCATGAAAAGCTTATTTATATGAGCCCATTGAATAGGTATTTGTTCCAGGAATTGAATAATTTTTTAAAAAAAAAAGTATTTATGTTTTAAAGTACAGAATGTTATAGCAAAAGAATAATATGTGTAAATATTTTGGATCATTTCATATAGTTATAGCAAAAAGAATTTTTTGAGTAGGAGGAGTGCTTATTTTGAACAGTGTCTATTTAATAATAATTCTGAATTTTTGATAAAATAAAAAATTGTGTCATATGTGATGTATATGTAATTACTCATTTAATTGTAAATTTATTAAATATTTTTTGCCTAAAATTGTTTTCATACTTTTTTTCATAATACATTTAATTTCTTAGGGTTCAATGTTAGTGAATCAAATCCAAAGTCTTTTGGAAGTACAGATGTAAGTGAAGAAGCTTGTCATGTTCCTGGTTTTCAGCATCTGCAGTTTCTGCTTGTTCATCATGTTGAAATTCCTGAAGCATATTATTTATTACTTTCCATTTTACTTGGCCTCTTTCCTTCTGCATTACCTGCTAAGGCAAAAGTAATAATATATTTCAATACCTCCATTCTCAGTGTAGTTAGTGCTTTAATGTTTGTTTAAAAAATGTATTATTTGTATATTGAATTTATCCAAAAATGGCAAACAGATAATTGGGTGAAGATCTAGGAAATCATTCTGAAAATCTGTAACTTTATCAGAGTTGATTTAATAATATATTTTACAAAGAAAAACTTTTCTTGGGAAAATTGCCATGTTTAAAATACTTGATATGAAAATCCATCCATTCCCAGATTTAGAATGTTACAAAATAGAAATATTGCCACTCGAGGGAAGTAGTTTTAGCAGACCTCATGCACATACCTTCCATTGAAATCTTCAAAATTTAAGTCTGTTTTTTCTTAAACAAATGTGCAAGTTTCTACATGGCACTCATTTTCAATGAAATAATAGCATATTAATTATTTTAAACTTTTTGTGTTGTTATTTCAAATAGCTCATTTTAAATATAATTTATCTGTTGCATCTGAAATTTTTGGAGGGTTAATTTTAAACTAATAAGGTTATCACAACTACTTAGCTGAAAAGTTTTTCATATGTGGTGTTACAATGTTTTTATTTTTTAATTTTTAAAATATTTTTTGAAGTTTTAAAAACTAAAATGGAATTTTTCAAGATGGTAAGTTATCTGAAGTCTTAGGTGTATTTTTTGGGGGGGGCACATAATTTATCTAACTATGTAAAGTAAAATTTTTTATCTGGAAAAGGTATTTCATTGTTATTACAGTAATAAGTTTCTTTATTATAATTTAATTGTAATGCATGCTTAATCTTAATCATTATATGTTACCTTAAAATATAAGCTCAAGCAGATATTTCAAATGTATCTCATGCACAGAATATCTTTCAAAGTGTTTTTCTTTTAATAATTTTTTGGAGCAAGATTGAAGATAAAGAGAAATGTTGTTGAATTGTAATAATTAATAAACTTGTAAGTGAGTGAAATTAAAATTGTAAAAATACTTTTATTTATTATTAATTATAAATTCAAATGGTATATTTTAATCATTAAAAATGCTAATAATTGTTTCCTTTTTTAAGCTTACAATGGATGCAGTGTGGTCTTATTTGTTTGGAGCTCCATCAGGTCAAACTCCCAACAATCAGATTATACCTAGAGGAGAAATTTGCCAAGAAGCTGCTGTTGTAGTTTTAGCAATGATCAGATCCATCATTCACACAGTAGGTTCTAAAAATATCTTTCATTTTAGATGGTTGGAATTGCCAAATAAATACACCAGCATTTTTATCATGCAGTAATTGATCTTCTTATGAAATTGAAATGAAATCTTGAATATGTAAAACGAACTTTTATTGAACAGCAATAAAAAAATGACCAGTTAATAGCATATCAGTGGCTAGGGAGGCCCAACGGTGACCAAGTGGTAAAATTGCAAAACACTGGTAGATCAACCTGGCTTCGAATCACAGCAAGCAGTCTGGCTGCATGGGTGTTTAATGATTTTTTTTTCCATGTTTGATTTGGATATGAAATAATTTCCATCAGAAAGTTCTCCACAAAGGTATCCCTTCCTTTAAACAGATAGCTCTTCAGTGCTTTATCATAATCAAATAAACCAAACTATGATAGTGTATTTGGAGTAGTCCAGTATTGGAATGGTCTTAATGCCAGTGCTAATTTGTGCATTTTTCATTATAAATAACATAATTTTGTTAAATGCAAGTTATTATTTACAAGGATTACAGTAACTCAAAAAATTAATAATCGGAAATGCGGTAAATCTTTGTTAGGTCTTTACCCGCTTTGTTTAACTATGATTTTAATTTAATGAGATCTAATAATTAGGAATCCACTCTATCACTTAATCACTTAATTTGAATTTCATTGAAGATTGGTCTGCATTAGATTCATTTGAACTCTGAAATCTGTTTTGTTTGATTTGGACCTTGTTTAAATTTTAGGAAAAGAAAATATGTGATTCAGTCTTGGTCAGATGTAATTAATAAGTATTCTTCTCCCATTTAGTAGTGTTTCTTATTTTTAAGTTTTGAACGGAAAAGAAAGCGGAGTCTGGTATAAAGCTGTAAAAAACATTTAATGTGTATATACTAAATGTGATGAATATGATATATTAAGTTCCCAGACTAGCTCTAAAAAATTACATACTTTGAGTATCCTTTCTTTTAAAATAATCCTGTCTCAATACTCTTACCACATCTGAAATGCAATTTCAATGGGATATTGCATAAACCGAATCCATAACCTTTTACTATTCACACTGGAACTCATCACCAGTAATTATCTTGGGTGTAAAGGATGGATTATTTTTCACATGCTTATACAAATCTTAACACTCTGCAACACAATATTCCATCTGCTGAGGAGTCAGCAAATGAGAGACAAAGATAACAATGCCACGCTGCATGATCAATTCTGAGATTAGCATTTTCTACACAGATCCATTCAACATACTAACAATGTCTGTAATATCATTAATCATCTTCCAATCATAAGCATGCATAAATTCCTGAATTTTTTGTTTATTTTGGAGGATAATGCTCGTAGAAAATCTTCCGAATGGTTCATAGTCTTCAAGGACTATTCTTCCATCTTTTCACCTGTGATATCTGAAACATTGTGAATGATTCGTTGCCTCAAGGCCATAAGCTTGCTAAAAAACTATCAGGATGGATTATTTTTCACGTGCTTAATCAAATCTTAGCTCTCTAAAACACAATATCCTGTCTGCTGAGGAGTCAGCAAATCAGGGACAAAGATGGCAATGCCATGCTGCATGATCAATTCTGAGATTAGCATTTTTTACACAGATCCATTCAACATATCAATAATGTCTGTAATGTCATTAATCATCTTCCAATCATAAGCATGTATAAGTTCCTGAAAATGTTGTTTATTTTGGAGGATAATGCTCATAGAAAATCTTCCAAATGGTTCATACACATCAAGGAATATTCTTCCATCTTTGAAACACCTGTGCCACTTGAAACATTGTGAAAGTTGCCTCAAAGCCATAAGTTTGCTAAAAACACTATCAGTGTCTCTCTGGTGAATTTACTCAGTTTAATAAAGCACATCACATTGGCAGTTTGTTCCACATTGTCCATGAGATAATCACACTAATTATAATACATTAGCTCAATTCTTCTGCTTAATTCCACATTTTTATGTTATAAAACTCTCAGTTAAGACTCAAACATAAATCATGAAAAAAAATTATATAAAAAACATGTACTTTTAATTTACTTTCATGTTTTTTTTTATTCTAAAGCTCTGAATAAAATATTGATCATATTTTTGTACTTAATTCCATGACTTTAAAACTCTAAACTGAACAAAGCCATGTAATTATATTGAAGAAAAAGATTTTGTCATATGGGCATTTGGTGTTTGTCTGTTTTATAAATCAGAGTCTCCAGTTGGTCATTGCATATTAGCCAGTACATGAACAAACCGACTAAAAGTGTTTATTTCTTTATTTTTTTTTCATGTTAATCTCTTTACTAATTAATATATTTCAAAGTACTTTTCACCTTACAGTAGTTATATGTATGATTATAAGCATTTTATTGATACTGTAATATGAGTATATAAGCTCTATCAATAATTTAAAGTGTTGAAAATATTGCTGGTGCTTCTAATTTTTGCTAACTGTTCATAATGAAAAATATGATTTATAGTTTTGTAGCATTAAGTAAATAAAGTATGTTTTTATAATTTTACAGGTTGGAGACCAAAATGAAATTGTTCTAGACTATTCTGTTACTCTCTTACACTTCTTTATTTCTCTATATCACAATAGATGTGATTTTGTAAGTATCTGTATGACACAAGATGTCATCACAGCTCTAGTTGCAACATTATTTCCTCCTAACCCTCCTACAACAGAGCAAGAGAATATGGTGAATTCTCCTTTAGATGAATACCAGGTAAGTATTATGTACAGCATCAATTACACTCTTTTTTTACTTCCTTATACGAAGTAAAGGAAGTATTGTAATTATGAAAATTTTTGCTTATCATATTTCAACTAAAATACCCATTTTGACTGCTATCGAATGCAATTTAAGGATATTTTTGTGTGACATCTGTACATACTCTTTTTCCCAAAATGAATTGTAAAATGGGTTTAAAATGATTTTAGAAGAGTTTTTTTTCATCACGTCTTCACGTATATTTATATCTAGCATAACTCAAAAATGAGTAGCTATAGAACATTGAAATTTTTTATATAGGACTGCGATAACATAGTTGCACACCTCCATTTTTGTTTCAAATTGGCGACACCAAAAGTATATGAGTAACACATCGTTAAGTATGTCCTGGGACTAGCTAAGAAAACAACATCCATTTCACAAAATTCACGTTTATTGATCAACATAATCACCATCAAGAGCCATGCAATCATTCCAACGCTTTTCTAACTTTTCGATACCGTGCTTGTGAAATGATTTGTCCTTGTCCGCAAAATAAGCCTCAGTGGCAGCGATGACTTCCTCATTCGAGCCAAATCTTTTTCCCTGGAGCATCGTTTCGAGATCAGCAAACAGCCAGCAGTCGTTGGGGGCTAGATCTGGAGAGTATGGTGGGTGGGGAAGCAAAGTAAAGCCCAACTTGTTCAATGTAACAAGTGTTTGCATTGACTTGTGGCATGGGGCATTGTCTTGATGGAAGATGATTTTTTCTTCTTCATATGCGGTCTTCCCCCCCCCACCAATTTCATCCTTCAGACGCACCAATAACTGACTGTAATAGGCACTATTGATAGATTTTCTCTTTTCAAAGTAGTCGATTAAATTATACCTCCAAAAACACTGATGCCATGACTTTGCCAGCTGACTGTTGCGTTTTTGGAACACTTCGGACGGCTTTCACCAGATGCACGCCACTCAGCTGATTGCCGCTTCGACTCCAGAGTGAAATAATGGATCCATGTTTCGTCCATTGTCACATACCGATGCAAGAAATTCTGTTTATTTTGAGTAAACAGTGACAAACAGTTCTGTGAATTGTCGACTTGTTTGTTGTTTTGTTGCTATGTTGCTTTTGTTCCATTGTGAGAACACGCGGCACCCATTTGGAAAACACTTTTTTTATGCCCAGCTTTTCATGTAAAATTGTACATGCACTTCCAGTTGATAAGTTTACGATCTGAACAATCTTACGAACTTTCACTTTGTGGTCATTCATCATGATTTTAAACACTTGTTTCACATTTTATGGAGTGACTGGCTTAATTTGGTCTACCCGAGCGTACGGCATCATTTGTATCTGTGCGACCATGCTTGAAATTAGCATACCAACAGCAAATGGTTGTTTTTGATGGAGCAGAGCCTGGATAACATTTTTCAAGCCATTGCTGAGCTTGGACGGTATTTTTGCCCATTAAATAGCAATGTTTAATCAATACTCGAAATTCGTTTTTCTCCATTTTGTCCCCAAATGCACAAGTAGTACCACTTTCACCACAATAGCTTCGCTATTTCCAGTCCGAATGCCATGAAACTCAGACACATGTAATTTGAAGATTAGTTCTTTCGAACAATGAAGTCAAGTTGATATTACTACACCATCTGTCGGCAGAGTCGTAGCTAGGGTTTTCAGCGCCCAGGGACAACTGAAGATTTCGCGCCCCCTACTGCTTTCCGAGGATGGAAAACATTTAATTCTAAAATGTCGTAACATCAGTTTGGCGCCCCTTGGATTCTGCGCCCGGGGACACATGCCCCCCTTGCCCCCCTCTAGCTACGCCCCCCTGTCTGTCGGTTAGTTCTGGGACATTGAACGATGTGTTATATATATCCACTCTGTTACTCGGCTCGGTAAGCTCAGTTTTTTTTTTATTCTTATATGCTGGTAAAGTGTGCATTTTTCGCTTTAAAAGAGATTGAATTATGTTGTTCTTATATCCTGGTTAAGGTTTTTATGCCTTTAGTTAGTCCACATGCAATAGTTGTAGAATAATCAACAATTTAAAAGTTGTTGATTAACCACCAAAACTACAAGGAATGTTTCTTTTCTCGTGAAAATAATAACAAATATTAAATTAAGCATTTATAACATAAATTTACATTGAAAATTTAAAAAAAAAATGCTCTTACCTGTGGAAAAAGCGAGTGTTGCGTTCGCGCAACGTCTGTGGAATAAGATTGCAGATGTTTAGTGAGTAGGATTGTACTCGTGTGATGTTTCTTTTGAGTGGAGCGCAGGATTACTTTTTAGCTGTATAACATTTTATAAATCTGTAAATCACTTTACTTGTAATTAATATTAAAATATACGTTGTATTTCTTTCACAAATACAGATTATTTCATTTGAAAGATTCAAGCATAAAAAGCTTGATTACGATCATGATGTAAAGCTACACAACGGACTTTACGATAAAATGTCTACCATCTCCATGGAATGGTTTTTGAATGCTGAATTTACTAGGTCTTCTTGTTGCTGATCTATTTCTGGCTAATTCTACACTCTCAATAGGAACTTGCAAAAGAAATAATGCATTCTCGCGTCTGAAATCTAAGATCTTCAATCTACTTCAAGATTTGACTTAGTAGTAAAAAGTGGTGATACTTAGTAAGTTTAGATACGGTCTCACCTCATATAATTTATCAGTATTGTCAAATGCAAATTCTGTTTCATATTCCTGTACTGCAAACATGTTATCAATTCTCGTACAACAGGAACACAATTGTCCTAATCAAAAGACCAATACATTTTTTGAGGTAAAGAATGATATCCTGTAAGTAATAATATTCCAATAAATCTTCTCATATAGGCTTCAGATGCAATAAATTCTATTTTTTTTTTTTTTTTTTTTTTTTTTTTTATGAAATTTGTAAAGAATATTTGTCCAGTTTAAACCTTAAATAAACTTATTTTCTGTCTGTCATACATCACAGTCAGAAAATATATATAATAACAAAACCCATGCTTTACCTTTTGATATTAGGTAAAACATGGGTTAAACGGGAGATGAATTTTAAAATTGCTGCCTATTACCTGAAAGACTTGAAAATATTATAAACTTAGATTAATGTAGGTGTTTTTTAAATTCTATAGATTTTGAGAGTGATTGATCTCTCAGTCAAAGAGCTGAAATTGACAATTTGTGCGTAGTTTTATGTAAATTCTACGTCAAATTAAGTTTTCTTTTGCCTGATTTTAAGTTTTTACATTGGTATGTGTTTTTTTCATATTCATTTTTATGAATGGTTAGATCCCTTTTATCATGCTGGTAAATCATCCTGACTTTTGGATAAATTAAAATCGTATGGAGAACAAGATAATATAAAACATACTAACTGGAGACATTCTGTGTTGAAGTTGACAAAAATAATCAAAATGATATCTGACATAGAGCAATAAAGCTTCTGTGTCAATTTCTGCTATGTGTACACAGACACTAGTACGGTAGTAGCTGTATAACTTTGCTTATCAAGTATAGTCCTCACATGCTACCTGTTTGTGCAGTATCTCAGGTAGCTTAAGATGAATGTATATATTTGTCTGTTCGATGAGAAGAGAGTAAATGTCTAAACCAAAAAGAAAATCGAAAATCTGTGCACTAGTTTTACCTTGTGTTTTGTCTTTTATAATTTCTCTTCTATCTCTTTCTTTGTGTTCTTCCTGAGACATAACTAACATTTCCTTTTTTATCCACTTCAAGATTTCAGTCTTCTGCTTTTCAAATTTTTAGTATGACTATAACTGCTTTTAGAAGGCTGAAACTTACTTCTTACGTGAATTTCAACTTCCCCACCAGTATAATTTGGTAAAATATCATTATCATTATTTAAAACATTGCCATTCCTTTCTTCTTCAACATTAGCCTCTGCAATTTCTGGGTGAACAACAACAATATCAGTTTAATTCTAGTCGTTGTTAACATTATCATCATCTGTTTCTTCATCAAAAAATCTTTGAAGAGCTTCTTCTAATGTAAGATACCTCGTTCTAGGCATTTTTAAACAACCAGAACATGAACCAGTGCATCGAAAGGAATGAGTGAAAAAGGAGATTGACTACTCGTTTCCTGCTGACGTTCGTCAACGCAACACCTGTTTTCCCTTCCTTCCCAACACAAATATAAACATCTGACTGATGTAATGTTCTGATAAACGGTGACCATGACTAAAAATAGATCACTCATAAAGACGGCGATTCTTTCGTTAAATATTTTCAGCAAAAACACCCGGTCGAAAATTTTGCTTAAAGTATGAAATTAATTATTATAAAACAAAATTATTGTTGAAGGCAAATATTTTTTTACAGAAATAATCTTCATAATATTACCTACACAAAATCATCTGCTGGTATAAAATATCTTAGGTAGTTATATTTATATATGCATTTATTTTGACCGTTGCGTCAACACAACACCAGCGGCTAATGGGTTAAGAGCGACTAAGCCTAATAGAAGAGCCATATTTGTTTGCAATTGAAACTTAGCAGAATATGGAATTAAGACAGTTTTTGCACCTTCAGTGTCTTTTTGTCGACTGGGACCAAAAGTATTAAGTAAGGTAACATAATACATTAATTAAAATAAAACAAATTTTTCTGAAAAATCCTACCATATTTTTTTTCCTGTTTTTCTCCCCATGTGCAGAGTGATGTGTTTTCATTAAAAAAAAAAAAAAAAAAATATGAGTGAATTACACAAACTTGGCATTGTGCATTGCTATCTATCAACTATCTATCAAGTACATCCTATCATTGTACTCTTCAGCGATTTTGTGGCAATATACAGTTTTCTTGCTGAAATTTTAACATAATTTCTTCCATTGCTGGCAAAGTCCTTAAGGGTCTATTTTAAGATTGAATGAAAGACAAGACATATCTTGATTTGTCTATAAAAACTATTAGAACTTAAAATACAATAAAAAAATGTGTACGAAATTGGTGATGTTGGTTGATTAAAGGATTGTTATGAGGATGGTTGCCTGAAGAATGGTTTGTTGTCATTCTTCAGATCATTGTTGTCAGAGTTTGGCACATTCTGAAAATTTGACGATTTCTACAAGGTATTTTCATCAATGAGGACCATCAAACTAGTTTATTTACATTCCGTGCAAAGAGCAAGTTTGTTTATATCATCAGTGAACAGAGAAATAATGATTTTTTGTCATCTAAAACAAAAAACATGGTTCTAAAAATTGGGCTGAAGAACGAATTCAAAATTTTAGTCCTAGCGCTTTTTGTCATTTGCTATTAATCCAGTTGCACATGCAGAGAACGTAATGGCAGAATTAGCAGAGGGATTCAATTTAAATTAAAACTTATTTGCTGGAGTTTCTGTAAACAATATATTTATTAATTTATTCTTCCATTTAAGAGCATAATTGATTTGAATTTAATATTGCTGATGAATATACCAATTTTTTTTACATAAAATGTTTTGATGGTTTTTTTTACTTCCTTGTACGAAGTAAAAAGGAAGTATTGCAATCACAAAAAGTTTCAGGCAGCATATTTCAATGAAAATATCCATTTTGACCGCTATCGAATGCAATTTAATGATGTTTTTGTGTGATATCTGTGCGTAAGGACAGAATAAAAGACTAGTTTCCTCTAAAAAAATTATAAAACTGCTTTAAAATTAATTCTGAAGAGAATTTTTCGTGGCGTCTGTACAAACGTATGTACGTATGTATCTCTCATAACTCAAAAACGAGCAGAATCAGAACTTTGAAATTTTGTATATAGGACTGCTATAACATGTAGATGTGCACCTCGTATTTTGGTTGCAATCAGTCGCACCAAAACATATATAAATATATTTATATATATATCCACTCTGTTAACCGGCTCAGTGATCTCAATTTCTTTACTCTTATATATACCGTTTGTAATTGTTTGCAAATTGTGTATTTTTTGCTTTAAAAATGAATTGAATTATGTTGTTTTTATCTTCCAGTTAAGGTTTTTATGCCTTTAGTAAATCTGTATGCAATATTTGTAGAATTAATCAACAATTTAAAAGTTGTTTAAGTGCCAGTTAAGCTTTTTTTTTAAATGGCATGGCCGTCACATGATTTGTTTACATTTGAAACAGCAGGACTAGTGGATTTGTTGCCCAATCTAGAGAAACTTAGCTTCGCAACAACAAAGATAACAACCTTCATTTATTATTGCCAATTAAATCATGCTTAATCCTTCCTGGAATTTTTTCGAGGAAATAAGTGCTTAAGAGTTACTTCGTAATTTTTAATATAGATATTTTGAGTTTTTATGTATTTTTGCCTTCTCGCGAAGTGAGAACTGAATTAATTGAATGAGAAATACTCAGTCGTCTGTGAAAAAATGTTTCTTTTTTATTTTATTTACTTAATTTCTTTTATATATCATTTTAGCTTTATTATAGTATTTGAATAGAACATGTGGCAACGATTAGATAATTCTTTAAATGATAATAAATTTTGTGCATTTTGAGTTATATGAATGAAATATAATACTGTTAAGTGAACCTAGCGCCAGAGTGTCCCGATGGTAAACAAATATATTGAATTTTAAAGAATGCATTTATTCTGTTGTGGTTTATGCTCTGTCGGCAAAGTAAATTTAATTCAATCCGATAAGTTTAAATTAAATGCAAGAAAAAATGTCTATAATTTAATATTCCGTACAAGGAAGTCATGTGATGTACACAACAGATTTTTTTAAACAAAAGAGCTGTTTACTTCTTAATACATTTCTCATTTATTCCTTTCTCTTTCCACTGCACTTTGCTGCCTTTCCCTCCTCCTCCTTGGTGTATAATTGTATTTCAAAAATGGATTTTTATTGGTTTACCACATTGCATCTTGCCAATAATTTTTTAGTAACTAAACATCTCTGGGGACCTTTCTGTAACTCTTTTCTATTTCTTATTCCTAGTGTTTATCTGTAAAAAGTATATTCGTGGTGTTCATTTGCATTTATTATCTCATTTTTCAATAAATAATATCAATTGCTACTTTTGCTTCACATTACCATGTAAATTTTTAATTAATATTGCCAAGGAATGTAACTTGTTTGAAATTACTGTTTTGGTATATTCATTATACAGAGTTTGCTCCTGCTGTAACCAGATGGTTATAGCCATCTTACGAGAGTTCTGTGCTCACTACTAACCAAGCAATAAAGGCCACTGAATACTGATGGTTCAACTAAAATTCAGCTCCAGTGAGTGGGATGGCTGTGTTGAGATTTTCGTATTCTCCTCTTGTTTAACAGGAATATGAGCCAGTTTCTCTTAAAATGTCCACATGCAGGCATCCATTTCCTCAGGTTGATAGACAGCCATCATGTACTTAGCTATAATCCAAGTAATACGATCTAAAAATTCAGGATGTTTATTAACATGTCACTAGAAACGTTTTGTAACCAAAAGAATTCTTAATGCAAAAAAAAAAAAAAAAAATTATTGCCAAGAAAATGTTATTGAATATAACTTACAAGCATAAAAAATATATAATACTTTGTATTCAATAAATCTTAATTAATTTTTAAGATTTAGGTATGTTTCAATTAATTTAAGTCACTCCTACAATGTGGGATTTAACGTTATCCCATTGAAAGATTACTTGGATCCCATTGAAAGATCACATCAGGTCACTTGTTTTCTAGAGTTCAAAATAACTTGCATTTTCTGTGTCCTACAATATACTAAGTCAAACTTCTTTGGATACAGTACTGGCCTTTCTGAGTGACTTGGCTTCTCATTTGGGTCTTATTTTTGAGTAGCATAAGTACAGAGTATCATTTTTTTTTTCCCCTCTATTAACAGTATACCTTAAGAAGACTTTATCTCATTGAATGGAAAAGTACAAGTCAATACTCATTGCAAGTTCATTTGGAACTGAAATACCAAATACAGATGTAATATATTCAAATATGATTCCTCTAGACTCAAACAGCAGCTTTTGTAGACCCCATTTGTGGCCCAGTGATTGTAATTATTGAATTTTAAGGATTTGATCTCATGCAGATAGACTGGCTATTGGTTAGTTTTCATGGTTTTCCCCATGTATAATGTTAATGTTCTCACAAAAGCATCCTTCTATTAAGCAGATAGCTTTGTGCACTTTGCCTTATTTCTATAACCTATCAGCACTTTTATTGAAGCAACATTGTCTGGCTTAAGTATTGCATATTAAGTGTGTACTATTTTTAACCCCATGTGTGTCATGATTGCTTTTGTGCAGTCATGAAATTTTTTTGTCATTAATTGTATATTACCCTGTTATTTAAAATATTCCATTTTCTTAATTTCTTTAATGATCTAAATATTACATCTAAATATCTTAATGAATGAACATTTATAAAAACAAAGACTAAAATAATTAATTGTACAAATTCACTAAAAATGTGTTGTATAAGCAGTTACAAAAGGCTGTGATGCCCCAGGGGTTAATGGTCACATTTGTATACTGATAAATATGCCTTTATGATTTAGAAAATAGGTCAAACACTGTTTGAGTTGGCAACTATCTCCTGTTGTGTTTAGTTTTTATTTAATAAAAATTTCATTATTATTTTTAGATGTTAAAATGCCATTCATAATTTGGATCCATCATATCCATCATCTGTTTTTTGTTAATGAACATTTGTCTAAAATGTGTGTTCAGTGAAAATTTAATACAAATTTATTCATCTTTTAGCCTTATTCAGCTGACCATCAGTTTGTATTTCTGCAAAAGGATACTTCCAGCTACTATGAGAGAGATTCCCTCACAACTCACAGTGCACGTAAATTTGTGATGGATTTTTTACGTGTTATCGTTGTTGACAGTTTTTCCTTAGCACCTAGTCCTAAACATGCGCCTGTTATAGACCTCCTATTAGAAGTATGTGTTTTCTTTCTGCTTTTCTCTCAACTGTTTTAAAACACCATTGCTCTTTTGAACATTTATTTTCATTTCAGATGCATTTTTTAAAATTATTTTTCCTCCCTCCCTCTCATTATTGTGTGTTAAAAATATTGTCTTGTTTTAGCCTTTGTTTGTGTGAGGATTGGTAATTCTTTTTCATCTTCAGGGAATGCTTAAGTTTGCATTTACTATTCCATTTTGACTGTTGTTTATTATTTGTGTTTAAAGTTGCACTTATTGGAATATATGGTAATTAATGAAAATATCTGACGAAATTTGGTAATTTTTTCATGAAAGAAAAAGCATGTCGACTTATAAGTGCAAAAATTGTTTATTATATATGTAGTAATACATTTCTGTGTGCAATAGAAACATCTACTTAACATCTTTATATTGGACAACAACTTTAACCTTCCAGCGGGTGCGCGTATGTGTGAGATACACTAGATATTTTTTTCGCATTTGTTTTGTAGGCCAGAGGGCGCTATGACCGCGTGACCTTGGCTATTCTCTCCTCTTCATTCGCCTTTCTTTCAGTCGTCTGCTGGATTTCAAGGGGTTAATGCGAGTCTGCAGTATTCCAGAAATACGCGCGACCGTTGAAGTAAGTTTTTGTTATATCTAATTTCCTTTTTTATTATAGAAAATCTGTATTCTTTTGCATCTAATATGATTTTATATAATTTGTGTGCATAATTACTTTTAATGATAAAATAGAAGCACTGTATGCGTCACATACGCGCGACCATGTATGATATTTTTTGTTCTTTCCTTTTCAGTTATGGCAAATAAAAGTAAAATACTCGACATGAATAATCCGAAGGATCTTGAGATTATAAGAAATATGCTTTTATGTGACAGTGAGGACGATGAGGACATTATTTTAGATGAAAGCATTACAGATGAAGAACAGCGAAATTTCAGAAAGAGAAGGTGACTCAGAATCGGAGACAAGCGCAGAGAGCAGTTCTGAAGAGGAAAATAATGATGATAATTCTTCCGAAGTGTATATAGCTCATCAAATGAAAAACAGAAAAGTCACCGATTCTTGGACATGGCATAAAGAACCGTTTAAGAAAACTAAACAGGCACCTCGTAACATATGTGTTCATATTCCTGGAGTCATCGGTGAAGCTAAATATCTAACAGACATTTTGGATATATGGAAATGCCTCTTTACTGATAGTATGATAGAAATCATCGCTGATGATACGAATAAGTTTATTTCTTCTGTGAGGTCTAATTATTCTCGTATAAGGGACAGCAGAGACACGGATGGAGCAGAAATAAAAGCTCTTTTGGGCTTACTTTATTTAGCTGGTATTTATCATGGTAACAGAGTTAATCTTGAGGAACTGTGGAGAATGGATGATTTTAAAGTAGTAATGAACTTGAAGAGATTTTTGTTTTTATTAAGAGCTTTACGGTTTGATGACATAAACACAAGAGTAGAACGAAGAGGAGTCGACCGCTTGGCTCCAATAAGAAACATTTTTGAAAAGTTTGTCTCTAATTGCCAGAAGTGCTATTCACTTGGAGAGAATGTCACAATCAATGAGAAATTGGAAGGATTTCGAGGAAGATGTGGTTTCATTCAATACATTCCTAAAAAACCGAATAAATATGGCATAAAAATTTATGCCATGGTAGATGCTCGTATGTTTTACACATACAATATGAAAATTTATGCTGGAGCGCAGCCAGATGGTCCTTTTTGCGTAAGCAACAAACCACAAGATGTTGTAAAAAGGTTGACAGAACCTATTCATAACACTGGAAGAAATGTAACACAGACAACTGGTTTTCAAGTTTTGAGTTAGTACGAGATCTAGATGAAAAGAAACTGTCGTTTGTAGGTACTTTGAAAAAAAATAAACCTCAAATTCCGGATCAGTTCAAGCTGATGAAAACTCGGGAACCCAATACGAGTCTTTTTGGATTTAGAAAAAATATGACACTTCTCTCCTATGTACCAAAACGTTATAGAAACGTTATATTGATTTCAAGTCTTCATGATGACGTAGCAATAGATAAAGATACCAAGGAGCAAAAAAAGCCTGAGATTATCACGTTTTACAATAGTACCAAAGAAGGTGTGGATACAGTGGACAAACTGTGCTTCGTACAATGTTGCCAGGAACACCAGGCGTTGGCCTCTTGTAGTTTTCTTCTCTATGCTAAATATAGCATCAATCGACAGCTACATAATTCATTCAATGAATAATAGTGAAAAATTACTTAGAAGGCAATATCTGCGAAAGCTAGCAAATGCTCTCATGAAGGAAAACTTTGAAAGAAGAAGCCCTACCCCTCTTCAAAGTGAGCTGAAATTAAAATTGTTGAAACGAAAATCAGAATTAGGTGTTGTTGAAGAAATGACTTCAGGGAAAAAAAAAGATGCAAACCCTACCAAAATGGCAAGCGCACTAGAATTACGAGGTTCAGCTGTGAGATTTGTTTGAAATTCATTTGTCTAGAGCACTGTAAACATATTTGTTCAGACTGCAGCGATGCAATGAAGTGATTATGAAATTGAATTTTTATGTAACATTTAATGTGCTTTTCCACTTACTGATTAAAAATATAAAAGTTCAGTTAAAATATTGGCAGTTTAATTTTGTTTTACTTTCAAGTTAGTTTGGTAAGTCTTTAGTCCTTTTTATACTGTTTTAGTGTTTTATACTTATTTTATTTTCCTTAATTTAAAGTTAATATTGTTTACCTCAATTGTACTTATTAACATTTAACCATTTACAAAATAATTTTAATATTTTTGCTCTGGAAAATTTATTTTTTATAATAGCGTATCTAGGAAATACGCGCGACCTTTCTTGTTGGTGCGGAAGGCGCGCCCGCTGGAAGGTTAATTATATATATACAAATTTTCACAAATACAGAGTGCTACAAATTCAGTTCATTTATGATAGCTTTATTCATCTTTTTTTATCCCTAATCACCTGTTATTCAACATGTCTTAATAACTGCCAACTGAATACATCAGAGATAATTTTTATGAAATGCAGCTGAGCGCCATCTGGCATTCAACATTGGCACTACACATATATTTGTATTTTGCATTTATATTATATTTTAATTAGGCATTTGTCCCAAAAAACAATCAATAAACCTACTTTACGATCAGGTTTTCATTTGTTCCGGTTGAAATTTCATTGCCATAGGAAAAAATATTGTATGTTTTTAGAAATTTTATTGCACTTCTTCTGTTGCAGGCAAATCTCACAAGTGCATACTTTAAAATTTGGTTTAAGACAAAAGTATTGCATTTAGTTTGTAAAATTTGTTGGGATTTGGAATAAAAAGAGCACTTGCAAAAATGCCATCCTTGCTTGTTAAAATTGAACAATTATTATGCACATTGTCTTCATAATTTGCCATACTTTGAAAATTTCGCAACTTCTACTAAGGTGAGTTTGCTAATACATAAATACTAGTGATTTGCTATAATTATTGTATTAAGATGTGATATTAAAACCTTTGTTGTCTGTGTGGAGAGCATTGAAAAAAGTTAAACAAATTTTGATGTGCTTCACATATTGGTTTTCATATAGCTTCTGCTTGTCAGATTAGGTGTTCTTACTTTTAAACTGTAATTGTCTGTTCATTAAATATGAAGTGAATCTTTGAGAATGCAGACTTTGTCAGTTGATATCGGACTTTTATAATAACAGGTCTTGGTGTGTTATTGTGTTGTGTGGGTGGGTTGTTACATTTTCAAAAAAATCATGTTTTGATGTGTGAATGCCCTTCAGATTACTGCTAGCATATTTTGTGAAATTGTGGATGAGTCAAAATTCCATTTTATTTTTGTGTGTAATTAACACCATTGCTCATTACCCATTAGAACAGTTCCTAATGTCAAAGAGTGGTTGGCAATGATATGTTTAATAAACTGTTATGTATCCTGGGTTTAATGAATTCTGAAGAATTTTAATCTTAAAAATCATAGATGGGAACATTTTGAGTCTCCAATGCATAATAAGGAGCTGTCAGCTGTTGTGTAAATGAATCCATCTCAAATTACATACAAATTAGTAGCAAGGTGTGATGTTAATATTTTAGCAATATCATTTGCTTTAAAACAAAATGGATAAGTAAAAATGGTAATGGTTTTCCTATAAAATTAAATGAGTAGCAAAAGAGTACTTGTGACATAACTTCATTTTCTTTGGTGTCAAAGGTAATAAATATATGTGTCATATTATCATGTATAATGAAAAATGGATTCTTTTCATGGATCACAGGCCTTCAGCACTGTCACAAAATAAATAGGGAATGTTAAAATAATATACCAAACCAGAACTGTGCCAAAAAATACACATAAAACCCAACTGTAAACCAGCTTGATAGTATCCAGCATAGTTTTATGAAAATCAACAAATTGATTATTGGGGTAAGGGATATCTACCACAATCCAGTTGGACTAATGAAGTTGTTTGCAAGGAAGCCTCTAAGAATAGTTAATAATGGACAGACTCACCCACATGCTGCTTACCAGAGTGCAAAACTATATTTAGAAATTCTCTTGTCATCCAGTGTTCTTGCAAGGGAAAAATCTTCAGTTCACAATAAGGTGTGGAAAATGCCTTTCGTGAGTTCATTTGCATTACTTTCCAGGCTTCTTCTGTCAGTGACAAGCTTATTTAAGGATTACAGCTTGTTATATCAGTTGCAGGGTAGTGCACTCTAAGTAATTATACTTCATCATGTTGGGTTAAAATTGTATAACGTATGTTGTTCACTTAGCAAATCTGTGAAGTGTAGCTATTATGAATGCAAAAGCACGTGTATGCTAAGCCCTTTGACTACAAATTTTTAAAAAAATTCCCCATTTTCTATCCAAATGAACAAAATATGTCATAAATAAGGTAAATTTAACATTTGGGAATTTTTTTTTTTTTTTTTTTTTTTTTTTTTGGACAAACGGTTTTCAAACCAAAGGCTATAACACATATTTCCTAGCCACAGTTAATGGTGGGATACATATGTCTTACACGTAGCGATCGACTTACTATAAGCGCACCTATTATTCTGGAAAACTTTATTATATGAAATAGATTTTATATCGTTTAGTACAGGGTAAAGCATTCTTTGCATAACCGAACATTACACATTGGGCAACTCATGTTTGTTATTTTCTCAATGTCCATGTATGTACAATGAGCACAGTGGCATCTTGATTTTCCAGCTATTGGAAGATGATCCCCTGCATTCAGGAGATTCTAAGTACTTTTTAAGTCAGCAGTAACTTAAGACATATGTGTTCCATTAGTAGTCGAAGGGTTGTAGAGACATTAGGTTATTTCGAAGTAGGAGACATGAAAAATTAGCAATGCACACACCGGGTCTTGAACCGTGGACCTCTCGAATACATGTCGAGCATGCTGACTGCTACAACATGAAGGCATGCTAAGAAGGCAGGAGAAATACCTTATATACTCCCCCTTTTAAACTGCAACTGGGGATTAGAGGACCCAATCACCAAATCCTGAGGGTAGAGCATCATCATCCACCACCCTTTATTTCGGGCACCACTGTAGAGATATTAGATTCTTTCAAAGCAGGAGACATGAAAAATGTGCAATACCCTTACCGAGACTCGAACCACGGATCTCTCGAATACGCATCAAGTGTGCTGACCACTACACCACGAAGGCATTCTAGGAAGGTGGGAGAAATACCTTATAGGGTTAAAAATAAAAAACAAAATAATATGTTATTGCAGTAAAGAAAGAAGTAATAATTATCCTGGATAACTTCCTAAAGTAAAGCGCAACCCAGTAGAACATTAGATTGCAAAAAGTATTTTAGAAAGCATGATATAAAGTCACTGTGTGAAAATTCAGAAATGCTACAAGGGTAGTTGTTCCCCCTCCCCAATCTCTCTGGCATATATGGAATGTGTAATTTTAAAAATTCCATGTTTTTTTTATTGTACTAAATATTAGTTAATTAAAATTTATTTCAATAAATCACTGAGTAGTTGAAGCATCTTTGTTGTAATGATTTGTGTTAGATGTATTCATTTTTGTTATTTAATATTTTTGTGAGAGTTATTCCTTAAATTTCTTTCACTTCAGGCCATACCTATTGATTCAACTCACAATCAACAATGTGAATTCCAAATGGATATTTTATCACTAGTCATGGACCATTTGCTTGCTGCTGATGTTTTGTTGGGGGAACAGGCTGCCATGCCTATTGTTGCTGGTGGTAGCTACAGTAACATTGTGCCAAATGTATTTTATTTCACTAGCTGCCTTGTTGATAAACTTTGGCAAGGTAAGTGGTCATTTTGATAATTTTGGAAATATTTTCAAACTATCAGGTTCTTAGAATGTATAAAATCATTTGCTTAACACGTTTGCTGATGAGCGACATTTTCAAAAATGGTTCCACCACACCATCAAATTTTAATCAATTAATTGTAAAATAAAATTACAAAACCTGTATTTATGGGAAAGACACTGAATTTAGATCATTTTTAATTTCTTTATTAATTATATTGCAAGTTATATCTTGTAATTTTTTGTGATAACATGCAGGGCTGTGGAGTCGGTAGAGAAAATAACCAACTCCAACTCCTGAAATTTTAATCACTCCAACTCGACTCCGATTCCTTCATATATATATATATAAACATATACGCATGAGTTACAGCTTTTTTTTTAATATAAAAGAAGTAATAGATGCTACAGAAAAAAATTGATGGCATAGCAAATTATTTATATTAATTAGCATTTATTATGAAATGGAAAAACTGGCATAAGTTATTTCTAAGAAACAGTATATCTTTAGCGACATTTTCTTTGTTGGAGGGCCACAGATCCGATTTGATAAACTTCAAAGCTGAGAAGAGTGTTTCCACACTAACTTGAGGAAGAGCTCTTACCATTAGGCCTACTTCTTTTAACTTTTCAGGATAGATTTTTATAACTTCTAAAAGAGGTGTCTTGCAAGCACAATCAGATTTCTCTGTTTCTTCAAAGGCTGTGTAGAAATCTTATTTTCATATTTATATCTAAAGGGTCTTGTGTCTTTATTTTCTTTCGTCTTTGCCTTACCCTTTTCAATATTATCCAAAAATATTTCTCAGAATCTAATTCATCACTGAAAAAGGATGATAGAGACTCAGTTGCAATGTCTGCAGTTTGACTGTCCTGATTCGAATTTTCCAATTGTTCTGAAAATAATTTCATTCTTAATGAAAGCTCATAGATGACTTTCTATGCCTTTTTAATTTGTTCATCATCCAAGAAAATTCGGCGTTTTGGATCTCCATATATTCAACTCAGCAAGATCTCATTGTCTAACCAACTAGTTTCTCTTTTCTTCATTGAAGAAATTATTCCTTCTGCAATAAACCCTCCATTTCAGAAAGAACAAACGTCCCATTCTTCCATTCTCGCCTCATATCAATTCTTCAGATTGCAGCTTTTTTGTGGCTATATATGGTATAGAAAGGAGAGTTTCCAATTCTGCAAGATCATTCCACAGTCTTTCTGTTAGTGAAACATTAGGGTTATCTACATCTCCTAAAAACGTTGAGAGGCACCTGATTAAGCACCTGATTTTTCAGGTGCTTAATTATAAAAAACCCTTTATCATCAAATATGTACTTCCTTATCACATTGTTTGATCAATAATTGTTCCTTTTCCTGCTCGCTTCCTAAGAATGACATCCATTTTAGGAGTTCTTGCTGCTATTGCTGCTTACCTAAAGTTACCATTGAGATTTGTAACTAAATGAATCAGTTTGATCACTAATGGCAAATATCACATCCATCCTCCTCCCTTATATTTATTTATTAATATGTTGATGAAATAGAAAATAACTATCTATTAATTTATACAGTTCATAAATAAAAATAATGACTCAGCTTGTCATTAATTTTTTCAATTCATTTTAATCTCATATCAAATTCAAACTGTCCAACAAAAACTGCAGTCAGAGTTGACCTATTTTTAGTGACTCCAGCTCCGACTCCTTTTACTCCAAAATCTGCCCGACCCCACAACCCTGATAACATGTTTCATGGCAGTGCCAACTATGAGTATATTCTTAGTTGGAGGTTGCTTATAACAAGATTGGTTATTTTTACAACAATAATTATAACAAAAATTATTTTAAATTTCTTGATCATTTTTACAGTTCCTATGATATTTACTTTATGATTACTTATATTAAGTATAATAAATTTCTTGAATTGCACCAAATTGGTGTGCTTTTTCCCCTAACTCCAAAATTAGATACCTTCAAAGAACGTGAAAATACTACAAGTTTGATCATTTTTGTGGCATACGTAAAACAAAAACAATGTACGAATCAACTCATTGCTGCCACCTAAATACAAACTTCGACCTACGAGATAACTTGTGGTTGGCAGCAAACATGTTAAAAAAATTTTATGATATATGTATGTGTCTATTTATTTTTAATTATAATATTATTCAATTAAAAGTTTTGGTTGATTTTTTTATAGTAATAAGATGGTAAAAATGTTTTGCTTACCTGTATTTATGTGTGAGTGTTTTTGCTAAGGTGAAAATGAAGTTTTTTCTTGTAATTTTGTATTGTATGTTATATAAATTTCCTGTTGTAACACTGTAAGTATATTTCTTCATCTAAGCAAACATATTAAATTTGCTCCGATTATTTAATTTTAGGATTATTTTATTAATAAATTTTTCAAGATTGATAATTTAATTAAAATTCTTGAATCTTAGAGTATCTAAAATTGCTAATTTAATTAAAATTCTTGAATCTTAGAGTATCTAAAATTGCTTTATTAATCACTGAATTTAAGATTTTGATCTGTTTGTTCATTAATTCAAAATCTGATATTTTTCAGGTGTTTTCGCCAAAGATTCTCATAAGGTGCTTGATTTTATAATAAAATTAATTGTACAGGCCAAAAGAAAAGGTATGCATGTTAAAATGTTTCACCACTTTTATGTGCTATCTAGAGTCTTAAAATTAAATGCAAATGCTAATTATAGTGTAGCATTTCTGCTTTGTGGGATAGATTTGATATATGTGTGTCTTATTTCTGTTTGCATAACCACAAGTAAGCTAAATTATCAAAATCAATGTTTTTAAGTACAGTGTGTTTCAAAAAGAGTATACGTATTTCGAAGGCATATATTTATTAAACTGTATGACCTACGAATATGAAACTTTACACACATATGTACAAACCTCTCAAGTTCAGATTACAGATGTTCAGTATGTCCTCCATCAGCGACACGAACAATATCAAATCGATACTCAAATTCCTCCCATACTCGGGCAAGCATATCCGTCGTCACTGATGTTATGAAGTACGAATCCGGTTCTTCACCTCTTCCAGGTTCTGTGGAAGTGGTGGTACATAAACGTCTTTAATGAAACCCCCACAAGAAGAAGCCACAGGGTGTCAAATATGGTGACCGTGGAGGCCAGCTGAGACATGCTAAGTCGGCATCTCCTTGATGACCAATCCAACAGTTCTGCAGAGACAGATGATCGGGATATTGCACAAAACACATTGATTTTGGGTAAATCTCACACAAATTCAATGGCTGCATGTGGGTTCTGTAGGCCCCAAATTCGAACATTGTGTTTGTTTGCATGACCACTAACATGAAAAGTCGCTTCATCATCACTAAGCACGATGTGTAGTGTGAAAATGTTATCATTGTCAATAGCATCAATAATCTCGTTGCAAAATGCCACATGTTTGTATTTGTCATCAGGACGCAGAGCCTGTAACAAATGTAACTTTATACGGCTTCATAACCAAACCGATCGTCTCAAAATACGGCAAAGTTGTTGTTGTAGGCAGTTGTAATTCTCCCGACTGGCACAACAAGAATTGATTTTGAAGGACTGCGTTGGAAAGCAGTTTGAATTCGTGCAACAATTTTGTTGGGAACACAAGGGCAGCCAGGACTCTTTCCTTTACGTACACATCCTGTATTTACAAACTGTCAATACCATCTGCAAATGTTCCACACATTCGGAGGATCACTTTGGTACCTCAACTTGAAATGTCTTTGCACTGTAATCACGGAATTGCACTTCGCAAACTCAAGAACATAAAATGATTTCTGCTGCATAGTAGCATTTAAAACATGTGATGGTTACCATGCAAAGTAGAAGACAACTGGTATCTAGCAACTATTAATTTAAAGTAAACTATGTATTTGTTTCTCTAATAGTCGAGCCGAGGCACAGTGATGGATGGTTTGGATACAAAAAATAATGCATTCGAAATTTGTAATATTCTTTTTTTGTCCTACGTATAAATATGTATATTCTTTTTGAAACATAGTGTATTATAAAAAAAAAATGGCAGCAAAGATCTGAATTTTGATTTCAGTTGCTTAGCATTTTTAAAAAATGTACATCATCAGACTTTTTTTTAATATTACATCAGACTTCAATTAGGTAGATATAGCCCTCAAGTGCTCTGCCATAGTCAGATAAACCAAGCCAGACCTCAGTTGTTCAGCCATTAGTGTCTGTTGGACAGTCCAAGAAAGACTTGAAGCAAGCAAAATGTTAACAACCTTCTGAAAAATTAATTTTTGTAACGCTATTATGTCAGCCAGGCCATATGGCAGTCTGCCAAATTCACATTATAGAGGTGTTTTGGCAAATTACCATGGCTGCCATTACAATTCCTTACATCCACAGCTATGGGTAAGTTATAAGCAACTGTAATATTCAATAAAGAATCATGGGATTTCTCCTCAACCAATTCTCCAAAAAGGTTTTCCCGATATGTATCAGTGCTATGTTTAAGAAGTGCCATAATACTGGAAAAATCAACAATAGAATGTAGCTGAGATGATTAAAAGCCATCTGCCAAATCGTTTCTAATAATATTACAAAGACTGGGCATCAGACATACTGGTAGGTACAGGTTTAAGTACAGTAGAAACATGACTGTTGCCTCTCAACTAATTGAAAACTCCAGAGAAGCCATAATATTTAGAATGAGAAACATTTTATTCATATTGAAAAATTCAGAAAATGAGGGACTAGTAAACCATCCTATAGAACACTGATATGGTGTGATTTAGTGACAAGGTGTGATAGGACACTGAAATAATAGACATGAAGTCACAGTGCAATTATAAGATCTTCATCTTGGTTTTATGTAAACCCAATTAATTCTCAATAAATGAGTTTAGTTTTTGTAAAGAAGGATATCAGTAAACTGTTATTTCTCAGTTTCTCCTCACACTTAAATTAGAAAAAGTTATTAAAATTTGGGATTTGCTTTCTACAAAACTGCATGTAGTGGTGTATTTTCAAAGTTTTAGAATCCTTGTGTCAAGAACGTTAATGAGTACAATAGGTGACTTGAAAATGGAAAAATTATGACAAATGATTTAAATATTTTATATTCTTTATTTGTAACTATATTTGTATGTGTTAGTTATCTAACTAAGTAAAGAACAATCTGTTCTGCTGTAAAGATTGACCAAATTTGGCAGTATCTCCATCAGCTTTCATGGTCGATGAAATTTCATAATTGCATTTTTAGTCTGAAAATTTTTTATGCATGCAACTATCTGCAATTTCAGCATATTCAACATTTTCTGAGCATTTCAAATAGTTGAGCTTTTGCTCTACATCTGTTCTCTTGGTATAATAGATTTACTATGACAGAATGGCAATACATAAGCCAAGAATAATCACTACCGTGTGTGCAATGCACTGCTTAAATAGTTATCATAATTGTTATTTTAGAATTCAAAGTAATGATAAAAGTTTTATGGAATATAAATTTAAACTCCATATAAACTGCTTTTTAAATTTAATAGATGTATTTCAGAAATTAAAGGTTGCTTATCTCCGTGTGCCCCATTCTGACTGTAAAAGTTACTAATCTTGCATGGTTTTACTTCTGGGCAACTATAATAACTATGTACTAAAATTGCATAGTAGGTTATCAAAGTTACATAGAGGTTGCTTTTATTAGAAATGTCACTGTTGTGCATTAACCATTATTAAATAAAGCTGTTTCACTATTCTGCATAACTGAACTCTACATGTGTTGCAAATTTTGTATGTGGCTTCAGAAATCCATTAAAACATCAAAATATTGTGTTTTGTCTACTACGTATGAAAATAACTGTCTCAGGAGCTTCTAGAAGATTAATAAAATACCATGTCTAATTCTAGTCAACACAAGCAGCATTTAAAGTATTTTTTATTGTTTTTTTATAAAAACAATACCTAGCTAAGCTATTTAGCAGCCAAATGTGATCTGTTATTATTTATAATAAAAAGTGTCTTTAAATAAAGTATTATATAAGCATCTAAATAATTTTGCGTGCATTTTGTGCTGTTGCAAAATGTAAATTACATTTCTTGAGAAAATCACATTTTTTGGTATTAGATTATATTGAATAATTTATGTAGAGTTATTTTAGTTTATCCTTTCTTATATATACAGCATGTTTCAGAAGTCCAGGAACACTTTGAAAAATTTACTGTAGCCAAACGAGTAGATTACAAAGTAATGAAGTTCATCATTTTAGAAAGTAAAGTTGTAAGTTTTTTTCAGCAACACTCATTTTACAAACACTGTGAGAACCATGTGTGATCCTACAAGCATCGATGTGATAATCTAACTCTTACCACACACTGCACAAAGTGTCTTCCAAGATTGTGGCAGTTTTCCTTTTCATTTCCATAACATCACCTGGAAGAGGAGGAACATAAACAAGGTCCTTTACATAACTCCATAAAAAGACATCGCAAGTGTTGATATCCATTGATCTACGAGGCCATTTTTGCAGACATTGTTCTACCACACAACCAATCCAACAATTAAGTAGCTCTATGTTCAGATATGCTCTAACATCACAGTGAAAATGTGAAGGTACACCGTCTAACTGAAGGACAAAGTTCCCTTATTCAGTTTGCAACAGTGGTATTAACTGGGTTTGCAACAACTGAATAAAAGACTCTCCAGTAATAAATTCTTTTTCAAAGAAGACATGCTCATAAAGTTTCTTGTGAGACATGGCACAAAAAATATTGTCCTTTGGAGAATCTCACTGGTGTCCAACAATGTTATGCAGGTTTTCTGTTCCCTGAATTCTACAATTGTGTCTGTTTACCTTCCCATTTGTATGAAATGTTGCCTCATCTAAAAAAATTATTGAATTCACAAAACTATCGTCTTTGTCCTGCAAGGCACAGCAAAACTGCAATCACTGGTCTTTGTCTGTGGGATATAACTTTTGCACTAACTATAATCTGTAGGATTTCATGTTTAATTTTTTATGCATAACATGCCACACAGTCGTTGCTGACATTTCTAACTCATACAAAGCTCGGAAGACACTTTGTGCTGTGTGTGGCAAGTGTTATGTCTGTGGCAAGTGCCGTGTGTGGCAAGTGTGTCTTTTGCACTAATTATAGTTTGTAGGGTTTCATATTTAATTTTTTTATGCACAACATACCACATGGTATTTGTTGACATTTCTAACTCGTACAAAGCTCGGAAGACACTTTGTGCCTTGTGTGGCAAGTGCTATATTATTGCGTCGACGTTTGTAGGATCAGACATTGTTTCCATATAGAGTGTTTGTAAAATTAGTTTTGTTGGAAAAAACTTACAACTTTACTCTTTAAAAATGATGTACTTCGTTACTTTGTAATGTTACTGGTGTGGATGCAATAAATGTTTTCAAGTGTTCCCAGATTTTTGAAATATGCTGTATTATTTTTCAATATTTTTCTTTATAGGTTCATCTATATCATATGACAGTATATTTCATAGTCTTAACAGAACTATATTATATCAGTTATCAAGACCAATGGAAAATGTAGTTGGTAAATACCTTTTCTTTCCTTTGTTTTTAATTATTTTAACATGTCAGATCATTGTGCACTTTTTTAAACTTTGAATACACATTCAAATTTTCTCTCTAGATCAGATGGTTGTTTTAGAAGGTTTGCAGAAGATTGCTGCCCACAAAAACATTGTATTTTCACCTGCAAATCATGAACATGATTTTTTTGGATCTTTGTGTTTTTGTTTGTTACAGTTAACAGAAGATCCTAACCAGTGGTATGTTATTACACTTGGCTTTTGTAATTTGGTAATTATTTGAATAGATCTTAAAGATGGTCACCTTAATGTGAAACTTAATGTAATTAGAGTTAGTTTTTAGTCAGCAGTAAACTTTAGTCATTAATCGTAGGGAAGGCAATTTTCCATCATATTGGCCACTGTAACATAAAAATACTGTTTATTTTACCTGTTCTAATCTCTTTTCCCTTTTTAGCACCAATGCCAATAACACTCATACAACCTGGCATGTCCCTGTAAATATTAAAGAACAATCTGAAAGTAAGCATCGTACATCTGCACAGGAAGCAGCTTCATTGATTTCTAATGCAGCCAATAGAGTGTGGGAAGAATTGTTCACTTGTCGAAGACAAGTATGTGTACTTTTTATTAAGATAATTATGTATGGATTCAGCTTAATAATATTTTTTTGCTTTCTTATGAATATTTGTAAATGTGTATGTGCATATGTTGTGTAAAATATGTGTTTGTTCATGTCGTTATAAATCCTTTTATAAAAATGGGAAAAAAACTTTTGTATTAGAAATGAATAATTAATTTTGTTTGCATATGTATTCTGTAAAAATTACAAACTTGCTTATTGGATATATGTTAATATTCTGACTGAAGACTTAACATAAGTAATATATGTAAGACTTGATGCTATGAGTGATAGCTAAAAAAAAACTGACTTCTAAACTAAAAGTGATATTTCAAAACTTTCCAAAAAACATTCAACTTGTCTAACTGTACAAAGTTGAATGCAACTTATAAAATATTTTATAAAATATCGTACTTACATGAAGGATAATATATTTACTTATTATGCAATACAATCCATCTTCTCCTTTGTTATGGAAATTCATTCTGTACATAATAATATCGATAGTAATTTTTATTTGTTTGTTCATCAAAAAATACTATTTTTGCTGTGATTTAAAAGTTTTACTGCTACATGATTCAAAGTTTAAATTGTTTACATTCAAGTTTGAAAGCATGATTGTTTTTAAATTCTTTTTTTTAGTCCAAAAGGGCAATTTGCCCTGAAGGACTATTAATTTTGTTTTGGCATTTTGCATTGAAAACTCTAAAAGGCTGTATCACTTTTCAAATCTTTGCCACCATATATTATCACCCTGTCTTATACTAAAAGAAATGAAATAATGAAGAATCTGCATAAATGTATGTATGTTTCTCACATTGTGATAAAACAACGCTACGTAGAGCCATCAAAATTTGAATAACATAATCTTCCATAGAATATGGGCATATGGGAAACCCTAATTTTGAATTCGAAATTTGTTTTATTATTAATTTCATATTTTGTAAAACTTCAAAGAGTTTTTTATTAACAAACTCAATGATTTAAAAGCGAGCAATGGTAACACTCTATAGAAGGGGGAAAAACCTTTATATCTCCAGCTTGCGGTACTGTCCATCGGAAATTCTAAAGATATGCTTATTTTAAAATTATATTGCGATATTGCTGTTGAACTGAATTTTATGGTTGAAGTGCCAAGAACATAATATTTAATAAATAAAGGTAATACACAAAACGTTAAAAAAACTCCCTTTTCGATGTAATTTAAAATCTGAAACCTTTCAGGTTTTTTTTTAAATAAGGGTAATGTATTAAAGTGATAAAATGGCATTATTTTGTAAACATTTTACTGAAATTTGCGTAGACAGTTAATGGTTTATTGAAAATGCTTTCAAAATAAAATTTTTCGTTTCTTATGTTTGTAGTCTTTCATATGATCTCAGAATTGTTCTATTACTTTCATTCTGCATTATACAAACTTCTTAAAAAGTTTAGAAAATTGTAATAAATGCTAAATAAACTTGTTTCTTTTTGTCTTACTTTTTGTATAGGTTTTGGAAGACCTTTGCAAAATTCCATTCAGTGGTTATACTGCTGCACATAATGCAAAAGTTCCAAGTCTTGATGTGATGAGGTCTGCATTATATGATTCTATGAGCAAAGTGTGGCATAACTATCTAGAAACTGAACGCAAGCAAGGCTACACTAAAGAAACTTGGCAATTTCAGTCACAATTTCAATCAGTTAGTATTTTTGTTCCTTTACTATATGTGATTTAGTTCTTCATTTTTCTATATATGTATTACATTCATAGAATAGATGTTTAGGTTTCCTCTAGAATAATAATTTTCTAGAAATCTGCTTTCTGTGTTTCCTTTGAATTTATCTGCTGATTTATTTTGAACAGATGAGCATGTTAATGTTTTTTAATTATACCTGTGAAGTCACGTGTAATTAAACAAAGTTCGTACGGTCCTTAAAAGTCCTTAATTTTTTCAAAAATGATTTTTGGTCCTTAAAAGTCCTTAATTTTGGCCGAAATGTATAAAAGGTCCTTAATTTTGCTCATTTGACATTTCTTATCATTTCTAATGATTGCCATTCTAAGTGTGAATTACGATTTCTCATGAATATGGAATTAAAATTACACGGCTCTTAACCAATCTGTTGGCGGATTTGCGTTGCAAACGATAAAAAAAAACAATTAGCCTACCCGAACGAAAGTATCGGTGTCTGATTGGCTATTCACGCCAATCTTTCGAAACAGGTGTTATCCATAAATTTAGGCAGATTGTGACGAAAGCGTGAAGCCGGAAGTTCTTTAAGAGGCGAAAGTGATGATGAAGGTGCTCGAGAAAAAAAAAGGGGGGGGATTCTGAAAATATTTGCCAAAATTAGAGCAATTCCAACCTGGAAGGCCACAAACCCTTCCGACGCCAATAGGAACGAGATGCCTGGAAAGTGCATTTTCAATAAAACTGTGGCTTCATCAAGCTGACTACAAAGACTGGATATTGATGGATGGCAAAGCTTTTAAAGCTTAAATGTGGTCTTTGTCTGAAACAAATTGAAATTTCTAGAATGGGAGAGTCAGCGCTGAAAATTCACATGAAAATTAAGTTTCGTTTTATCATTTCAATTTGTTTTTACACGGTTTTGCTTAGCTTAATTTCTGTGTTTGTTTCAATTAAGCCATAAATTAATTTTTTATCACCTTCTACGGAGTTTATTCTCTTTTGCACATACTATATGTATGGGATATCGGGATTATGAGTTTATTTCTGCAGGTTGTCTGTTATCGATTTCGCGGGAAATCTGTTGGCTCCATTTCGATTTTAGGTCGCCAAGGGCAAATTCGGTAACGCTAGCCGAGAAAAAGTGAAGTTCGGAAATACGTTTTGAAGCTTCAATAGACAATTAAGTATTTTATAAAAGGTGCTGCTTTCAAAGAATGTTATTAAATTTTAATATTGCCTATGTAACATTCACCAAGTTTTAGATAACCCCCCTCCCCCCCAAAAAAAAGTGTTGTTGAAGTGATGCATAATTTTTGCTAATGGCGATACAATTATTAGTTGAAAATAACTAATTAAAATTTTTTAAATATTTTTAAAGCTGAAAACAACTAATTGAAACTAATTTTCCTGAATTAACTAGACGCAAAATTAACTTTCATGAATTACTAAAGTTATTGGGTAGAAGTTTAACTGAAAATATACATTCCGTATTATATATATATATATATATATATATATTTACACAGTACAAAGTCCGAGGTCTGGACTCGTCGGGACTTCGGCGATCCTAGATTTGAGATTTTTCCGGATATTAGATCATTTTAAATCTACTAAGATGGCACGTAGAAATTATAAAATTGAAAAATATGAAATCGTGATTTATGAAATAATGAAGCATTTATGATTTAAAGGTTATCAAAATTTACAAAAGAAAAGAGCTTAATATTTATATGTTTACTTTATTAAACATTTCTTTTAATGTGAGTACTATAGACATGTAATTTCTTGTTCAGTTATTAAGTTCCATTGTTCAAGTCCTGTAATTGCTGTGTCGAGAATTCCGAATAACTTGATAATCAAAATTTTTTCTCTTTAGGAACCTCTCTGTTACTTTCTTCGCTATCGGTAGCTGTATTTTCTGGATTTAGAACCATACTACAGATTTCACCCTCCGTTAATTGATTGATGATTGGGCATTGTCATCGCAATGAAAAACTTCTGTTTAACTTCGCTAAATTCTGCCGCCTGGTGCGGCCATGCGAGCTCTTGAGCTGGTTCTGGCTTTATGTGAATAACAAATCAGTTTATCTTAATTCAAATAGCACTAAATATAATCGTTTGTCCTATGAGTATCATTAACAAAATCTATTTTTAGCATAAGAAAAGAATTTTCTGCTAAATCTCCCCTTGTCAACATTTTAGCGCATTAAATTTAAATCTGTAATCGTATAATACTCTGTTATTTGGCGTCGCTGCATGATTCATCACTCAAGTTGTCATCCGTTGATAAACATGCGGTGATGAAAGCAAAATACAATAAATAATGATTCGCGATTTCGGCATCAAGGATATAAAATATTAGTTGGTGTAAAATAAACAAATGTTTCGGTTTGAGATTATGCCAAGCAGATACGCAGCTATGGAGTCAAGTTACTAATCACACAAATTTATGCTAAAATAATTATTTCTTCTTCAATAATGAGATATTTTATTTAGCACCAAACTGAGATTAAGAATCGGGATTTCTGGCATTTTTTTTATGATGAGGGAAAAAATCTAATGCGTGCGTAAGCAACCCCTTCCCTTCAAAAAAGCCTAAAAATGGTGGTGGTGGCTTTGAGGTCCAGATTTTAGATCATTCCAGATATTAGATGTCCGGATCTCGGACTTTGTATGTATATATATATATACATCTTTCAAAATATAACTTACCAGTATGGATTCACTCTTTTAAAATAATTCTACTTTAATTAAACTTAGGAGATAATATAATCAATTAATCATATTGTTTAGGAAATAAATTATATATATATAGTAAAAAATGTATATTTTTCACTATTCAAGTATTCACACAAGTATTCTTATCTTGTCACATGAACAGGCCTCTGTGGAAAGGGGCTTCTCTGTAAATAAAGCAATTGAAAATTGAAAATTTAAGTGACTCATCATACATTTTTCAACGCACAGTATTTGATTACATAAATTTTCTGGAGGTGTTCTTAATATCGAAATTAATAAGAAATGAGATCAGCAGCAGCTTCTGCAAGAAGTGGAGTTCGTTATTTAGAAGTTCAGTATTTAGAAGAACAAAAATCTTTAACTAAATCTGAAAATTCAAAGAGGAAAAGAAATATTATTGAAGAAGAAATTGATTATATGAAGCAGAAAAAAAAATTTCCTCAAAGGGACATTAAAGACATTAATGAAGAAGTAGATGCTTTAGCAGATAAAGCTGAGACCATCAGGAACATTGATTTGTTTATCAAAGCAAATGAACTAGAATAGAAGAAAGGAATAGTAAATAAATTAGATGTTAAAATAGGAAGATTTCAGATTAAAAAAAGCACAAATGTTTTGTATCTTTATTGTACAGTTTATTATTCTAGTATCTTTCAAAAAACCAAGGAAAATAATTGTATGTTTACAAATCAGTTATTTTAATCTGCAAAATATTCTTACATTGTGATTATAATAGTAGTTGACTATGTTTAAATAAAATATCAAATAAGTTAAATAATAATCATGTAAATCTCTAAAATAGTGACTGTTATTAGTGTAAAATACACTTATACATGTTTTTTCAAGAAATTATGTTCCTCAATTTAATGTTATCTACTTCATAACTTGTAGGGAGTTAGTTTGAATTTTCAAAATTGTTTTATGGTAAGTATTAAGTTGAATTTAATAATTGTGCATAATACACACTTCTGTTAGTTTTTTAAAGTGAAATTACAAGCATGAAGTCGGTTTATGGATAATTGCTTTATTCTATTCATTTTTTTTTTGGGCTGATAGGTCCTTAATTTTTCTTTGATGGTCCTTAAAAGTCCTTAATTTTCATGTAAGGAAATGTGTACGAACCCTGTTAAAATATCAATATATAAGCATTTATGTGATTTATGAAAATTAAGTATATGAATGTAAAATGTTGTAAAATTATGCTGAAAAAAGTAGCATAATGTTGGAGAAGGTTTACAGATTTTCTCAAACATTTATTGTAAAATTTGATTTATTTTGGCTTTGTTAAAAAGTGTCCTATATCTCAAAATTTGTTTAAATATTGCAATGATTTAAAACTGCAGCCTCTGAAGTAATTTTATGTGATCCACAAAGACAATTCTGTTATGTATTTGTTATTAATATCATGATTATAGATTTAGATATAGCATAAATTCATTGCACAGTGGTTAGCAGTGTAGTGTTTATTTAGCAATCATTACATTCCAGATGAGTTCAAAGCTACATTGGCACATAGCTAAGAATACATAAAGTACATACATATAACAATGCTGTGTCAAAGTTAAAAAAAAAAAAAAAAAAAACTAAGAGGGGGGGGAACACTAATCATTGCTGTCAAGAAATTACAGTTTAAAATCTAAATATAAATAACTCCAGAGACAACAAAAAACAGACTGACAATAAATAGGCTATCATTATTTATTCTGAAAATTAGTTCCATTCAGGAAGTTTTCATAACTTTTTTATTTTTAGGTTATGTTAAAAATAAGTCATATAACATATTAAGATTATTTAAAATGAATGTCGGTCTAAAAATTAAATATTTATTTAACTGTTAATATGTTTAAATTACAAAGTGTAACCAACAGAAATTCCTTACAGAAATTTGAAATTTTCCCTTTGATTTATTTTTATTGTTATTATTTATGGATATCCTGATAAATACTTAGAAAGGGAAATAGTAATTGAATTAAAAATTAATTTTTTTTTTAAGAATATCCCTCTTTCTTTCAAGATCATGAATTCAGCCTGCATGCAATTTGAATTTAGACCACTGCTGTATCTTATTTCTGCATAATTATGCTTTATTTCCTGCTGCTTTTTATTTTAATGTGTGTTCTAAGTCAGTGTTTATCAGTTTGTATCTCTTTATTTATGATCATTCAGTTTTTAAAATCTTTTCCGTTAATATATTTATCAGTGAAAGTTTTTTCCCTTTTGTGTTTATCAGTAATCTCTCCAGGTTTGTAAATGCTTATATTCAGGAATATAGTTACTTTTCATATTTAAGTCTTTTAATATATATTCTCTTTTATTTATTAGCAAATATTTTCTTTAAATATTTGTAGTCAGAAAGCAAAATTATCCTATATACCGCTTTGAAGATCTCCTTGTGACCAAATAGAGTTGAAAATGGATATATAATCTCATTTAACTGTAACTTTTTATCACCTAACACATAGATTCTTAACACTTTTTTATTCACTGACTCTTTTCGAAGTTTATTTTCCTCTACAACCCTAATATATTCAGCACTGCCTTCCCTTACAACATTGATATGCGAGATGTCTTTTGAGTGTAATGTATAGGCATTGACTGAAAACACATGAAATTTTTTGGCATTGATTGTAATTAGGAACAAAATGGTAAAGGTTAAAAAACGTTTTAAAACCTATGTAACTTTGAGAACTACAAAACAATCACAGATTTCTACCAGGGTAAATGCAGTGATGTACAGTCAAAAGTCGTTAATCCGGACTCGTCGGGACTTCAGCGATTCCGGATTATCGATTTTTCCGGATTATAGGTCATCAGTTTAAATCTTGTAAGATGGCATGCAGAAATTCTAAAATTAAAAATATGAAACCGTAATTTAAGAAACAAAGAACAATTATGATCTAAAGGGTATCAAAATTTATAAAAAAAAAAGCTTAATATTTATTTGTTTACTTTATTAAACATTTCTTTCAATGTAAGTTGTTTAAGTTGCTTCATTTTATGTGATAATACTTTCTCTTTAATTCTATAAACAGACATAATTTCTTGTTCAATTATTAAGTTCCGCTGTTCAAGTCCTGTTAATTGCTGTGCCGAGAATACCGACTAACTTGTCAATCGAATTTTTTTCGTTTTCACTAACCTCTCTGTCACATTCTTCATGTCTTTATCCATTTTTTGCAGCAATTCCACTTTTTGTTTGTTGGACATCGAAACATACTTTCGTTTTGTAGATCCTTTGGAAGTTCGAGCATCGGAAATTCTATTTGACATAATCGAAAGGTTCAAGTTTACTTTTATAAAATTGCTCTTACAGTCTGCAAAAAATAATAAGCGGGATCCAATTCGAAGATTAAGAAACAACGCAATCATTAACATTAAGTGAAATAGATAATTAGATAATTTTAGATTACACCGTCCGTTACACATTAAACGCGCAGGCGAAAACGTATTCTGCACTTGCGCGCACGCATATGCGCAGTAGTCAAGTTCTTACGCGCACGCGTAAAACGCCTGTGCGCATGTGCCAACGTGGTGCATGCGCAGAAAGTTTTTAGCTTTGAGGTCCAGATTATGGGTGTCCGAATTAACGACTTTTGACTGTATATTGAAAAAAAAAAAAAATGCTATTTGGGCAAACTGAATAGCATGGCAAGTATGGATTCGTAGTCATGTTTTTAGAAGATTAAATTGAGAATTCATAAGTTCCAAACCCTTGGAAAGATAAATGTAGCTGCATGCAACTTGTATCAACTGATGTGAAAGGGCAAGTCCCATGATTTAATGTGATATTTAGAAAAATGTGTGATTGTAATACTTGTTCATTTAAGTGGTTGTTTAAAAAATGTTAAAACAACAAATTTTCCTAATATATTCTTATCTACCAATTTGCTTTTTAATGTCTCAGTACTGCCTTTTGAAACAGTAAACACCTGGATCCCATCAGTGCCCACCAGTGGGCAGTAATACCCATATTAGGGCTCTGTGATCTAATATAAGAATGTAACTATAAATGATAAATGTATCCACTTTAGCTTACGTTATAAGTGTATATTAATGAGATAAATAATGTATTAACAACCATAGAAAGTGAAACTTGTTGTAAAAGTTTGTACAAAAAATTTTAGGCAAGACGCACATACAAAAAAAGGAAGGGAGGAAAGGTGATGTAAATATCTGTCTTTCTACAAAAATACAAAATGTATAATATTTACTATTTATAGTCATAAATGTATTGCTGTATGTATCAAGAAATGGAATTGATATTTTATTGTTTATTAATTGTAGAAACTGCAGAAAGTTACTGGGGGTTTGTCACGTTTAGCATCCAGAAAAATAAAAAAAGACCATGCGTTCCGTGCTCCAATCAGCAACATTTCATACAAGGTAAAAAAAAAAAATTGTTTCTTTTTCAGTTTGCCAAATTAAATAATTATGGAAATTCAATTTTGCATGAACTGAAGTTTATATTTTTGCTTTTTGTAGGATTTGGAATTATATACTTCTTCACATGTGTCTGTAGTCCGTGATCTAGTAGAGTTTCAATCAAAGCAATATCAGCAGGTTGTTTTATTTTTCTTTAATGTGGTTTCCATTTAATTTGCATTAAATCTTAAACTCTGTTTTTTGTATTTGTCTGTATGTTTGTCTATTATTATACAGAGTGTCTCATAAATCATTTTTTAAAATCATATCAAATCAACAAATTGGCATACCAAAGCACAGTTTGCAGCTAAAGACATATCGCAAAAATGGAACTTCTTTCTTTTTTAATATATATGTAAAAAATATGTAAATAAAAATTATAACTTAAATTAGTTGTATTCCTTAATTCCTCCTATCTATTCTAAAAATGATAAGAACTTTTCTGGACTGCATCATTTCTAGATTATTCCATCTTGTATGGCTTGTGTAAGGCTGATGACATAGCTGATTCAGAACCGAAACTCAAAATTTTAAGAACTGAGACTTTTCTAACCTAAATCTTCTTTTGGTGGGGCACCATATTGGATAACTCCACACTTTCACTTCAGCTCTCTTACAGTCAAGACACTACATTGCTTGTTGTCATGTTGCTTCACCTCTGTAGCTATTGTCTTTTTTTCTAAAATGTGATACACTGTATAAAATCGTAGGGTGCATATTGCACCCGTGTAATAAAGAATGTGTTTCGATAATTATTTCATGTCCAGCAATAAAAATTATATTCAGTTCAGTCACTTCTGTCTACTAATCTCTCCTTCAAGTGTCTTCTTTCTAACTACACAGTAAAGGCTCTCCAAGTTATAATGCAGAGAACCATTCCCAATTCGCTACAGCTTTCTCTATGATATCCTATTACATATATATATGTATATGGGCATAAGTTACATTTTAGCTCAAATTTTTACCAATACATGACACTGTTAATTCGCACTGTAGAAATAGAATGAGAGAACTGTATATAACTTACGTTTGTTTGCATTTGTGAGCATGCTATAATACTGCAGTTATGTAATAGTCCATCATGAGAATTGAATTATGCGTTTTTGTTTTATAGAAATGTATACGTTATGCTAATATTATTGATATAGTGCCATTTATCAGTGAAATTTTGAATTAAAATATCTCATTTTAAAAAAAACTATATAATTAAGACTTCAAAGTCTTTAGTTGCAAATCTCATTCCAGCAAGCCACTTTGTTGATTTGATTTTATCTTATTTTTTAAAATGTATCAGATTTAGGGGCAGTCTGTACTTACATTAGCCTAGTTATCCATTAAAATGAAACATGGAAACTTATTTTAATTTTTTAATGACCTGAAACAATCAAAATATATGTAATGTCATATTGCAATGTCCTTCATCTTTTTAAAATAAAAACTTAATAAAAAATTTTAATTAAGGTTAAATAAATCTGGTTTTTAAATTAACTTATTTCTTTCAATAATTTTTCAGTAATGATCAAGTAATAAAAAGCATGCTTTGCTAACCCTAGAAAGTTGAGGTTTTATAATTATGGGTAAAATAATTCACAGAATACTGATATATAATGCTCAGCATACTTTTTAGTAATTTTTAAAACTACGTAAAAATAATAAATTTTTTACTGTATATTTTATACAATTTATCCGAATTTTATTATAAAGATATAACAATTTTTATATTATAAAACAAGATAAAAATCCATCGTAATATGTAAATTTAAAATTAATTCTTCTGTATACTGCTATTATTTAGAGTAAACAGTTTCTGCAGAAGTATGTTTTTAATGAATGGTTGCAAACTGAAGCGGAATTAACAAGAGAACGAGCATTATGGGGTCCACCTGTAGGTTCACGCTTGGACAAATGGATTCTCGATATGACTGAAGGTAAATTTTAAAAATAGATAGAGCTTTGTAATGGCTGTCACATTTGAAGCATTTTTGAGAGAAGTAAAGTAGACATAACAAGCCTGAAGAAGCAATTAAGTATTAGTTTAGTATTGTATCACTGCTGCATGCTGAGGCATAAATATTTGGCATGATGTTCAGATTTTTTATCATATTTGCATAGTTGTGATCTTTTATCATATTTGCATATATTGTTGCCAGCATTTCTTATTTTATTTTGCCTACAAATAATCCTTGAAGTTTGGTAATTTTATTTTATGCTTTCTTTTTTGCTTTGTCGTTTTTGCCATGTTTTTTTTAATTAAAGCTATCTGTTTTTATGAACCTAATTTTAAAAATTATTATGTATACAAATTAATAATTATATTTATTTTGAATACATTATTTGTTATTACAGTAAAATTAACTGAGGTTTCTTGTTTATTGAGCTAGCTGTTAGTTTAAAGGGGAGTTTCTAATCAGGAAGGCCTACAAAAAACGTTAACATAAATGTATCTATGTATGCATGTATGTATGTATAGGAATATTAAAATGAATGAAGCTAAAAATTGGTCTACTTTTAAAATTTTTAATGTTTATTGAGGAAATGGACTTCCGAGAATCAGACCCTAGCTTATATTTTGCACTAAATACATTTTTAGTCATGAGTGTTTCATTTATTTCTTGAAGAGAGAAGCTTTTCAAAGTTGACTAAAAACTCTCTTTGTTCAACAAGTAAGACTTAACGATTTGGCAATCCTTTCCATCGAAACTGTAGTAACTAAAAACATTAATTTTGATGAAACTATGAAAAAAAATTTCGGAAGGCGAAGCTCACAATAAACAGTTTTAGCTTTTTATTGACAGAAAAGTTAAAAACATTTTTTTTAATCTTCAAAAAATGGAAGATTTCTTAAATATATGTTTGTCTACTAGATTTAAGTTGTTTTTTCTTTAGTCTTAAGATTTTTTTGTTTTCCAAATCATTTAACTATTTAATTTTAATTAAATAAATGTTAATTATATATTTATGTTGACTTTTTGTGTGGGATCAATCCAATAAGGGGGCTCCTTAAGAGATTTCTGCCCCAGGCCTCAGTAGCTATGGGTCTGTCACTGGTTTAAAGAAATCATTGGTAAAATATAGTAGTTTTAGAAAAGATATTTAAAAAAGCCAATATGCACATATTCTCTCAGTAATTGATCCCCCATGACTTTTGCCATGAAATGAAATCTTGTAATCTTAGTAGTACTCTTTATTTAACTGAAAGAAAGGAATTTTATTTGCTATGAAAGAGTGTGTTAAAATTTTAATTTTAGTACTTGTAAAATGTTTAGAAGTTTAAATAAATAACTTGGCAAAACTTGTCTTATGAATGTATAATGTGTTTGAGTAAGAGCTTGACATTAATGACAAGCTGATGCGAAAGCTAAAGAAAGTAATGTTTTGTTGGAAAAAATCTTCAGTATGCTGCTATAATGCTGCTAGAATTCCTGAAAAAATTATCTTGATACTCTAAAGATGCCTGAATTCATTCCAGTCTTGTTCAGTGAAATGCAGTATGCTGAGACAGCTATCACATCCTTTGTTATTGATCTTTAATGTTGTCTAACTTCTAAACTATGTATTTTTCATTATATATTCCTATGACATTTTTTGCTTATCAGCCATAGAATGCATTTCTAGCCTTCAGACTGGATATCATAGAAGAGATTTGCCAATGTAATGACTACCAACTGTGATAATTTTCACTTTTTAATTATAATCTTGTTATTACAGGACCATGTAGAATGAGGAAGAAAATGGTAAAAAATGAACTTTTCTACATTCATTACCCTTACAGGCCGGAAGTTGAAGGAGGGGAAAATGTAAGTTAATTTTAACTTTTGAATGTTATTTTTGATGAAAAATATATTTTCCATGTTTCGGAATGTGGAATATTTTAATTATATAAATATTCATACATTTACAGACTTCTGTCATCTTTTACTTTGCTCAGCTGTATTTTTTTGCAATGTATATTTTCCAACATATTTAATTGTGTACCATGATATGATAACATGTATTTTATTTGTTTGAATGTAATTTACACAGTTTTTGTTGCTTCCTTTTATGTGCAGAGGGCTCTAAAATACAAAGTGGCGACAAGTTTTGATAGTAAAGAATATTACAAAAGGTGGAGACCTGAGAATATGGTTGAGCAAGATACAATATCTGTTGATACTGCATCACTAGAAACAGTTGACATCCTTGCAGATACTGAGATATCTGAAGAGAGAGAAATTGGTAAGCTCTTAATAACATTTTAAAATTTCTTATAGTGTTGTCACCTGGTGGCCCATAGACTACATAAAATCCAAAAGTTACTTTTCTGGGACCTGCAGCCAGATTAATAAAATGTATTAATTTTGGACCATGCATTTCCAAAATATGTATATATATTCCTACTTTTATAACCATATTAAAACTATCTTCAAAACTTGAATGTCAGTGATTCCAGAAAACCGATTTTGATGAACTTGTTCTTTGCATGAATATACACAGTGATTTCATTAACATGCGTTATTTCAGTCTTAAGACTTCAGATAGAAAGAGGCTTCCTGGAGAATATATTCAAAGTTGCAATTGAATTTCTTTGTATAATCTTACATTTGGTCTTGGAGTTGCTGTGTGTGCAAAATTATTCACAAACATTATTTGAAATTAAGCGGCCGAGCCGTAAAGTCGCTGAACACTGGTAGTTCGGTCCGAGGTTCGAATCCCATGAACGGGCTGGCTGCATCGGGATTCGTGGTTTTCCCCATGTGTAACGTGTATACGAGTGAGTTTCCCTTAGAAAATCCTCCATGAAGGCATCCCTCCCCTTAGGCAGATAGCCCTCAAGGCTTTGCCATAATTAAATAACCTAACCTTATTTGAAATTATCACAAGACTATTGAAATAATTGTTTATTTTTCTAGAAAATATTCCTGAATGTCTGTTGCATATAATATACAATATGGCTTATGACTCTCACACTCAAATCCCTAAGGGTTACAGAAATTGATTGTCACTGTCTAGTAAAAAAGTCAGACCTAGATGACCCGGAAATCAAAGAAACAGAAAAAATTCAAGCTAGAAATCCTTTGCTGGATTATGCTTAAATATTTAAGAGACTACGCAATCTCTTAAATATTTAAGCATAATCTGAGTGGCACAGGAGTATTTAACAAACTAACATGTGATTAAAATCAAGAAATTCAGTTTTTTCTGGGAAGAAGATAATAAGCATTGAATGAAATAAAAATGGCAGGAAATCATAATAGAGTTATGCATCTTTTTTTTCCATGAGAAAGGAGGCAATAATAATTAATAATGTTGTATTTCAGTAATATTTTGTTTTCTTTCAGCAGGTGTATTGCATTGAAAATGTAGGTTGTGTAAGAAAGAGAACTTTTTTAAGAAACAATTACTTTTGATTTCTGTGTGATAAATTGATTTTTGTGTAAGAAAATATATTAAATGTTTAAAGCAGGAAATGAAGTCAAATTATGACTCTTTCAAAGAGCCCAAGACTGCCTTCATTCGTATAACAAACAACCGAGATTGCATGCTTTGTTTCTACCCTTCTTCTCAAGTACACAATAGCCTAAGGTGCAGTTTTCCCAAATACATTATATCAATTCATCTTTATTGTAGATTGTCTTGTTCAAAAAAGATTCTTTTGTGCTTTGTCTGTAGGTTAAAGTTGACTTAGTGTACTCTCAGTGGCTAATGGCAGCTCTTAAAAACTAAAACTATATCATTTGGAATTTTTGCACCTCTTTGCTCGTTAATGAATGAGAAAAAAGAAATTATTATAAATTTGAAATGGATTTTGAGGCATTTTGGCATTTTAAGCAAACAGGTGTGCAAAGGATTAAATATTCACATATTCAAGACTTGGTTGATTGTGAAGGTAAGTAAATGAGACTGAAAATTCAAGATGATCAACAATTTAGGAATGAAAATTATTTCACATTTACAAAGGAGGTTTGATGCAAAATCTCCTGTGCTTGGGGATAATACTTCACTAAGTGTATTTAAAAATGCAAAGAAAATAATTTCTGCAGAGGCAGAATTTGACTTAGTTCAGAAAATATACTGTTACGAATTTTGCATTATGTAAATAATTTTAGTAAAATTGTTTTCTTCCCCCCCCCCATATAATATGAAAATTTAAAGAATCGAAGCTTTACTGGAGGAGTAAGACTACTGGAGCAAGTCTATTAGTAAATGGCTATGTTGCTAAATTGGCGAGATATCGCCAAGCTGGCAAGCCAAATTTGGTGACATTTTGATCCGATCCCCGTATAACTAAAATGGGTATTGTAATTGAATAAGTTTTATTGATCCTGTGTGTAACGGTAACCATATCTAGCCCACATATGACTTCCAGTAATTTTGAGGTGTGGAATTTACTAGAGATTTCTTAGCAGCTGTGTGAAAACTATGAGGCAGGAGAGAGCATCTACTCTGAGGTTGTTAGTTCAGAGCTGAATTCAGAGTATTGAGATATCCATGAGTGTTTTGCCTTTTAACCCTCTGGGTAGCACAGGATTTTAGATCCGTCATGAAAATCGGTATTTAAACAGCATTTATTAATTGAATTTATATAATTACTTATTTTAGTCTGTATTTTCATAAACTTACAATCATTAAGATGATATTTACATTATTAAAGAAAGTAAGAAAGCAAAATGTGTTAAATTATAAGTTAATATATGCCAAGTAGCAAACCTTCTGATGACCAGATAAAACCGGTCATAATGCTCAGACGGTTAAATGTACTTTGCATTTTGTTGTGTTTAATGCTGTTAGTAGTATGAAGTGTAACTGCTGATTATGCTGTGTTATACTGGTAAGAACTGTAAAAGTGCTTTTACACGAAAATCCAGAACTGTCAAGTGTTCCTTTTGGTAAAATAAATTTTATCAAGCTATCATCAGTTCTGTATTAATTTAATCCATTACAAACCCATATGCACACAATAATACATTAATTTTAATGCATTAATGTGATAATAATTTCATTAGTGAGAAGCATTCAGTTTAAATTATTGAAGATAAAGTATTGGGTGTTTTTAATTTTAGCATTTATGTATTATATTTATACTAATATAAACTTTTGTTTATAGCCTTATTTTACTTGATGTCTTACTGGTCATATTATACAAAATGTGCACAATGCGTTCTTATGCAGTATACAGAAAAAATATTGAGCATTTAAAAAAGAAGAAACAAAAAAGGTTTATTAGCTTTCTAGTTCCTCTAAGGCAAAGATACAGTCAGTCACAGCCCTGTTCGAGAAGGGAAAATGAAGAATCCACCATCAGGCAGATCCCAATCCCAGATGGCAGAATAAAGTACAATAAAGATCACAAGCTAGACAAACCAGGCCACCAAACAGGTTGTCAAAATGAACTCTGTTAGGATCCAGGCACTCGCTGGCAATGTCAAGCAATCTTCAAGGCCTGCTAGACTTCCCGATTTGACTGGGGGGTGGGTTCCTCTGGACAACCAAAAATAACAACTATGTACTGCCCCACAAGCAAGGGGCAGACAAGACAGTACCAATATAGTCCTTGCCAAGCTTGAACATACACCCAATCAATCGTGGCTCTAGTCTTGAGACAGATTATGTACCCCATGGTCGAGACTGCAGATCTCAGCCAATAGCTTCACAGGTTTTACCTGCATCAAACCCCAGGGGGGAGACAAAGATACATAATTCTGAGGTGGTTTACATGTAAATATGTATGTGGAATGTTTAGCAATATAAAATTCTAGAAGATTTATGCATATTGGGAGTTGACACCAAATGTTTGAATGTTATAGTTATGTTACTGTACTGGATTCATCTGTGGATAAATTTAAGACTTCTCTAAAGATTTACCCAATAAATGTAACACTAGAAATTTTTGAACAAAAATTATAAAATCCCTTTCCTTTGCACTTTAAAACATATAATTCAATAGTTTAGTCTTTTATGCCAAAAACAATTATAAAATTAATTTATATATTTTTTTTTATTGTTAACTAAAATAATTTTAATGCTATACCATGATATTAGATTACAAATGTCTTCTTAACAAGTTGGGACTATAAAATTTACAAAGATAAAAATTAAGCCTAAAAAAAGACAAGTTTAATTCCCTTAAAGTGGTAAAACTTGTTTCCTTTATTTTACAAGTTCTAGAGTGTGTCCTTAATATTCAATATGCTACATATAACCAAAATAGCATGGTTATTTTTTTTATTTAACATGAGATTATATTCGTTTATATTTAGTGCATGAAATTTTTTAAAAAAATTATATTTTTTAATGATTGTTATGGGACAATAAAATTTTAATGTTACATAAGTTTATAGTTTTGCATGTTAGAATTACTTTTGAATCATGCTTTACGCTATATTTTAACTGTTTGTTAAAAACTCTTATCATTTTTATTATATAGGCTTCCAAGGATTACGCACTGCATGCTTATTATCAAGGTCTTCTGTCAATCGTTCTAGTGATTGGGATGATGATCAAGATATTCCAGATGTAGGTGGAGATGGATCAGGTGATCATGATTCTAAAACTACTGAAACTAGTCCAGAAAACCAAAATATCTTCAGATATCTAGAAGATGGTGAAAAGGTATTTTTAATTTATTGTTATTATTTAGAAAATGAGTCAATAAAAATAAAGTAGTCTTAAATGATTGTGACTGATTATGACTGGACAAGTCTTGGGAGGTTGAATGATACAAATAGTATGAATCCTAAATTTTCTCTTACCTAAATCATAACAGGTTCTGAAAATCTGTTATACATATGAGAGAAAGAAGAGGAAATTTTAAAAAGTTTTATTTAATATTAAAAGTCTGGATTAAAGCAAAATTTGAAATTTTCCTCAAAACGTGTTGAAGTTTGTAATTTGCTTGAAGTGGAAAGCAAAACTGAGAAAACATTACTTTAAAATATACATTTATTTATTAAAAGGATAAAAATGAAATTTAGCAAAATTACATACATAATTTAAATTCTTGAATCTTGAAATTCATTTTTTCAGTCTAATTTAATAAGATTATTTGAATAATGGTTCACATTTTTTTCCCAACATCTTTATAAATTAAAGGAACTGTAAAAAGAAAAGCATTATTTCAAGAATTAATGTGAATAAATGATGAACATAGAATATTTAAATTCTTTTCTAAATATTAAATGTAACTTCATGGCTACTGCAAGGTGAAATTGGTAATCTGGATGCACTAGATTATAACAATTGCTTCTCCTCCTTAAAGAAAGTTTGTTTTGGATATCAATGAAACTAATCTTTCTGCAATTGTAAGTTAAAAGATTTAATTTAACAAATATTCTCTATTCAAATAAAGCAAATATAAAATTAAAATTTAATTAAGAAATTTTAATTGTAAAGAAATAAAAACAATTATTATTGCTGCGAACAAATTTACAATATGATTTAAATTTTAAGAGCATATGTAAATTAATTGTACTTATCTAAAACCATGAAAAAATATATTATTCCAAAAAATTAAATATATTCCTAAAAATTGCATAAGTGAATAATTGTTGAGCAGGCAGGAGACAAACTTATCAAGGGGAAGTTGCCCCCAAACTTAACTCTTTTGGACAGGAAAATTTTTTTTAAAAAAACTGGGAATCTAAATGGTATTGCTAATTTAATTCACTAAAATTTGAAAAATGGAAAATGTGAAATCAAACAAGGTAATTAGCACTAAAAGCTGCTAAGTACTAGCAAAATTGTTTCAGAAGAAAAAAATAAAATTAAATTAAATTTAAATAATTCTCTTGCACCATTGTTGCAAGGAATGAAATTTGAATTTAACAAATATTTCTCTATTCCTATAAAGCAAAATAAAAATTAAAATTTAATTAAGAAATTTTAATTGCAAAGAAATAAAAACAATTATTATTGCTGCGAAACTTAATTTACAATATTCATTTAAATTCTAAGAGCATATATTTACATATGCTCTTATCTAAATCTTAATTGCACTTATCTAAAACTATGAAAAAAATATATTATTTCCAAAAAATTGAATTTATTATTACAAAATTGCACAATTGAATAATTGCTTGAAGCAGGCAGGAGACAAACTTATCAAGGGGAAAGTTGCCCCCAAACCTAACTCTTTTGGACAGGAATTTTTTTTTAAAAAACTGGTAATCTAAATGCTATTGCTAATTTAATTCACTAAAATTTGAAAATCTAAAAAAACTGTTGTTATTAAAAAATACTGCAAGTTAAAATTTTAAATAAAGTTTTAAAAAAAAAATTAGTTAAGTGTAAAAATTTAAAAGAAACTAAACTATTTGAACTAAGTTATATTTGAAAAAATGAAAAAAGTGAAATCAAACAAGGTAATTAGTGCTAAAAGCTGCTAAGTACTAACAAAATTGTTTCACAAGAAGATTCATATTTGAGTAACAAAAGTAATAAATGAAAGTTGGCATCAGGAATTGGTGGTTAGATTTTGATGATCACTCAAAAAAATTTAAATAATAGTTTGGAGAGCAATGATAATTAATTTTCTGATTCAATAGAATCTGCTGTTAAGTATGTGAAATAGTATGTTATAGTTACAAAAAACTTTCAAAATGAAACATAAATAATAATGATAAATATAATTTTATTTTATCATTGCCTCTGTATATCTGATTTCAGCTACAATGCTACTTGTATGTAACAGCCATTTTGCACTGGTGTAGTGTCATGTTAGAAATAATTTATGATGTCTTCCTCTGGTGATACCACATTAAAAATTTTGATAATTTTTCTTTCAGTCAAATCAATTAATAATGTAATTTATGGTCAGACAGCTTTCACAATGAAACTAAACATTAAAATATTCTGTAAGTCCTTACCACTGTATAAGTATAAAAATGCAGTGGTTGGTACAGAATCATAGTTGCTAACGTATCCAAGAAGCATAATAAATTAAAACCAAGTTATGAGTAATTGTAATGGTGAAAAAAATTAGTAATCTGTACTATTCAATAATGAAGAATCTGTTTGTGTGTTTTTTGCATGGTGGAAAAATGGCAACACCTAAAAACCATCAAACTTTGAACACACATAGTCCTCCTCTCAAACATGTGCACCTCAAAATTACAATTTTGAAATTCAAATTTGTTTTTGATATACTTCATTTTTTGTATAAATTTATTGTCTTACTCCAGCATGTTGCCATTCAGTAAAGTATAAGATATTTAATGTTCAAATTTAATCTGTCTGTTATTGATTAACAAAATAAGCAGTTTAAATTACATGTTGTCTAATTAGAAAAAAGCAATAGTGCAGCTGTCTTTCTGCTTTTTATCTAATTCATTTAAAATGTGTCCTTATAAAATTAAAAGCTTCTTCTTTATTGATACTGACCTTCACTATAGATTGCTTATTCTGATATTTTATTAGATTAAACAATTTTCATTTTCCTTTCATTAGAAAGTATATTTTTATTAAAACAACAGAAATGACTTGAGTGTTTTTACCTGAGTACAAGGTTTAAAATTGCACAAAAAAAAATATATGATTTTTCACTTGAACATTGAGAAGGGAAAGAATGATTGATGGATCAAGCAATTATTTAATACTAGTTTATTTTAAATTAAGAGAAAACTAATTAAATCATCTAACAAAAATATTTTTTATGCAGGAAGTGCAAGATTAAAATGTATTTTTACTAGGCCAAATAATTTTTGATAAACATTTGAATAAAAATTAATTTTTTTATGTGTTGTAGTTATTAAATGTCATTTTCAAATTGTTCACAATATAAAGCAAAATAAATAAGTGGTTTTTTTTATATCAATACTGCAGTTTTTTAAGCTTCTTAAAAGAAACTCATTTGAGATCTTCATTGCTCTCATTTCATTGCAGCTGATTCTTACCATTTGGCTTTGTATTTTTAATACCTCATTTTAAATATGAGAATCTATGTTTTTTGTATTTTACATTCTGTAATTTCTGGGTAATAATTTCTTAAACTAGTAGGCCCATTATAACTGCTTAGCTGAAGAATGTTTCTCGAGCTAAATTGAAACCGGTAGCAGATTGCAGTTTCTTTTAAATTTCATTATATGTGTGTATATATATGTATATATATATATGAACATAACAAACATTCTCTATTCATAAAAAGCAAATTTAAAGGTAATAAATTTAAATGACATTTAATGCAAACAAATAAATGATATATATGTATGTATATATCATTGTATAATATAATATATATATATGTATGTATATTTAAAACTTTAATGTTAAACTCAAGTTGCTTCATTGTAATTTAAAAGTTTTGGATTCCGGCCTCTTTTTTTTTTTTTTTTTTTTTTTTTTTTTTTTTTTTGTTTTTTTGTTTTTGTTTGAGTTTGCTTTCATATTACATTGTGGGCATTTTTTTAAATTTAGATTAGTCATACATTTCGATGCGCTCGAATTCAAGGCCTGGATACTTGTGAAGGTCTACTGTTATTTGGAAAGGAACATTTTTATGTAGTTGACGGTTTTACTTTGCTGAAAACTCGCAAAATAAGAGATATTGATTCACTGCCTGTAAAGTAAGAATCCTTATATTTAGTTCATTTACTGATCATTTGCTATAGATGTGTTTCTTTTTTTTTTTTTTTTTTTTTTTTTTTTTTTTTTTAAAGAAGGAAGAAAGAGGGGGGAAAGAAAGAAAATTTAGATTATTTTTGTGTACTTAGCATTATTGTTAAGAACTTAATTCACTTACAAATTTAGTGTGAGAAATAGAATTTTGGTTTAATCTAGATTCAGAATGTCTAATCTAGCAATCAAGAAGCAATTCAATTCTTAATTGCTACATTAGCTAAAACACATCTAAAGATAAAATCTTATTAGAAAATATAAAATTTATGTAGGTCTAAGTTAAAAAAAAGCATCTTGTGTACAAAATTATCATGAACTTTTGAAGATAGAGTGAAATCTGTTTTATATACATGGTTATCAATGTGTTTTGGAAAACATAGGCATAATATTTACAAGGTAAGAATGAATTTTAACAAAATGAATGAACTTGTTAAAAATAACAACAAAGAATTTAAGTGACATGCATTTATTTGTGGTACATTAAAGTAAATTTTAACTATTCGAATTTTCTTCAAGCTGTTTGCTGTTTCTAGCCGTCCTGATCTAAACCTTTTCTCAGATCAGGTTTATGAATTTATCATGACCAAGAGGCAAAGGGGACCCTAGTCCTCGGGCACCTGATAGATGTCGGTACGACTTTGCCCGATACCTTTTGTTTTCAGATCTGATGATCTTCTACAATTCTTCTCCTGTTGCCAACTTCTGAAGAGGATTTTCGACTTGCCTGTTAAACTGCAACTATATAAGTTTCTTGTCCTACATTACAGATGTTTTTTGGCAGATCCTTTAGTCACAACACTTGTCACTTGTAGTCTAAGGGGTGCACAATAGTGCATTCTTCCTCTTGTTTAAATTCATCAGTTCACACATAGTGCAATTTTTTATTTTGCATGTTTGTGTGTATGCCTATGTAATTGGGTATGTTAAAGCTATTGTTTCTATCCTAATCCTCAATGACCTCAAAATCTGCGCTATTTCATGCTGTTATGCTAGTCACATCAAATACGCTTCAATGTATATGGACTGGAATGGAATTGAGTTTTTTTTTTTTTTTTTTTTTTTTTTTTTTTTTTGGATTTGAGTTGTTTAACAAAAGGATCTTGCACTAAACAAATGTAATATGTGAAAAGCCACCTAGATGGCACGGAAATAAGGAAGGCAGTTGCCACAAGCCTTGGGGCTGGGTTCAAATCCAAGAGAAAGCGTGGTTGTTAAGTGTACAATGTCTTAGCAACATGGAAGCATTTAAAAGTTCCTACACAGTATAACATGGAGTTTCAGTGATAATAATAGGTCCTAGTTTATAGAGAATGCTCGTCCGGAGTTGGCATCATCTTCAAGGCTGAAATTTCTGTTCTTTAACTTCTCAAACCACCTCCAAATTATGTCATCGGAAACAACACTTTGCCCATATATAGCATAAATTTTACGAGGAGTCTGACTAGCATTTTTTTCTTGTTTTAAATAAAAGAGCATAATATGATGAAATTGAATTTTTGGGTTATCCAGTCTTAGATCTGCACTGAAAGCAAAATTATGGCACAACACTTGTTAGAATTATTCAATGTGAGCCGTCCTTATCACCAGTGTTTAGTCAGTGAAATTGTTCAATTTTTTTGCAGAAAGTTAAATTTTAGTAAGAGTACTAATGTAAGACGACATCACTGATATGATCATGATATATTCAAATTATTCATTAAAAAATTACAGTTAAGTGATTCAAATCGCGTATTTGAGGGGGGGAATAAAATATACCTTTTGCTAACATAAATTTTAAGAGATAATAAATTATTTTGATATAATTTTCAGAAATGTGTTTTACTGTGGGCAGTTAATATGATAGTTTGAGAAATTTTTCATAATAAAGTAACTTATCTGAATAATCCTATGTTATGTTACAAGAAATAAATGATATAAAATATATCAATAATTTTTTCTTAACAGCTGGTGAACCTAATGACCCTGGAATATGTGTTCTTATCTCTAAGTCCCACCACCACCAGTTAGGATACATTTTATCCCAACACCTGTAATTATAGCTTAATATAAGGTGTTACAGAATGAGTTTATATAAAATAATTGTTTTGTATTTTTCCAATATATGTATAATATTTTAAGTATTTGCGTTAATTATTGTATTATTAACCTATTTATTTTATACATTTTTAAGTGTACAGTTTTGTATTTTTACATTAGCACTATTTATACTTTTAAACTTCTGGCTTAAAATGTATTTTCTCCTCACTAGCATGCATGATCCAATTATACCAAATTCTACACCTGTTAATAAGCATCAGAAACGAATGTGAGTATTGAATATTAAACTTATTGTTAATGTGTGTTCATTTGTTCTATGTCTTTCATTTTTCCATTACTGTTTAGTTTCTTACATACAATAACAAAGCTACCATTTTTTCTCATATATATCACAAATATTGTTTCTGTTGTTAATATTATAAAAAGCAGATAGATTTAACTGTTTTTATAAAATGCTGTATGTCTTTGAGTAACTGAAATATTTTGCAAAACAAATATGGGATTTATATCTGTTTAAAAAATATTTACTTTCTGTAAGAATATATTAAACTTTGGGAATTATATTTTAAGAAGAATCTTTTATTTATATCTGGAGATTTAATAATTTGAAATAGCTCTGAGAGGGGTAACAAATTTTCTTTATGACAAAAGCTGTAATGGATGAAAACGTTAAAAAAAAAAAAAAAGTACTTGTCGTTAAATATTCCTATTTTAAAGCATATTTCTTCTTTTCAGTCCCAAATTTATATCTCAGTGCATCACTTTTCTGAAAAGGAAATGTTTTATTAACATATAATAAATAGCTTGAATAGATATTTCTTAAAATGCATACTGAACGTAATATTTAATACATAACCAAAGTGACTAAATATATTAAGATGATAGAAAATTTTAAATGGAAACTTTAAATTATCTTCCATTAATTAGTTTTTGAGCAAATTGTATTTATAACACTGCTATGTATCCTTAAATGCAAACTGTAGTAACTGATACATAGCTATAGTGATTTAAATTTGCAGTGATCTTCATGTCTTATCATTTCTGAAACTGGGAAACTTTAAAATTATTTGAAGTTCGCATCCTCAGTAGAAACTGTAATTTTTCACAATTTTTTAAAAAATTTATTTTGAGAAAGATTTTAAACAATAATATTCTTTGATCGTAACTAATGAAATCGGAATTTTTCAGGAAAGAAACTACATTAAAGTGTGAAAGTTTTGTGTAGTAAAAATTTGACTATCTCCCATTCAATTAACTGGAAAGCTCAAATAATTAAAAATTTTAGAACTTTAAAAAAAAAAAAAAAAAAAAATTTAGTAAGTGAGAGGTTTTTTTTAATGCCATTGTAGATATTTTAACATTGCTAACACATAACACACTGTTGTCAGACAGTGCAATTTTGCACCAATAATGAGTTTGTTTCGGTTTTAATGTAAATATAATTAATTTTTGATAAGCTGGTTTAATTTTTATAAAGAAGTACAGTCAAAAGTTGTTAATCTATACGCCCATAATCCGGAATAATCTATAATCCGGACCTCAAAGCTACAAACTTTCTGCGCATGCATCAACGCATGTGCGTAATACCTTTACACATGCACATATGCGTGTATGCATGCGCACATTGACGCATGCGCGTTTAACGTATAACAGACGGTATAAGCTAAGCTAAAATTATCTATTTCGGTTAATGTTGCAGATTGCGTTTTCCCTTAATCTTTGAATTGGATCCGGCTTATTATTTTTTGCAGACTGTTAGAGCAATTTTATAAAAGTAAGCTTGAACTTTCGATTATTTCAAATAGAATTTCCAATGCTGGATACTGCCAAAGGATCTACAAAGCGAAAGAATATTTCGATGTCCATCAAACAAAAAGTGGAATTGCTGCAAAAAATGGATAAAGGCATATCCTTTGTTTCTCTAACCATTCCGAAATCTGTTTATCAATTTCACGCTGCTCTGCGAGGAAAGGGAATGTCACGACGCGCAATGAACTGGAAGTTGATCTGTCAGCACTATCCTTATCTTCAGGGCAGATGTTTTTATTTTATTCAGCTTATAGTTCATTACTAAATGTAGTATTTCATCTCGATGTACTCTGTCTTTAATATGATTTAAATCAAATTCATTATAAATATCACGAATACACATCAAATAGTTTTCTGGTTGCAATTTTCTAATTTCGACTATGCGTAATGTGTGCTTTGACGCATGCGCGTGTTGAAAGAAATGTTTAATAAAGTAATCAAATAAATATTAAGCTCTTTTTTTTTTTGTAAATTTTGATACCCTTTAGATTATAATTGTTCTTTATTTCATAAATTACGGTTTCATATTTTTTATTTTATAATTTCTGCATGCCATCATACCAGATTTAAACTGATGATCTATAATCCGGAATCGCCGAAGTCCCGACGAGTCCGGATTAAAGACTTTTGACTGTATATAAATTCTATTTTATCTTCGCATTTTAAAAAATGATTAATATTTGGGATTACATAAATGGAGTTTTGCAAAGTTACAGGATCCAGGCATGAAGAAAATCCACCATGCGGAACTTTGAAAACAGATAAACAATAGCAATGTGATATGAAAGTACATGATAAGCAGTTTAAGTTTTTCTATGCTGTATCCTTTTAACTCTTTATTTTTGTGTATATATATTTACAATATTTTAACTCTTTATTCTCTGATTAAACAAAAAATAATCTGTTCATTTTAAACTTATACCATAAGGGTGACTGTTCATCTCCCATGCAGTAAAATTTAGAATCTCCATAGAAGTTGATAGCTGTTTTTATTTGTCTCCTTGGTCAGAATGCCTCGCACAGCTACAGAGCACCATGTGTAAGGTGCTCTGTAGCTAATAACACAAGCTCTTTAACAGCTATAGAGCATCACGTGTAAGGTGCTCTATAGCTGTGCCAAGCATTCTGACCAAGGAGACAAATAAAAACAACTATCAACTTCTATGGAGATTCTAAATTTTACTGTATGGGAGATGAACAGTAGGGGTTTAGCACTATTATGATTTATCTACTGTTGTTAGATAGTAATAATTGAAATATTTAATTTTGTTGTGATCAGAATAGAAAAAAATGCTTTTTTGTCATTTCAGTTCTAAATAAAATCATGATTTTTTTATGAGTAACAGTGGTAAAAGAAAGTGAATTTAGAGCAAGAAAATTGCATAACTTATCAGAAAGTAGTGTTTATATAATTGGAAAAGGAAAAGGGATTAAAACATATAAAAAAAATTGAAAGATAACTGTAAAGTAAGTGTTTGAAAAATGTGAAAAAGAATTTTTATTGTATGATTATGAATTTCACCTTATTCATATAAAATTTTAATATATATAATATATGTTTCTGCCTAAATGTGTCAGAAAGAGTATACTTTTATAAAAAAAAATTTCTTCTGAATTCTAAAACTCAAAAATGTGTATAACATCAAATCTCAAATTTTGTAGACTTGTCATTGTAATAGGGCAGAAAATAATACCAGATAAAACTATTCAAGCCACTTTAAGCATTAAAAAGTGGCACTAAGTGGCATTAAAAAGTCCATTAAATTGTCGGGTCATTTGAAACATTTATTTTGGGAAGGAAAAAGTGCAAATTTAAATTTGTATAAAAAATTTAAACTTACATGCAAAATGGTCATCCCAATTTTTTCCTTTTACTATTCACTTCAACATTACTAACAAAAGAGCTTAATGGCTGTATCTTAATATAAGGTATCAAAAATAGATGGATTGAGTGAAAATATTTTGTGTGAAACTTCTGCACTGGTCCAGCTGATAGCTTAATACTTGGAAATTCACAAAACTATTTTCTTCATTCATTTCATTTATTTTTTACAGAGTAAAGCAGGATCTATTTGTAATTTATTTCAGGTGCAGCAAATTCTCGTATGATGAAATTCGAGATGTTCATAAACGTCGATACTTATTGCAGGTAAGAAGCAAAACATATTTTGTTTCGTGCTTTACATTATTTATCCTTTTTAGAAGAAATTTTACTTAAATTGTAACATAGACTATGAAGCATATTTATTGAAGAAAGTAAATGTGACACAAGCCCTTCAATTAGAATAAAAATGAAAAAAAAAAAAAAAAAAAAAAGAATAAGTTTGTCTTATAGGATCTTTTCCTTGTATAAATAAGTTCTTCTTTCTACAAAAGCTTTATTTAATCAAAAGGATTTGAAAAATCAAATATATCATATTGGATCCTTTCTTTTAGTACATGAGTTTTCTTTACTATTAAAATTTTATTAAATGGAAAGAAAGTGAAAAAATGTCTTATAGAAATATGTCTTATAGAATCTTTAATTAAAATATGAATATAATATTTATTTCAATACTGTTTATTGAAAAAACTAAATATGTCATATATGAACCTTTCTATGCATATCCCTTTAAACTATTTGTAAAATGTTTAAAATATTGTTAACTTCAAAAGAAAATGTACATGATGATGGATAGGGTGCCTGATAAAATATACAGTAATTATGTAAATGCATTATTGTCTACAATATTAAGTAATAGCTTCATTAAAGAGTTTAGCAATTTTTTAAAATAATATTTATTATAGCAATTAACTTTTAAGGAAAGCATGCTAAAGGGCTATTTAAAAAAACTGGTTAACTGAAAACTATTAAAAGTAAACTAAAAAAAAAAAAAAAATTTCACCAAGTAAAACTATTAATTTAAAAAATTGGATTGTCTCTAAAAAATGTTTTTTGCTTTGCAATTTGAGAAAAAAGATTTGCAAAATTTGGAATTTTTCAAAAGAAAACAATTGTGTTTCCTGTAGTTCATTAGCATACTATAAATTAAATAGTTATTATAATTTGGCTGATAAAAGTTGTGTTTCACTGCTGTAAAATGTTTATAATAATTTCAGTATGCAACCAGCAGTTGCACTTTGCTGATCTTTAAGACCTTCACATTTTATATCATTTCTTCAAAATTGTTCAATAAATATGCACATTTTTTTTTTATTTAAGCTCAAAAAAAAAATTACACATGTACTTCATAATTTAAAAAAAAAAGTTCAAATGCAAAATAGCATACTGCCATTAAAAGAAACTTTTAGCCTAAAAATGCTTGAGTTATTTATTGATAATCAGTAGATAAGTAATCTACTATAATTAGTAAATTAATTAATAAATAGATCTATTATTATAAAATTAAGAATTCCATCATAATTAAATTGTAGAGAAATACTCCCTCTGAACGTGAAGTCCGCAAGTATTTAGAAAGGCTTGAATGTTAAAATATCTAAGTATGTATTTTTAACACCATTATATCTGTCATTTAATTTTATAAGAAATGCAACATGTAATTCTATTTTTTGCTGAGTTTGTATTGATCAACAGATAATTATATGAACCAGGTATTATGTAAGTTAGAAAACAGGTGTAAAGATAGATTTTAAAAAACTAAGTATTTTAATCTTATGCAAATCTAATTACTTTCAGTTTTATGAAAAACTAACCGCTATGCAGCCAGCCTTCATCTGGCTTTTAAATGTATCAGAAAAATGCCTAAAGGGAACAAACATTAAATTTTAAAAATGCACATAATTTTACTCTGCAGAACAACTTTATCAAAAAAAAAAAAGAAAGAAAAGAAAACCAGAAATTTCAATACAAATGTATTATATATAAAAAAATTACAATGAAATAAGCAATATCCCTTAACACAAATATTAATTATCCTAATAAATAAATTAACCAACTTCTCATTGCAAAATCTTAAGAATTCAAATGGTATAAAGGAAGTTAAGAACTTTGTTTCCTAAAAAAAATTATGCAAAACTTTTTATATAATTAAAACATGAAAAAATTACAATGAAATGAGCAATGAATCTCAAATTTTCAAGAGAAAACAGTCAGCAGTCTAGTATCCAAAGTAATGAATGAAAAATGCCAAAACGACATTTTTAAAAGAATGAGAAACTATCATTAGAAAGCAATTACCAATCAAAATTGTGCTTTGGGGATGACATAATTCGAAATATATAAACCTCTTTGCTAATAAAGAAAGAAAAGAGGGGGAAAAGGAAATTCTTTCTGTTGTGCCTTGTGAGACACATGTGTGGTGATGGCGATAAGGAGCGCGCCTTGCGCCCTCCGATAAGTGTGGCAACCCTAGAGGAGAAGTTTCTTATGAGTAGCGAGCAGAGCGAAACAGGCAGGAGGCGGGCAGTGTGCGCGAAGTTCCGAAATAAAGCTTAATTTTTAATGTGCACTATGTCTCGTTAATATTTATATCAATGCAGTAGGAACATAATCTGTGATATGGAATTCGAGGATTGGTGGTAAAAACATAACAGGAAATCACCATACATGTACGTCAGAATAAGAAGATTGAGATGTGCGTGTTGTGTGTATAATTAATAATATTTTATCTCATATTTTCAACAATTAGCAGTCCAGTATACAAAGCATTTAATGCAAAACTGTTACCAAAACCACATTTCTAAAAGAATGAAACTATCCAAAATGATGCAGTTTCATCAAAAAGATAAAATGAAAAATGTGTGATTTGAATTTTGAAAAAATCACTTCGAGGTGCACTGGCTGTTGTCTAAATGCACCTATGTACCAAATTTCGTATACACACACACAGACAGACTCTGTCTTTTATTATATGTAGAGATAATGGAACATATATTTTATTAGGGTTTCAAACAAGTATTTAAAATATATTTAATCTTTGTAAAATAGTAATAATGTTATAAATTGCATAGCCTGTTATCTTATTCATCATATAAATTATTTCTCTCTCTCTCTTTTTTTTTTTTTTTTTTTTTTTTTTTTTTTTTTAAAGCCCATAGCACTTGAGGTTTTTTCTGCTGATGGTCGAAACTATCTTCTTGCTTTCCCCCGGAAAACCAGAAATATAGTTTATGCTAGGTAAGAATTTTCTTTTTAAAAGAAACTACATCCTATTATGGGTGGGATTAAATCATATATCTTGCTCAAGCTGTATGATTGCATGTTATAATGCATTTCTCAATGTGTTTACATTTTTGGCTTTATTAAATGTATTTTAATATTTTAGGTTCTTAGCTACTGCCACTGCTATAACTGATAGTGCCCAGGAATCACTGGCTGGACAAAAGCGTACTGCTAATGTTGAGTCAAGGTATGAACAAAAGATTTTTCCAAGTTCAAAAATCATTTGTAGTCACATAGAGAAATGGTTTTCATTTTATATATATAAATTTATTGTATTTGCTACCAGGTTTTGTATATGAAATGTCACCAGAAGTCAACTCACATGAAAACAAAATGTTAATATAGATCTCAACACATACTAGCATGTTATTGGCTACTATATTATAACACCACTTCATGTAGACACATGAGTAAGACATGTGAATGTTGAGATATTTTCATTAAAAAAGGGAGAAAACAATATCCAAAATAAAGGGCTAAAGTATTCTAAAATATATTAAATTGCTATACCTATTTAAATTGTGATTTGTATTTGATTTCTGTATCAGAAATCATACTTCTTCCATTTTATAAAAAGGAGGGAAGGAGAAAATTCAAGCAGTTGATCTGTCATGATATGTAATAAGTTTTCAAGATCCTTACTCCATGCCAAGTGCAATTTAAAATAATGAAACTTTTGACTTGACTACTATATTCTCCTCAGTGTGTTGAAATTTCATGAGTTTGTATTCTATAATAATAATAAAATAATAATTATGGGACTTAAAGTCACTTGTGTGTTGTATTTTTATGGCCATGGAAATGGTGCGAAATAAATGTGTGGTTTGTGTTCAATTTCTATGTCAAAATGAGGAATAACAATAAATATTTCAGCTGTAAAAATAAAGAAAGAAGCTTATTAATGAATGATAACAGTATTATTCAAATGAAAAATATTATTTTTTTCCCTCAAATTTTTACATGTCAAAAATGGTTCATTTTGATTACATGTTTGTTCATTCATGTGATCGTATATTAATTTATCGTTATTCACCTTTCTCCTTAATTAATGAAACGTTTTATTAATAAATTTATAATAGCTAGCATTTTAAAAAAAGAATTTTTTTTTTTTTTTTTTTTTTTTTTTGTAATGTTCCAAATAGTATTTAAGGATGTAAAATTTGAAATGTATGTACTCAGAATTTCAATACTTCAATGACTTTTTTTAAATTTGGTGAAATAATTGCTGTATGTATTTAAATTTACTCATCTTTAAACTGATGAAGTACATTTTACAGTCACATGTACTGAAAAGATACTGCTCAACTTAATTTGATTTTTCTTTTATCTTGTATCATTATAATACAATTAATATGTTATCCATGAGTGATACAAATGCGTTCTTCTCTTTTTTTAGTGCTAATTTGTTAAGCAGTCTCATCGGAGATACTTCTGTTACACAGCGATGGGTTGTAAGTATTTACTTTTGCTGAATAGATATGCATTTAAAGGAAAATATTAAAACTGTAGCATCTTTTATCAAGTATATTAGTTATATTTTCATATTTAACATTTGTAAATAAAAATGATTGTGTTTTTCCGATAATGCTAAAAATTATGTAGAAAAAGAATATCACAGCTAAATATAAACCTGAAAGTATTACCACCAGTCTAAGATTGAATAGTGTGTGTAAATTTTAAATATAAATACATTTTTATTCATTTTATGATTATATAATACTGTTTCCATTTATCATGGAAAATGACAAATGTCACTTTAATAGAAATATTGATGGAAATTTGCTCATGTAAATTTCCGTATTACATTCATTGACAATTATTTTAATTTTGTTTCTTACATACCTTTTATAATTTTGTTGCTTACATTTTTTAATGCAGCATCTGATTATAGAGAGGGATGAATAAGTTTTAAGAACTATGAAATTAAATAATTTTGGAGAGCAAGCAATAAAGTTTAAAACTATTAAACTTTATTGTAATTTTAAATAAAATTATATTTTATAATACTGTTACTTCATTATGTACTGTAACATCCAACCTTGGAAGTGGAATTGGTAAAAAAAAAAAAAAATATAATATAATATAAATTTGGACAAAAACATTATATTTGACTGAAAGTAAATAACTTAAAGATAAAGTGAATTTCTGTAGAAGGAGAATTTTTGTTTTCTTAGAGGAAGTAATTAGTATTTCATGTTAATTAGAAATATTTCTTTTATACTCTTGGCTCATGTAATTGTTTCACTTTCTGATTTATAGCGTGGAGAAATTAGCAATTTTCAATATTTGATGCATTTGAATACATTAGCTGGTAGATCTTATAATGATTTGATGCAGTATCCAGTTTTCCCATGGATATTAGCAGACTATGATTCAGAGGTTTGTAAATGTCTTTTTTAAAGGCCTCTCTGATTTTATTTATTTAAATAAAAAAAGGTTTTTATTATTTATAGCTGAATAATAATTAATGTAACTAAATTGAACAATATGTGTAAATTATGTATTTTATATAGGAACTTGAACTAAATGACCATCGCACATTTCGCGATTTTACCAAACCAATGGGTGCTCAAACGCCTGATAGACTCAACCAGTTTAAGAAGCGTTTTAAAGAGTGGGATGACCCCCATGGTAATAATCTTTAAAATGCTTGTCTATGTTTTTATCATTATTTATTCCATATGAGTATTTAAAAGGCTGGTACGAATTTAATGTATCAGTTGGACAGATTAAATGCATAGCAGAATTTCTCCCTTCCCCAAGAACAATGCATATCTGGTTTCTTGCAAAATTTTAACTAAAAAATGTACATAAAAATAGGAAGTATTTGTATATTATGTAGACAACATGTTTTTTTTTCTCGTTTTGTGGTGTATATTTTGCATACAAAGGTAACTCGTTAATGAAAAATTAGTTATTCTAAATGTAGCTTTTAACCTCTCACTGCGTACTTTTTTTTTTCAAAAATTGCATATTTTTTATTACATATTCAAATTACAATATTTTTAGTTAAAATATACAAAATTTTTGTAAAAGAGTTTTTTTTTTTTTTTTTTTTTTTTTTATTATAGAATTAGATCATAGAAAAAGGTTGTCAGAATACTGAAATTGAAGAATAATGATATAAAAGGAAAATTTTGAAAATTAATACTGGTTAAATTATGATTTGTTTTATAAAATACAAAGGTAAAACATGTATAGTAATGAAAATATTTGCATAATGTAACATAAGAAACTGAATTTCCAGATTCATCACTATATGCAGAGGAATCCAAGAAATTCTCATCAGTTTCACTATAACTATCTTCAGTATACTTCAAATCAGAGTCAGGACTACTATCAGTGTCGGAAATATCGTCAGAAATATAGGTTATATCACTCACAAAACGCTTCCTGCCAGACATCTTTGAGCTGTGAAAAGCACACGCAAAATGCTACATTACGTATTCTTGTATATTTGGCAGAAATGTGGACAACTAATGCCATCTGTTAGCCAACATCTAAATAAACAATTAAACATCACAGAAAAGCCGAAAGGAAACCTTGAACGGGGAAAGAGCGGGTTGCACAGTTAAATTGACAGCAAAAATTCATCCCCACAGAAATCACAGGTTGTGCAAATTTTGCTACTTCTACGTTGTCCGTGGAAATCGCGGGATGTGCAGCGAGAGGGTTATACTATGTTGAACATGAAACAAGAATTTATCATACAGTATAAAGCTCTTAATCAAGTTAAGGCTGTAAAAATAAAACATAATTAGATTAGTTCTGTTGCATGTTTCTTGTGGATCATTTTATATTTTCTATTTCATCTGCATATGCATAATCACCATAGTTTTTCTCCATAACTTTTGCATTTAATCTAATAACTGCATATGTGTGGACTTGTGCTTAAAGCTGTGGACTTATGGTTTAATTTCTTGTGTGATAGATAGTACATTTTAATCTAATAAATATAGCTGTAAAGTGCTGGTTTAGTTCTTTCGTTGATAAATGACATACATTTAATTTTAAAAAAGTTTCTGAACATAAAACTGGCTGAAAAATTTGATTAGTATTAAAGAACTTGGAAAAGAAGAAGGAGAATGAAAATTATTTCCATAAAATCCATCTAATGAAGCAAAAAGTCAAACAAATAATCCTAAGACTATAATTGATACTATTAGATCCTTCATTGAAACCTTTAAGTCTGTTTTAATAATAATTCTTGTAAAACTTAAGAAGATAAGTTTTGATAAAAATCATGATGTTACTTTGATAAATCTAGATATTGGTTATTGACAAGCAAGAGGAATTTTTATATTAGTATTTAACTAACCTAGATTGGCATTCTTAGTATGCATTTTCCCCAAAATTGTAATGAACCTGCGACTGTACATGAATAAAGTTATGTTTTTTCTCGCTATCAGTATAATGAAAGTTCAACAAATGTCAGATATATGAAAATTTTGAATTGTTGATCATATAAAAAGATCAATTCATGGTAGATAAGTCAAATGAACGGAAGAAAAAGTTTTCAGTCTAAAATAATAAAAACAGTTTTCATACTTATTATCACCTTGAATATAAAAACCTATATTTAAAATTGTGTACATTTTTTTTAAATGTATTTCAAACATAAAAGCAAATGCTAGTCATAGTTTTATTTCTTGTAATTCTTTCTTTAATTATATAATCAACAGATATTAATTACAAGTATAGCATGTAATAAACTTATTTTTATGTTGCATCACCATTGTTTATCCATTTTGAAATAAAGTTAAATATTGTACCCATTGATGTACACTTTTCTTAATACAAAGATACCATAACTTCAAAAAAACTCCGCTTCATGCTGTTCCATAGAAAGCAGATTCCTAAAATTTAATACTTTTCTTTTCCAAAATGTGAGATAAAATCAGATATATATCAGTTAATTTATATCTTTATTTACAAAAACTAAATTGGGTTATTGAGAACTAATCAAGTTACATAAAAACAAGGTGAAAATTTTTATAGCTATGGCATCATGCTTATCCATTATTAGTGGTAAATCACACTATTTCACAACAGTGTCCATTACATGCTTTATTATGGTTTTGGAAGTGTCTCTGGAATCTGGGATCATCACTCTTCTAATGTCCACAACTACTTAGAGTTTTTACTGTAAAATTCAAATTTGTACCCTAAGACCTATCATTTTAGTTTTTGATTAGGTGCTGTCACACCATACATCTATAGACAAAAAATTAAATCATGCATTCAATTTTGGAAGGAATCTTAGTACTGATTTTAGTGGGATTCTTGGTTTAAATTTGCCTTTGCTGTCATAATTTGATAGCATTTCTTCTGACAATTTATATATGTACACATTTTTAGGCAACGCTATTTCATTTAGATACTTTTATCCTCAGATAGATTTCTGTACATGTATGTACTGTTTAATCATATGGTTGGAACTGGTGTATAGTGAAGTTTGTAGTGCATTTCTGTGAATTCCACAATATAATCTGATATTCCAATATTAAAAGTAAAATAATAGTAAAATAAGTAAAGTCTAAAACCTGATTTGCCAGGTGATTTTGCAAAGTCCATTGCCTGCTTTGCCATGCTAAACAACATCTGTATTCTGCTTTGCCATGCTAAACAACATCTGTATTCTGCTTTTCCAGGTAATTTTACAAAGTACATTGCCTGCTTTTTCAGGTTAAGCAAAGTCTGTATTCTGCGGTATCAGGAATTTTGAATGTAATGTAGAAATTTTAGCAGTGAAAATAAATTGTGTATTTACAGGTTTACCACCATCATGAGTTATGGTGGATTGTTCTTAGCCTTTTCACTATGTTTTCAACTGTTGGGTCATAATATATTACTCCTTGGATTGTACTGTATGATGAATTTTGCATGTTTTCAAAAACGTAGTGTGAAATTTTCAGAATCTGGTCATTAATGGGGTTGATTTTTAATTTATTATGGATTTGTAAATTTCATACAAACCATGGTACGTTCTCTACAGATCTGAATATTTTATTTTGCAGCATGTTTATTTTTTGTCTTTTGATTTTCTCTGCAGTGGCCCAGGCAAGGATGACATATAAAAGTATCATACAAATCAATATTAGATACAGGGTCCTTTTTATTCATTTTTTACTCAATTTCATTACTTTAGAATTTCTGTCAGTGAGGTTCTAAATGGCCATGACAGCTCCATTTGTTTTATTAATTATTGAAGTTATATGTTTCTTAAAAACTAGTTGTTTATCTGTAATCACCCTTAGGTATTTGTATCAATTCATTACTGGAAAGATATCATTGCTGGTATTGGTGTCTGTATTTGCACGCATATACACTGAAGAGCCAAAACATTATGACCACCTACTTAATAACGTGCTATGTGACCTTTAGCTAGCAAAACAGCTGTAACTTGCCTTGGCATGAATGCTACAAGTTCTTGGAAGATGACCAAAGGCAGGTTATACCAAATGTCTAAGCAGCCATCGTGCAAAATCAAGATATTCCGACATGGTGGTGTTTGAGCTCTGAGCTGCTTTTCCATGGCATCCCAAATGTGCTCCATCCCATTAAGATTCAGCGAGTTAGGGGGCCTGGATATTAATTGGAATTCATCCTTATGCTTCTTGAACCACAAGAACTTAATTTGAGCCTTGTGATTTGGAGCATTGTGTTTCTGGAAGATTCCATTTTCATTTGGGAAGACACATACCATGTAAATGTATAGCTGATCCTCAATTATGTGCAGATAGTCTGAAACTTTATTGTCCCTTCTACCACAACTAAGGGTCCCAGAGCTGCCCATGAAAATGTCCACATTATCTGTGTATTCATTTGTTATAATTCGGTTATTGTTAATTGATAGTAAATTGGTTTGTTTCCCTTGACAAGTCAATTAATTGGTGGTCAATGACAGTGGCTACTTTTTCAGTACTTTGGATTTTGAATTTAATATTTGGAATTTTTATGGTAAAGGGATTTTTCTATACATATAGTAAATAATGAATACAGTATAAATCTAAACTTGAATGCTGACTGAGAAAGCTACTTAACGTACTTACTAAAGTTTTTTCTAATAATTTAGTTTTAATTAAATTTATTTTCCTTGGAGATGATGTATAAATAAATACCTTTTCTAATAATAAATTATTGATTTATTATTTAACAGCTTTAGGAAAATTTTTGGAATTTTTAAATTACTCATAATTATTTTTATTCATATGTATACAGTCAAAAGTTGTTAATCCGGACTCGTCGGGACTTCAGCGATTCCGGATTATGGATTTTTCTGGATTATAGGATCGTCAGTTTAAAATCTGGTAAGATGGCATGCAGAAAATTATAAAATTAAAAATATGAAATCGTAATTTATGAAATAATGAACATATTTATGATCTAAAGGGTATCAAAATTTACAAAAAAAAAAAAAAGCTTAATATTTATTTGTTTACCTTTATTAAACATTTCTTTCAATGTAAGTTGTTTAAGTTGCTTCAGTTTTATTGTGATAATACTTTCTCTTTTAATTCTATAGAATGGACATAATTTCTTGTTTCAGTTACAAAGTTCCGCTCTTCAAGTCTTGTAATTGCTGTGCCGAGAATACTGACTAACTTGTCAATCGAAATTTTTTCGTTTTCACTAACCTCTCTGTCACCTTCTTCATGTCTTTATCCATTTTTTTGCAGAAATTCCACTTTTTGTTTAATGGACATTGAAACATACTTTTGTTTTATAGATCCTTTGGGAGCTCCAGCATCGGAAATTCTATTTGACATATTCAAAAAGTTCAAGTTTACTTTTATAAAATTGCTCTTACAGTCTGCAAAAAATAATAAGCCGGATCCAATTCGAAGATTAAGGAACAACGCAGTCATCAACATTAACTGAAATAGATAAATAGATAATTTTAGCTTATACCGTCCGTTATACATAAAACACGCACGTGAAAACGTATTCTGCACTTGCGCACAACCATATGCGCAGTTGTAATGGTCTTACGAGCACGTGTAAACGCCTATGCGCATGTGTCAACGTGCCGCATGCGCAGAAAGTTTTTAGCTTTGAGGTCCGAATTAACGACTTTTGACTGTATATGTATGTATTTGTGTAATTATTTTTATTCATATGTATATATGTATCTATCTGTGTAGATATATAATGAATAAGTCCTAGCAATATCGATGACATAGAAATGTAAATTGTGGAATCTGTAATTAACAGCAAATTTGGCAATTGAGGAAAATTAAATATTCATCTTTATTTTAATTGACATTTGCAGCCACAGTTCACTTGACTATGTCTATTCCAAAGCATTTAAATTTTTGATAATGTTGCGATAGGAAGAGAAAGCAGCACACCTGTTGTCTTAACGGCAAGAGAAGTAGAAGTGTGTGGAAAAAAAGGAACAGCGTAGCATGAGCGGGCTATTTATAGGGATGCAAAGTCATTGTCTAGAATCTAAGCAGGGACTGGTCACGAATATTTGGCGTAGAGAACACTACAGAGGTCAGATTTTAGGAGGATAAGTAATTAAATCTGAAGAAGAAATTTAAAGGGCTGTTGCTAATTACGTTAGCAATTTATTAGTGATTTATTTTCTTATTGTATATTACACACACACACATGTATGTATATGTATTACAGTAGCGGAAATTTATATATATATGGTCATTCAAAACTAGAGGAATGAACTTCTAGTAAGGATAGGTAACGACTTGGATTCCTTTAGCAGTGTAGGGTCCAAAATGCTGTCCTAATAACTTAGGTGGGATATTAGAGGCTGTTGCAAGAAAACCCTCAACAACCACTTGGGGAAGTGTTAAAAAAGAAAATGTGAATACATCATGTTGCAAACTGACATTTAAAGATCATAAAAATAAGTCCCGACTTTTCTGATGATATTTTATAACATAGCAGTTTCGAAATGGTGCATATTCATGGCTATGACGAACATCTGACCGATGCCAGTGTTCAAAATGCCCAAGATTCCATTTGGTGCTAACATTATGAAACTTCAGGCAACTTTATTATCAAGGAAGTCACAATTTATTTTAAGCTTATGGTCTTTAAATGTCAGTTGGTGATCAGGATGTATTCATATTTTCCATCCTAATAACTTTCCAGTTGGCTGTTGACGGTTTTCCTGCAGCAGCCTCTAACAATCCCTAGCTTATTAGGATTGCATTGCTATGGGATTGAGTCATCTAGGTATAAACTAACCCTGTAGAAGTTTGCTCCTGTAATTTTAATCCCATATATATATATATCTAGTTAGTTAGTTAGTTAGTTAGTTAGTTTATTTGCATTTAAAACTCCATGCTATTAGGTTCACAATTGATATATGTTAGAGATGCATTTTTTATTCTCTGTTTTGTAGGTGAAACTCCACCTTATCATTATGGTACGTTTTATTCCTCTGCAATGATTGTTGCATCATACCTTGTAAGAATGGAGCCATTCACTCAACATTTCTTGCATTTACAGGTAATTATAAAATATTTATTTCATTGCATTTAAGGATGAGATGAAAGTAAACATCATTTTTAGTAATGTAAATAAAGTTTTTATGCTTTTGAATTAAAATTGTCATACAATGTACAATTTTTTGTTATTAAAAAGGAAGAAAGTATTTAGATACTTGTATGCTTTGTTTTTGTTTTTTCACTCCCCATCTTATTTATTAGAATGAAATCAGTATTACAATCTTTTTTTAAGGTTGAGCTAAATTTTTTTCAATCATAGAAAATGTCTATATTTCTGATATGAATGTCAAATGTCAATAAAAAATGTCATTTTTCTAAATGCATAAATAATAAGTAGCAAGATTAGGTTTTGTTTCTGTGCTCAATTGAAATGCACCAAGTTTAAACTTGCATGTCTACATTTTATAGAAATTAAGACCAATTGTAAGTTAAATTTAAAACATAACTAGATTTGATCCAGATCTTATGCTTTAAGCAATGTATGTTACAGTTACAAATTCACATGAAGGCTTTATTTTTGATACAGAGGCACTTTATTTTACTAAAATGTATTCTACACAAATTTGAAAGAATCTGTATATAAAACTAGTTACTTTTGTATTATCCCATTGACCATGAAAGTTGGAAATGATCCTGCTACATTGCTGAATTCTGAAGGAACTTTTGCATCTTTATTTAATAAACAATCAATATACACCTATTTCATGAAAAAGACCATTTTATTAGCCTCTCCCTGTCCAGTTTTGCCGGATGCTCTATTTAGAATGCTGTGAATTCTCACAGATAATTGCTCCAATCTATTACTGTATCATTGGCTATAGTCAGATGACTATATATTGTCCAGCAATACCCCCTTTTTTTTTTTTTTTTTTTTTTTTTTATAGTAGGATCTCATAACTTTGAAAATAATCCATTGCTTGCTATTATATAGAAGACTCCCAAATATATTATATATATTTTGATTGCAAGAAAAAGTACAATAATAATAGTCAACATATTTATGATCTTTGTTCAGAAAACAACATGCTTTATTGAGAATCAGCCAAGATTGTGTCAAACAAATGTGCAGGTGCTGTGGGTGTGTTGTTACGTCACCCTTGCTCATATTTAGGGCTAAATGGTGCTGCCTGGAAAGAGTTCCACAGTTGACAGGATAATAGACATAAGTACCTGTAAAAGAATTTTATTCTAGTGTTTAGAATTAGTTTGAGTAGTGTTTCATTATTAAAAGGAAATTTATTTATTTATTTAATGTTTCTTTACTAAAAGGAAATTAATTAAAGAAAATGGAAGGTAGTAATTAGCATTATTAGAATTCCCTTCACTTACATTTAATGGTAAAAATCTCATTTTTTCCCAACAAATATAAATCGAGTAAACAGCATGGGTTTCATTACTAAAAGGAAATTCATTAAAGCAAATGAAAGGTAGTAATTAATGTTACTAGAATTCCCTTCACTTGTATTTAATGGTAAAAATCTTATTTTTCCCAAACAAATATAAATTCAGTAAACAGTATGTGGAATTTAAATTTAAGGGAGGGGAGTTTTAAAAGTGATATGGGATAATTTTCGGCTGCACTAGGGAAGTACGCCTCATATTAATGGTGAAATCACCATGTTTAATGGAGTATTTGGCTTGCTAATTGAAAAGAAAATTCCATTTCATTTCCATTGTTCTTTATCATTCATAAGTAAAAGTGAACTATTTTTTATGTAAATAATGTTAAGAAACTTAACATTATTTCCTCTCTTCATTATCAGTCGTATTTTACACTTATATGTGTATTTTATTTCTGTATTTAAATTAACCCTATTGTCATTTTACTCTCTAATTTTATGTATATATATTTTTATAATGTGTCATTAAGTTATGTGTAAATAATAAACGTAACTTTTTACAATGTTCATTATCTACACATTACTTCTTATTGTTATAAATTATGTTATGTACCATCAAAATAGCTTTTACATTTGCAGAAAAAAAAATTAATGCTCCTTTTAGGGTGGTCATTTTGATCTGGCTGATCGAATGTTTCATAGCATAAAAGATGCTTGGCTTTCTGCTTCAAAACATAATATGGCTGATGTGAAGGAGCTCATACCTGAATTTTTTTATTTGCCTGAATTCCTCTTGAACTCTAATCATTTTGATCTAGGTAAGAGAAATTGTTCTTCTTTCTCCCCCCCCCATGTAAAATAATAAACAAATATTTTTAATTGAGTCTTTTTGAAATGTTTTTGAACCTTAAGCAAGCTCTTTTTGTAAGAAATATAATTATATATTATGCTATGTTCTGTGTTTTGATATATTACTTGAAATTTAATGTTATGCAGTCCACACAGCATGTCAATTCTGTATCATATTTTCTGAGTAGTTGTTTATTAGTTTTTCATTTATGTTTTAAGGTTCATTAAAACTAGTTGCATGAATAGCCAGTTTGGAATTCATTTAAATTGTCCTCAAAATTAACACAATGCAAGAGCAAGCTGTTTGAGAAATATTGGGTCATATAAGACATCTCCATGCTTTTTTGGTACATTTTTTTAACAAAAATTTTCTTTATTGAAAATTTATTTTAATCAAGTACATATTGACCATTATTATCTATGACCTTTTGCCATTTTTCGGGTAGCTTCATGATTCCATTGGTGTAGAACTTCTGTAGTTTATCGTCGAAAAACTTGGCCAAGTGATTTTCAGTGGAGGGTCACTGGCCTTTGACCATGATCGCTTGCGTTTTCACCCATTTTTCATCACCTGTGATGATTCGCTCCAAAAATGGTTCGATTCCATTGCATTTCAGGAGCATTTCACTGATGGTAATCCGGTCAATCAAATTTCTTTGTGTTAATTCATGTGGCACACAAAGATCAAGCTTCTTTTTGTAGCCTACTCTTTTCAAATGGTTCCAAACTGTCATGTTGATGATGTTTAGAGACTCCGCTATTTTCTGACAGCTTGCGTGCTGGTCTTGCTTCCCAGTTGCAAAATTTTATTGACTGTTTCGGTGATTGGCTGACCAGAGCGAGGGGCATCTTTGACATCGAAATTTCCGGAACAGAATCTAGCAAACCTGGGTCCTTGGTTTACACACAGCATTCTCACCGTACACTTGACAAACTTTTCAGCATGTTTTTGCAGTATTTTTACTTTTTTTATAGTAAAAAAGCATTACATAGCATATTTCTTCAGATATTTCAATCAGTTTCAAATTCATATAACTTTTTACATGAGCAAAAAATTAATTTATCTTTACAAACAATGAAAGCTGAATATCACCTTTTAAGCACATGTTTGTTTGAGACAATCGGTGAGCATTGCTGGATTTTCAAAATCTGTGCAAACTAAGATTACTTTTTTTGCCTGATTTTGAAAGTTAATTTGCATTATATTTTTTAGGTTCTAAGCAAAATGGAGTGCCTTTAAATGATGTAGTTCTTCCACCTTGGGCGAAGGGTGATCCGCGAGAGTTCATTAGAGTGCATAGACAGGTGCTTTGCTTTTCTGCTATATTCATAAATTGTATGGATTTACTTATGAAAATATTTTAATAATTGAATTTTATTTGTATCCAAATTGGGACTACTGTTAATGTTCTTCAAATTATTAGGCACTTGAATGTGATTATGTTAGTGCCCATCTCCATGAATGGATTGATTTGATATTTGGCTACAAACAACAAGGGACTGCTGCCGTTGAAGCTGTCAATGTCTTTCACCACTTATTTTATGAGGGAAATGTCGACATATACAGCATTGATGATCCTCTTAAGAAAAATGCCACCATTGGATTTATAAATAATTTTGGGCAAATACCTAAACAGGTGAATTTAATCATTAAAAAAGTTTAGTTATATTCATAATTATTAAAATGTCTAGTTATTATTCAGTATTTTGTGGTATGGTTATGTTATTATTCACAGGGTTGCCACGCTACCTGGAAAACCGGGAGAACCGGGAAAAGTCAGGGAATTCGAAAATTAACCAAAATATTCATGGAAAAGTCAGGGAATTTAAGTATTTGTGTCAAAATCTGGAAAAGTCAGGGAAGTTCATACAACGATCCCGCCAAAAAAAGCGATTTTTGCGCCGACGTCGGAAGAGGTAACTTTTTTGGCGAATTATGTATCACGTTTCGGGTAGCTGGCATAGAGCCAATTTTCGCAGCTCCAATTTGATTGTCTTTTAGAAAGGCAAAGCAACTTTCCCGCAACTTTTGGTTTCCAATATTCTCGAGAATCGCATGTGCAGTGCATGAACTAAAGAAAGTACCTGTTCTCGTATAAAACAAAATGGGTTTAATCCTAGTATACGGTACCATGGAGGTTAGAATCAAAGAATATGTATTGTAAAGAAGGAAAACCTCTCTGCAACAGACGTGGCTGTGGCTCCGTTCCATCATAGAGGGAAAACAGCTGTGCATGTCTGATATATCTGTTGCCAAAGCTCGAAACCGGTGTCGAAGTTCGAAGGTCACGTTATCAAGAGTTCATAAAATGAATATCGCGAAGGTCACGTTATCAAGAGTTCATAAAATGAATATCGTTTAAAATTTCTTTAACCACTTGCGCTAAAAAGACGTGACACGCACGTCAAGATGTTTTTGTCTCAAACCGCGAGCGACGTGAACACCACGTCGATAAGCATTTATCGCAAAAATGAAAATAACGTGGTGCACACGTCGCCTAACAACGAGATTGTTTATTTCTCGAGTTACAGCTCTGGATTGCACTCGCAGATGCGGAGCGGCGTAAATGAGACACTTTACGGCTTGTTATATTGTAGCGCACGGCACCGCAACCGTGAAGTTTAGTCTTAGCGCAAGTGGTTAAACTCTAAAGGAAAAGAAAATATTTTTTGGCCGCAAGTAAATTAATTCATGGATTAGTTATTTTCAGGGAAAAAAAAAAAAAAACTACGAAAATCCGTTTTTAAAATTATTGCGAAAAATCCAAGAAGAAACGTCCTTTGATAAAACGTTTCTTCTTGGATTTTTCGCAATAATTTAAAAACGGATTTTCGTAGTTTTCTTTTTGTCAAAGAGCGTTTCTTCACGTGTTTCTCAATTTCCTGTACACATCGCGGAGAGGGAAATTCTGCCACCAGGTTCCGTCGCCAAATCCCTTGGCAAATTTTCCCTCCGCATTCTAGGGGCGTAATAGCATTTTACTTGTATGGAACCTTTTCTTCTTTACATAAACGTTCTTTGGTTAGAATACTAATGGGATTTGGCGACATCTTGATGCGCAGTAAACGGGTCATTTTGGTCTTGGCGACAATTTTCAAAATCGTGCCAAAGCCTTACTGTATAGTACTAGAATTTTAGCGCAAAATCTTTTTAAACCTTTTTTTTTTTTTCTTTTTAATAAATACCTTGCCATTTTGCAGTAAAATAAAAAAATAGTAATCAATCATCTAGGCTAGCCATGTAATATAACTATATTCGCTAAAATATCGTTGATTATTCTAATTCAATTTTTAAGTAATTATTTTATGTTATTCATATAATTTAATGTTGCTTCTTCCCTCTAAATTTATTTATTATTAGTAAATAATATTTCCAAATTTCAGGAAATTTTCTCTGGCATAATCCTGAAATTAATTATAGCAGTATGATGACATACCATCACGAAATTTAATGCACATATTTTTTCCTTATGTATGCTGCGAAATAAATATAAAATACCTCAATTTATTAAAATAGATTTCTTTCTTTTGTTTAGCTGCAGAATGTCTGCAAAAAAAGCCTTATTTTATTCCAGATTGGGAAGATTCTAATCTCAATCTTCAGTGGGAAAACAACAACTATTATAATTATATTTGTGTTTTCAAGTGTTAAGGTGCCTTTTAAGAACATACCTCACGCAAATTAAATTTACCTAAAATCTAACCTAACTGTTTAGCATTGTGTTGTGATTTATAAGGACCGGATTAGCCTCGTGTTGAACTGGTGATGATCATGAGTAATAATTAAATAAAACATACATTTGTTATCCAATATATATATATCTTAAATTTTATTATGTTTCTTAAGTGGAAAACTGAACAAAATTATCAAACAAAGTATACCAAGAATAAGTAAGAATAAATGTCCTCTGGGATTTATTGAATAATTAAGTGAATTTGCTACACAAGTAATACCATAATTAATTTACCTCTTAGCACAGCCAACGTACATTACGCGGATAGACTGGAATTTTCTTGAAACACACCTGGAAAACCTGGAAAAGTCAGGGAATTTCATTCTCCTGATTGAGTGGCAACCCTGTATTCAGTATTTTATGGTAAATTATAGTATCACATTTTTCAGCTCTTTGTTTGGAAATAGTTATTTGTTGTTTGATTTTTACTGGTTGAAATTGATTAAGAAGATTGTATGATTTCTCATTTTATAAAAAATTGTGCTGATGTAATAATAACAGCTAAAAATTTACATTTTAAAATAACCTTCTTCTTCAAATAATAACAAAATTTAAAGAACTTTGAAATAATTTTTTTTTATTTGTGTCATTTTCAACATAAAAAATGCAAATGAAACTCATGTATTTAGTGAAAAATAATCCTGTAAAAAAAAACTTGATTTATTATGCAATATTAGTCATGAATATAGGTTTATAAGCTATTTTTTCCTGTTTATGTATGAGTGTAACTGTCTGTAATGTGACTTTGTAGTTTGAATTTATGTGTAATGTTTTTTATTTTCATTTTTAGCTGTTTAAAAAGCCTCACCCTTCAAAAAAGATAACAAACCGTACCAGCATAGTTGACCCTGGGCCTATAATGCCTGGATTAAGTTACAGTTTAGATAAACTATTTTTTCATAATTTGGATAATTTAGAACCATCAAAGCATTCTGTTAAAGGTATTTTATAAATTGAATCTTTGTAGTTAAAATTAATTTATTTACTTTGATATTTCTCAAAATATATTCTCTATAATGATTGGTTTGAGTATCCATCTAAAATTTTACAATTTCATTTATATTTTCAAGCCTGTGAATCTCAGTAGCTAAAATGAAATGTATTTACTTGGTATTTCTCAAAACATATTCTTTACAATTATTAGTTTGAATATCTTCTAAAGTTTTACAATTTCATTTATATTTTCAAGCCTATTTTTAATTCCTACCATTTTTGCTAGTGGGACTTGTTTTATAAAAATATTAATCATTATTGTGATGGATTGTTGATAGATTATTTATGTAAATTTATGAATTTTTAAGGGTGTAGAGAATTAATTTATACTGTGTACATAATTTTCACATGTTAAGAATTTTCTTAAATCATTTCTTCTGTAGTAGTCATTTCTTATGCGTGTAGTAATTCTTTTTTTTTTTTTTTTTTTTCCCTAAACATAAGAAATGTGTCTTATATTAGTTACTTCAAAAGACAAAAAGCTAAAATGACATATTTTAATAACTTTTAACAATAATACTTACTTTGAAACAAGAATACTCGTTTAGGAGGTAAGAACAGCACATTTAATTTAAAGATAGTTAGTAAGCAACAATACCTGCTAAGATCTATTCAAATGGGTTTTTTATCTTTATTCTAGGGTCTCAACATGAATTTACTTAAATATGAATCAAATACAAATAAAACCACAATGTACTCTTTCTCAGATATATTAAGTTAGCATATATATTTCTCTAGCAAATTGTTTGGCACCTGTTGCTCTTTGGGAGAAATCCCCCCCCCTCTCTCTTTCCATTAAAACACATTATTTCATTTTCGTTGTGTGTGTGTGTGTGTATTATATTTGAAGAAATTAAATAATGAAGAATCTGCATAAATGTATGTATGTTTTCACATTGTGATAGAACAATGGTACCTAGAGCCATCCAGTTTTGAATGATGTCATCCTGCTGTGAATATGGGCATCTGAAAGCCCAAATTTGAAATTTGGAATTTGTTTTATTATCAATTTCATATTTTGTAACACTTAAACGAATTTTTGATTAACAAACTCAACAATTTAAAAGCGAGCAATGGCAATACGGTGAAAAAAAAAAACTTTTTATCTCCAGCGCACGCGCAGAACTTTGTATTGGAAATTCTAAAGATATACTCATTTTAAAATTATTTGAGACATTGCTGTTGAACTGAGTTTTATGGTTTAAGTGCAAAGAACATGATATTTATTTAATAAATAGAGGTAAACGTTAAAAAAAGTCCCTTTGGACATAATTTAAAATCTGAAACCTTTCAGATATTTATTTGATATTTTGTAGAATTTACTTCTTTTTTTTTTTTTTTTTTTTTCTCTTAATTTATTTAACGAAACAGAATTTTTTTTTCAGTTGGGGCCTGTCAACTACCTTTCAATTTTGCTTTGGCGGGCTTGCAATTTGAGTTTGAAACCACTATCTTAAAGCACATAGAGTATTATATTTTGATTTAATACCTGTGTAAAGTGTAGCCTGCTTCCAATGTGAGATGTATGTGATATGTTTATTTTATATGTTTGTGTGTATATATATATATATATATATTGTTTTTAGATCTCAGAGGACCTGTAGGTCATATAGTTCATCATGAGAAATCGCTACTAGCAGTTGAGCAACACAAAATTTTAGTTCCTCCAAATTATACACGATATGTTGCCTGGGGCTTTGCTGATCATAGCATTCGTATTGGGTCATACGAAACAGACAGAGTTCATTTTGTATGGGAGGACACTCCTGCTGGTGAAATTTTCTGTTGTGCCTCTCCTAATGATAAAATTATCATTACAGCTGGAAAAAACACTGTAAGTATGGCAATATTTTTATTCTGGACTGAATATTACTTATTAGTCAAGTAATTTACTGTTAAGTAATATTATATATTTCATAAAATCTGTGTAGATTTAATTGCTATTTAAACTGTTATATCTTCTTAAAATCTCTTCATATCTGCAGTAAAAACTAAATTTTACAGAATTAAGTCAAACACTATATTCGTACTTAAATTTTATTTTTTCATATTTGCAGTTAATATGAAACATTATAATATAGCATTAGACAGGTTTTGTAAATTTATATTTACATAATATGAATAGAAAGTATATCAGATAATTGCATGAGAAGAATATTTCTTTTGATGATATTGTTCCAAACTTGATATGTATTTATATTTTTAAAGTATGTTTCAAGCATCATTCTGTGTGTTAGAAAAACCTTACCTTGTGGCTGTATAATATTAGACTCTAAGAGGGTAATCTCCCCTCTTCCTCTCTCTTCATTAAAACATGGATTATTTGGTTTTTTAGAATATAATTTTTATATTTAAAAAATTCTTCAATGATTAAAATGATTTGTTGACCATGCTATGACTTCAAAGAGCTTTTTGTTTAAATTTTTTAATTTTTGGTTAGAGTTTCTGTTTTATAATATTAGGTTTTATTTTAATTGAAACTTATTAACTCACTTATTAACTTTATGCATAAGTTTAAAAATATAAAATCAGACTTTAATTTCATTGTTTCTACATATGAGGGGCATCTAGAAAGTAAGTTACCCTTATACGTACAGTTGGCAAGTTATGCTGTCGCAGAAAGGTGGTGTGTGTGTATGGTTTTGTGGCATGGCAATTCCTGATTGCTTGCAGTAACATCACTGCAGTGACCATAGAAATCGGCTCTTATTTAGTCCTCTGCTGCTTGAGGTTCAGTTCTTAGCTCTGCTCTGATATATGAGCTGGACGTCATGAGCATGAAATGGTACAAAATTGTCCAATCAGCTTTGAGAAGATCAACAAAATGGGCATGATGAAGTGCACAGTAAACAACTGTCAATCATTATGTATGACTCTGTAGAACAAGTGAGCTTTAATTTTTTTAAAAGCTTTGTATCACACTTACAAAACTCTGAACCTGTTGTTTGTGGCAATAAATCGTCACCGAACACCTGTCTTTCCAGAAATTGTGTGCGGGATGAAGCCAAAGTAGGTGATATTTGAACACAAAGCAGAGTACATGGTCTGCAGTAGTATCTTGATAAGTTTCTGGACTAGTCCACTACTAGCGATGAAATATGGAATGCACACTTTGACTCAGCAGCCTCAGTATACTAGAATCATAGTAGATTTGTTATAAATATAACTCAAGCAGGTTAAGTTGGGACAGAAAGCAATATATATGATATTCTAGGACTCATCGAAGGTTCAACTCAATAAGTTCCTAAGCAAAAGTGAAAGCTTGAACTCAGGTCCTTACTGTGAAAAAAACTGCTATGGGCAATTCAAAACAAGCAATGATGTGCACTCAACACTGGCCAGATTTATCTTGTTGAATGGTAATACTTGATTTCGTATTGCTTATTACACAATAGATCTTTTGAGAAATTCCAATGGGAGGTATTCAAGCATGTGCTGTATAACCATGTGATTTCCATCTTTCTTTCACCTTAAGGTGTTCCTGTCCAGTCAACAATTTTAAAGTAACACAGATGTGCAAACAACTATTGCACATTGGTTCTGATGCCAGACAGCAGAATTCTGCAGTATGCAGATATAAAAGTTGGTCCCATGGTATGCAAATGTCTTAATTGTGGCTGGAATTATGTTTAAAAGTTGTTAATCAGTTTTTATATCTGTTGCAATAAATCCTTCCGGGAAATTACATTTACTGTACAGTTTCTGAAAAGCTTATTTTCTAGATGCTACAAATACCTCGTGTAAAGGTATGCACAAAAATCATGTGAATGGAAATAAAGAATAAAAGCCTAGAATTTGGTAAAAATTAAAAAAGAGTTCTTGGTAATAATTATAAAGTTACTGAATTTTATAAATACTACTGTAAGTTTTCATTTAAATATTGCAAAATTTCATGAATTAATTTTCTGCAGATAGGAAAAGAAATTTTAACTCGAATTTTGTTTGGCATCATCAAGGATAAGACTGCATATCAGTCTTTATTATTTTTCTTTCAGCATTGGGTCATAATACTTTACTCTTGAAGTCTAGGCTAATAATATTAATTATATTGTTTTTTGGCTAAAAATTAGTAAAAGTTCTAGCTTTTATCATTCTTTGCATTGAATAAAACTAATAATCAGTCATTATATTAAATTAAACATATATTGACTTTATTGGTTGGTGATAATATAATGCAAGCGCAATTTTATCCCATTATATTAATATGTAATTGTGTAGGAATTGTTTTGCATACGCTTGATATGCCATCTTCCTTTTATTTTATGTGTTAAGTATTCCTAAAATTTTTTCCAGATGGTCACTGTTTGGCATTATGATAAGAAAAAATTAACAATTAAAAAGAATTTGTATGGGCATACTGAATCCGTCACATGTCTTGCTGCGTCCCGTGCGTATAACTTAATCGTCAGTGGATCTCGAGATAGAACCTGCATTTTATGGGATCTCAGCCGACTTGTTTTTGTGCGACAGTTGCTCGGCCATCCTGCTCCTGTTGCAGCAGTTGCAATCAATGAAGTTACGGTATGCATAAATTTTATTTAAATGAGAGAATGTTGTAATTTTTGTAGAGAAGAAAATTATAAAAATAAATAATTGAAGTAAGCACCTGTTTTGTTTACTTTATTTATTGTTTAAGCAGTTAGATTTTTAACTACTCTTGAAGTCAGTTTTAAATTAACCATTCAAATCAAAGTTCTGTTGAATGAAATGTTGCATTTAAAAGTAGTTTAATTCAAGAAATGCATTTATGTTCAATGTAGTTGCAGAGTATTTATTATCTAATTAGCTACTTGATTATTATTTTCTATTCAATTAAATTTTCAGCTGGAAATATGATATTTTTCCCTTTTTCTTAATTTAAACCCTTGTTGGTATTTTTTTAAAAGCACCGCAGTTAATTTGTGCATGAAAATTTCTTTAAGAATCTGCTTGCAAGTATTAAAAAACGTGCTTTTGCAAATCTGCCAGAAAGACTCCAAGTTTGCGAGAACTCGCCAAATGTCGCCGAGACCCATCAGGAACTAATTGCCCATACTTGTGTTCTAATTGAGCTATCTTTGCAATTCCAGTGTTGTTGCATTCAGAATTAAAAGATCTACATAGGTTTTTTTTTTTTTTTAAATTAAGGTCTGATTCCTGACAAAACATAAACCATCGTAGATTTTTTCAAAAACCTTTTTTATTTAATTCCTTACTTACATATTTCTTTATTTTTTTTTACATAGTTTCCATATTTGTGTAAACCTTTTTAATAGCTTTTTAGAAACTTTTATATGTCTTAACGCACAGACATCTTCCTCCTGGGAGAATAACTACTCTTGAACTGCTTCTTTCATCTTGTCATCTTGACGAAGCACTTGCCACTGTGAAACTCCTTTAGGAAGCAAGATGAGATAAAATTACTCAGCGCCAACTCTGGACTGTACAGTGTGTGATCTGTTCTGTTCAAAATATGTCTGTTCTGTGTCCATTCAAAATATCTGATCAGATTTTGGATATGAATGGCTAAATGGTGTCTGTATTTTTCATGTAGTTACGGTAGCACAGTAAGCGGCTGCATTTATTGTTGTTGCTTGTTGCATAAACTCGACTAACAAAACTTCATGTCTATCCCAAAGTATGGTTGTCATAACCTTGCGTATTGAGATTATCTGCTTGGCCTTATCTCTGATTAGTGATGCCATGTGAAGCCATTCCATTGACTGACAGTGCTGTGAGATCATGTGAGAAACCCACGTCTTGTCCTTTCTGACAATCCTCTCTAAAAATTTATCTCTTTCCTTGTAATATCTGTCTAAAAAATCAAGAGCTCAAGTCATTCTTTTCATTTGATGTTCTTCACTAAGCAGCCTGGGAACCCAGTGTGCTCATAATTTCTGACATTCCAACTTTTCAGAGACAATTTTAATGCAAAGTTGTTCTACCTACATTCGAAAATTCCAATGCTGAAGTTTAAATTGTGAATCTTCACAAATCTTTTCATCCACTGCATTGATCAAATCTATGATTGCTGATAGTCGGCTTAATCATGGTTCCTTGTGGACATTTTCCTGTTTGTCTTTGAAAGCTCTCATCCACTTTACTCATTTTGCTGTCACTCATCGCACTGGAGCCACAGGTTGCTTACCTGCCGGCGAAGCTGCACATCTGAAATGCTCATTGCTGTCAAAAAAAAATTAATAATGGTTTGTATTTCACAGTCGGCAGGCTGATCAATTGTTTATTGCTTTAAACATTTTGAACTGACACTGTACACAGCACACTGAAACTATGCCAATGCAAATGGAGTTGTTTGATGAACAAGGCATGCCAGGACTCGCTGCGCATATACGTTTCAATATCCGTGTGACATTCAATTAGCTATCGCAATGCAGACCTTAGTTTCCGAATAACCCTAGTATAATTCTATGTAACAAATAAAACACTTAAATAGAAGACATAGCCACAAATTAGATTAATACAAAATAAACCCAAAAATTATCTATCTGTAAACAATAAATAAAACAATACAAAGCACAATAACAATAGAGGGATACAAAACTACAATCAGAAAGAATTTAAATATTTGCAGTAATATATATATGAGTAGATAAAGATGAAATCTGAAATATATGTTTTAGAATATTTTTGAATTTGTAAAGGAAATTATGAAATAGTTTTAGTTGTACATTTTTTTCATTCTTGAATCAGTATAATTTTCAAACTTTAGCCAAAAAAAAAAAAAAAATACAAGGCATCTTTTTATAATAAAAAGTTAATTTTCAGTTCAGTTCTAGTCTGATGTTGTTGCATTGTTGATGTGACTTATCTCACTTGTCTGACAGTAACATCAGCACAAGCCCAAGAAATTCATCATGGCAAAAAGTACAAGATTGCGCCTGTCGTTGGCAAGAGCCATGAGTACAATACAGGTGACTGTAGGATTTTTTTTATGGAGAATACCCGGGGGCTGTGGTTCCAAGGGTTGCTCATTCTTCTCCCCCTACCCCCAACCTCTCAAGAGGAGTTTTGGCTCACTGCACATTTAGAATGCCCCCCATGTCGCACAAGCACATCCATGCCTTCCAAGCCCTTTTGTATGGCAGTCAACGTCATTAACCATTATCCCAGTTGGGCGGCCAATTTTAGTCTTCCTTGATAGAAAGAAAAAATGTTTTATATAAAAAACCATGGATTTACAAATTATGTTATTGAAGTTTTTATTGCATGCTTAGCAAGGTTTTCATTATATATATCAAATAAATGATTTTAGAAAGTTTCATTTTAATAATTTAGGTAATGAGTAAGGAATTAAGCTAAGCAAGTTTCTTTTGTTGCATTTTGAAAATATTTTTATAGGGTGACATAGCAACATGTGCTGGGACTCACTTGTTTTTATGGTCTATCAATGGTGATGAAATCGCCTCTGTGAACACTGCAACAGGTAGAGCGGACAGAATGCAGACAATTCTATGTGTGGCCTTTTCATATCTGAACGAATGGGATAATCAAAATGTTATTATGACTGGCTCCAGTGATGGTGTTGTTCGTGTAAGTTAATTGTTTGTTTTTGGGGTACTTTTTCAGTTTTATTGCATATTCTTACAACATACCTGTTTTGCTAAAATACCATTGTCACTCTTGAGCATGATAAGCATGTGATTTTTTTTTAACCATTTTAGTCTTGAAGTATTTATGTGCAAGTATTTTAATAGAAACATTAAAATATCGCAAAACTCTGATATACAGTACAAAGTCTGAGACGCAGACTCGTTGGGGCTTTGAGATTTAGGATTTGAAAATTTTCTGGACTTTTGAAATTAAAAATCTGAAATAGTTGTTTATATCATAATAAAGTATTTATAACCTGAATTGAATTAAAATTTGCAAAAATTGTAAAAAAAAAAGGCTCAATATTTATTTATTTGCTCAAAGGGCATTAACCCAAAAGGGCTATTAATTTCGTTTTGGTATTTTGCATTGATTCACTTTTCAAACTGTTGCCACCAAATATTACAGCCCTTTAAAAAATATTCAAAGAAATTAAATACTGAAGAATCTACATAAATGTATATATGTTTCTTGCATAGTGAAAAAAACGGCACCAGAGCCATCAAACTCCGAATAACTTAGTCCCCCACCCGACAGTGGGCACCTGGAAGCCTGAGTTTGGAATTTGTTCTACTGTCTGTTTCATAGTTTATAAAACTTTAACGAATTTTAGATTACAAAACTCAACGATTTCAAATTGAGCAATGGCAACACTGTATGAGAAAAAACATTTTTATCTCCAGCGCACAAGACTGTGTATGACAAATTCTAAAGATATGCTCATTTTAAAATTATTTGCGATTTTGCTGTTGAATTGAATTTTATGTTTTAAGTATGAAGAACATGATATTTAATAAATAATGGTAACACACAATGTGTATGACAAATTCTAAAGATATGCTCATTTTAAAATTATTTGCGATATTGCTGTTGAATTGAATTTTATGTTTTAAGTATGAAGAACATGATATTTAATAAATAATGGTAACACACAAAACATTTAAAAAAACTTTGGTCTATGCTATCATCGGATTTGAGTGCAATGGCAATCATTTACGAACTATTATCAATCTATTACAAATCCGTACGCACACAACAATATTATAATTAATTAATGTATTAAAATTGTTTTGAATGTGTTTTACAAAACAAAAACAGGTAAAGAAAAATTCTGCTTGCGTTTTATGAGTTTCTGCAATTTTTCTGGCCACATAAGGTTTTAAAAAAAAGGTTTGTAATTTATGATTATATTTACCAATTGAATAAATACAACTAGGCTTGATTTATATACATATGTGTGTATTGAAATTCATTAATAAAATTTTAAAGATTTGAAATGATTAAATGTCTATTTAGACAGTTTGTATTCTTTAAACTGTAAATGCAAACTGAGAAACCATTTGCATTTTTTTCAATAAATCCTTTTACTTAAAGTCCTAAACCATATACAGGTATGGACTAAATATTTTATTATTTTTACTGCTTATTTAAAATTATATACTTTATAGAAACAAGGATGGGTTTTGCAAAATACTGAAAGGAAAAATGATTTGAAATGAAAATGTGACTGAGATCATATTTGTTTTAAAGATTTTAGATAAAAGTGTATTTTTATTTTTTTCTCAGAAACTAATTCATTAATTGCAAAATCATTCCTATTAAGAACACTCTAATAAATACAGTATTAATTATTACTCTAATAAATACATTATTAAAGTTATTAAGAACACTCTAATAAATACAATAAAAAGAACTGAGGGAGACATTGAAAATTGTAGGAGAAGAAAAAACATTTTAATTGTAAAATTTTTCTTCAAAAAATTTAAATTAAAAAAAGTTACTAGCAAAAACTTTTTTTCAGCTTAAAATTGTCTCACAAAACCATTTAATAATATTCATAAAAAGTAGATGAAAATGCTTAAATAAAAATTTTTTTTTTTTTAAATCATTCAAAAGGTACCGAGTCCCTTGTCACGTTGAAGCCGATATGCACTTGTCTTAACTTTAGTTTTAATTTAAATGATATTTCTGGAATACCTAGCATCAGATAACCTTGCCTGCATTTGTCTATAATTTCCATATAACCTTGTCTGCATTTGTCTGTAATTTCCGTATCTTGTACAGTTCTATCTAATTTTTGGGGGGATGCTATCTCATCCCTAGATGTCTATCAGCACGATTGTTTCGCTGACAGTCCAGCAAGCAGTAACTAAAATTAAGTTAACCGCGTAATCGCGCAGTATAGTACGGGACATCTCTCCATTTGCCCTGCTCCCGAGAGGTAAGGAACATTCAACCAAGTTCTACCTCCAATTCGGCGAGACAGTTAATGCTTGTCCCATGTGAACGGGACACGTTGGAAGAACCAGTTTTCGCTACCAGTCGAATCTGCTCTTGTGAACATGGCTTTAGATACTAATTCTCATGGTCGGGACGTCTGGATATTAGATCATTCTGCATATTGGACATCTGGATTTCAACACTTTGTACAGTATAAATATTTGGAATAATAATATATTGCCTAATTATCAAACAAAACTTAGTCATTTTCTGAAATTTGATGTAGCTATTATTTTGGACATCAGTTTCTAAATGTTATTGAAATTTCAATAAATGTTGTCTTTAAAAGTTCATCTGGTAATCAGTATAATTTTAAGCAGAGTTTAAATCAAATACTTTGTAAAATGTTTAATATGGTCAAAGATTATTTCCATAATATTTATGTAATAATCAAACAGCATTTCCCCTCTATATTCTGTAATATTTTTATGCATTTTCTAAAATGTTCTATTAGTGCTAAAGAAAATAAAAGTTGAAAAGTTTTGAGTTGCACTAAAACAAAAGGTCAAATGAAAGTACCTAGATGAAAATGAACAATGAAGTATTTCAGAAAACTTTAATTTACTTCAGAGGAATTTCACGCTATACAGAAGAAAACATGCTCTTGAAACTTACGTTTTTATTGTTGCATGAAGTTTTACAAAATGGGAAATGCTTGCTGGAAGGTTATTACTCTAACAATGGACTAAATGTTACAAGAATTGTAAAATTTTATTTTTGATTTTTTTTAGATGTGGTCTGCTGATTACGTTCAAATACCAGAGGATACTTTTCTGCATTCAGAAGAAAAAGAGAGTGAAGATTCATCAAAGCAAAAGGCTCCAGAAAACTTGGCTGAAACTCAACCTCCAGCAGAAAACAAAGCTGCAGAAATTGTTCGTAGAATGAGTTTGGCTGGTTCAAAAGACCTCAGCGAACTAATGCAGCAGAGCACTCTATGTGCTGATCGCAAGTCACGTTTCACTAAGAGTGCCTCGGGTAGCTCTTTATCTGAAGAGGAAAGAGAAGGTTTGTAAAACATTTTATGCAGTTTATATTAAAGAATATTTTTCTAATTCTCAATATATTTCTGGTAAGTTTAAGCAACTTGTATATTTCTGCTTTAATTGTTTTGTCATGTGATAAAAGTACAAGGTCTATACCCAAAGTTTGACAACAGTCAAGTTAAATTTTTTATTAACTAGCATAGTTCATCTAAACTGCACCTAATACTGTAGTTTTCCTCTATATCTGTCTGTGATAATTCTTTTCTTCATTGCAAATAAATAATGGATATGAATTACAATCAATGTACCTGTGAATTCGTGTCAGAAGAAAGATCTAGTCTTTTTCATATCTGTAGATTGCTTAAGGTTGTTTAGGAAGATAAAATTGCTTTGGCAAAAGCTCTGGCATGGATGAATGAAGAAATTTAAAGAGGAGTAATTTAGCATTGAAGAAAAAACATGGAATGGAAGTTATCAAGTACATGTCTGAATTTTTTTCAAATAAAATTAGAAAATTTGTTTCAACAATGGCACAAAGGATACAGTTCCAGCTCGTATTCAGACTTTTGAGTATTTCAATTCTTAAAAATTTTCAAACCATCTGCTATTGCATTTCTAAGTATAAATGAAAATTTGCTGCTGTTGTAAAATATGGATCTAAATTTATCTTCTCTTAACAGACTATCCATTTTTCAACTTCTAGTTAGAAAGTTGAGTAGCCAAATTCAAATCCTAAAAGCTATGGAACACTGGCAACTGTTGCTAAGAATCAGTAATATTCAATTATGTCTTATACACCCCCTTTTCTTTTAAGTAAAACTAATTTGTATCTTCTACATGGAATAAGCATGGCTGAAGAGTAAAACTTGGTAAATTAACCAAAACTTTATCTATTATTGAAAATTAAAATAAAACTTCACTCTGTGATTGATTTTGTATGAAATAAAGCAATGGTCTGAAAGTGACAGCCTCAAAACAATTTTATAGGGGCACACAAATTCATTTCTTGTAAATTATTTAACATTATAATAGCAAGAATTTGAAGAAAGGTTTAAGATTTTTGTTAGTCCAGTTTTATATTATTTTCATAAATTAATGTGTGTAAAGCTCCAGAAAATCTACAAATGGAACTAATTAATTTACCCTGTGATATAAATCTTATTCAGAGATCTGAAAATACTGACTTGAATAAAAATTTTTTTGTGGTTGTCAAAATATAAAGACCCACAATTACGAATTTTTAAAATAAGAATAATTGCCTTATTTAAGAATACATGTATATAAGAACAGCTTTTTTCCTGTGATTGAAAATTAATGAGCTCAAAAAAAAAAAAAAAAAAAAAAAAAAACAAGCCAATTGAGCATCTACAATTCATTTCTCCGAGGTTACAAACTTTATCAAAATCAAAAGTTGTAGTAACAAAAAACGTTTATTTACATACAAGTATATGTACTTTTTCTGTTTGTGTCAAAGTAAAATTTAATAAAAGAGGAGGTTCATAAATTCTCATTGTTTATTCTCAAGTTTTGTCCCACTTGGAAAGGTTTTTTTAATAGTACAAACTGTAACCAACAGAAATGTCTTGAAGATCCCAACCTTTAGATTTCAAACAGGAAATAAGTACAAGTTGGAATTTTTTGCTTCGCATCATTATTATTACTGTTAATGCATGTTTTGATAAATATTTAGTGAATAAAAATTAGTTAAAAAAACTTTTCATTTTGGTAAGAATAAAAATAATAATAATTGGCCCATCAGCTGACTCCAGATCCTGTATTCTACTCATGTGTAACTTGAATTTGAAATAAAACTGAAGTAAAGGATCTCAACATTCAGCAATTTGATTTTCTATCAGTCAGTTGAAACAACTAAGTGGTAGAAAATTAAAGTAATATCTGTATAATAACTGTGTTTCTAATAACAGAAAGCGGTAATATTAATTAAAATTTACAAAAAAAATGCTCAATATTTGTTCATTTGTTTGATTAAAAATGTCTTTCAATGTAAGTTGTTTAAGTTACTTCATTTTTTTGTGCTAATATTTTCTCCTTAATTTTATAGATAGACAATTTCTTGCTCAGTCATGAAGTTCCATTTTTTAAGTTTAGCTGTCAATCAAAGTTTTTTTATTCTTAACTACTTTTGTCACTTTCTTCACTATCAGTAACAGATCCTGCTGGAATTTCAGAATTAGAAACTGTTTTTGACATAACCGAAAATTCAAGCTTTATTTTTCATATGATGTTATAAGAAAAAAAGCCTGAAAAAAAAAATTGTAAGCTGGAGAGGTTAGAAAGTTATGGAACAATGCAATTTCCTGTGTTAACTAAACTTTAAATTCCTCAGTTGTGTCTTGTTTTAGAATAAGCACTTAGTGTTTAACTAGCATAAGCTATATAGTATTGGCAATGTATCATGAGCTTGGAGACTTATTATTCCATTAAATTTTGTCGTACTTTTATTCCATGCTGTAAAACCTGAAGTATATTCATTTAATTGTTTATTAGACTTAAATCTATTTCCTGCTTATATTTATCCTTATCTGAATCATGAATAAATGAATTTGCTCATATTGTTAAGATTTAGATGAATAACAAATTAGTTATTTTTAATTCAAACATTACTAAATGTAACCTTTTGGCATGTCAACATAAAAGTAACTTGTGATGTCACCACCATGTTGTTTGGTAATCAGTGAAAATGAAAAAAAAAAAAAAAAAAAAAAAAAATTGTTTTAGGTATCACAGTGTGAGTCATTTCTCAAGCTGCTATGAGTTAATAATCACATGGTGATGAAAAAATAAAAAAAAAAGCAATTCACCAGGTTTTGTGTCAGAAGTACATTTAGTAGGTATAATATCAGTGATGAGTTATGGTAGAATGTATCACTTTGAGATGTGTGTCAACAAAAAGGAGCTGTATAGCCAAACTGTTTATTATATAGATTTATGCTAATAAATTATTGCATTTTTTTCAACATGCAAAAATTTTATTTAGTGAAGAAGTAAATTTAAGAATCAAGATGATCCACATGCTTTATTATGAAAATATGTCTACTGTGCATGTGTGAAACATTAAGCATATTCTAAAAAGAGTCACTATTAGCAAAATCTAATTTGTTTTCTATTTTCTGCAAAAAAAAAAAGTCTTTTTTAAAACCCATCTAAAACATTCGATGGATCAACTGGAGTCCTGGCTATTAGTATTCAGATTTCAGACCTTGAACTGCATATATGTTTGTTGGATTAAATTCACCTGACATGTGCATAAAATTGGAGAATTTTGTTAGTACTTTTTAACTTTTTGAAATTTAGTACTACAGTCAAAAGTCGTTAATCCGGACTCATCGGGACTTCGGCGATTCCGGATTATCGATTCTTTTTGGATTACAGATCATCAGTTTAAATCTGGTAAGATGGCATGCAGAAATTACAAAATTAAAAATATGAAACCGTAATTTATGAAATAAAGAACAATTATGATCTAAAGGGTATCAAAATTTACAAAAAGAAAAAGCTTAATATTTATTTGTTTACTTTATTAAACATTTCTTTCAATGTAAGTTGTTTAAGTTGCTTCGTTTCATGTGATAATACTTTCTCTTTAATTCTATTAAACAGACATAATTTCTTGTTTAGTTACAAAGTTCTGCTGTTCAAGTCCTATAATTGCTCTGTCGAGAATACCGACTAATTTGTCAATCGAAATTTTTTCGTTTTCAATAACCTCTGTCACTTTCTTCACTATCGGAAGCGAATTGTAATGATAAGGAACTTGATTTAACCTTTTAACTGTCATGCCCGAGATTATCTCGGGCACAGCACTGGTGTTCGAAAATGTCACGCCCAAGTATTTCTCGGAGTAATTTTTTTTTTTTTTTTTTGAGTGCATCGTATTGTCATACCCGAATATATATCGGGAGATGTTTATTTCGGCTACATTTGGTTTTTCCAATAAAAAAATTTGACAATTTGTGTACCCAAATCATCAAAATAACTTGACAGTTAAAGGGTTAAATCATATCAAAGACGGAGTGCATCGAGATGAAATACCACATTTAGTAAGGAATTATAAGCCAAATAAAATAAAAACATCTGTCCTGAAGATAAGGATAGTGCTGACAGATCAACTTCCAATTCATTGTACGCTGCGGCGTCCCCCCCCCCAACCGCAGAGCAGCGCGAAATTGATAAACAGATTTCGGAATGGTTAAGAAACAAAGTCTTTATCCATTTTTTGCAGCAATTCCATTTTTTGTTTAATGGACTTCGAAACATACTTTCGCTTTGTAGATCCTTTACATATTAGTAAATATATATCGGAAATTCTGTTTGACATAATCGAAAGTTCAAGCTTACTTTTATAAAATTGCTCTAACAGTCTGCAAAAAATAATAAGCCGAATCCAATTCGAAGATTAAGGAACAACGCAATCTGCAACATTAATTGAATTAGATAATTTTAGCTTAGCTTATACCGTCTTTTATACATTAAACGTGCATGTGTAAACGTATTATGCACATGCGCACATGCATATTCGCAGCCGTAAATGTCTTACACGCACGCGTAAACGCGACGCATGCGCAGAAAGTTTGTAGCTTTGAGGTCCGGATTATAGATCATGACATGATAGACATGTGTAATGTGGTGTTTCAAGTGCTTGTTATTAAATGTTTCTCAGGGTAGGCATGTGCTTACATATCTCCCATAAATTGCAAATTGCAAGTTTTTTAGAATATCAAACAAATTCTTTATAATCAACCGAAAATGCATAGTGTTTTCATAGTTGCTTTTTAGAGAGGTTATTGTTAAAATTTTTGAGAGCATATAATTGAAATAAAGAATTCCGTGTTCATTAACATGCCTTGTGAAAGTACTTATCAAACTTTGCTAGTCTATCTCATTAACTATCTGTTTACTGTTTTGTTCCTAAGTTTAACAAAAACATTAGTAATCATATATTATAAAAAAGTAGCTAAACTTTATTAAATGTGAAACTTTTATACATTTCTCTAATACTTACAGTAATTTGTATTCATTTTTTAATTAGATGATGATGATGAAAATGATCAATTTAAAGATAGTGAGAAAGAAGACAAAGCCGAAAGCCCTGTAAAGACTAATGAAATTCTAAAAGATAACCTCATTCCAACTCAGATTCAACATTCCAAAACAGTTGTGGGCTTGCATAGCAACAGCAGTGAAGTTAGTGTGGAGTCAAGTGACAAACCCAAAACAAAAAAGCTTGTTCATTCTGAACATTTTGAATGTCCACCAGAGCAATACAGCAGTTTTCAGCGTTGCAGCACTGTGGGACCAGAAGTCACAGTTACAGAAGAAGTGTCTGAAAGCAATAGTGGTAAAATGAGACTCAGTAAATCAGACACTTCTCTAACAGATTCCTTTGTAATGGTTTCTGAGAGTGAAGCTTTGGAGAGTGAAAGGATATTGGATGGCTCCATTATCCGCAACAAAAAGAAGAAGAAAGTTCTTAAAGATGGTAATCATAATATTTTCTTATATAAAGGATTAAATGTAGCACATTAGTACTAATTAAAATGCTATTGTGTAATATTAATTTAAAAGAGGGGTGGGCAGTTGTACATAAAAAATTTTTAAAACCATGAAATAATAATTGTTATTATTTGTTACTTTCATAAAATTTATGTTCAAAATCAAATTATTTCCATGCTAAAACTTCATTTAGGATTCAGTAAAACTGAAGCATTCGTGTATTACCAGTCCATTTTGTTATTATTAATCCGAATAGTAGTCATCTTGTCTTGTTCTCCTCTCTTCATTCTTGTATTCAGGGATCAGTTTTTACATTTTATCTTGGGGTTGCTGTAGTTTTCAAACTAGCTTCTAGATGTGTAGGTGATTATCATTTTTATTACAACATGACTCACTTTTTATTTCAATGGCTTCTGTAATTTTATCCATTTGAAATTGAATCTTGGCTATGTTGCTGAAAAGACTTCTTGTCAATCTCCTGTATAGTTCAGTTTATATTTATAAAAGTACCTAAAATCTAACAGAAATAGCAGAATTGCAGATTGTAAATGAACTGAACCCAGCAGCAGAGAGGATATATCATTCGTATTCAAGTTGATCAGTTCTTTATTCAAACACATTACACATAAAAGCTCTGATTTTACTGACCTCATAAACATAGTTTTAATAGGTGAATTGGTTTTACTTTTTTATTCATTTCATTTATTCAAATTGTGTGAGCCAATTAATCAACAAGTTTTATATTCATACAGCAATGTATTTAAAAAGAACTAAACAAATAAAAAAGCCAAAAGTCTGTATTTATGTGTATTATATGTTACCTCTTAAAATTAGAGTGTGCAAATTGCTTGTGTAGTACAATTCTAAAACTTAATAAATTGCTTTTGTGTAATTTGAATGTAGGCTAATTTGTAACAGTATTCTATTCCTACAAGTATTCAGTAAATAATTTATTGAAAGACTACTGCTGTGGTGTGTGTTGAAATGTTTTATGGAATAATAGTAAGTTATTATTTAAGTAAATATTGACTGCAGAATTATTTAATGCATGCTCAGTCATCTTTTTTTAATATCTCTACTATCGCTGTTAGCATTGTCAAGACTGCAGGATAATTGATAGAAATAATTTAGAAATAGAAATTATACTGTGACATAAAACACTTTACTAATGGCAAATTTTTAATCCACAATATAGGGATTATTTACTGTAAATAAAGTTGGATTATCTACTGTAAATAAAGTTTGCAAGTTGAGGAAGTTATTGTTGATCACGTTAGATTTTTGACCAGACTTTTTAAAAAATGAGGGGGGGATTACAGAGTAGTTTGCCACTTCCTTTCAGTTTGTAAAGTAATATGTTATCTTTTTCAGATGATACAGGCATATTTTAGTGTATTAGCTGAATCATATTAATCAGCTTTGTTATTTTATGTAATGAAATTAACGAATTTTTGTTTAATTTTCTTCTCTTTAACTGTAGGTTTTAAGTGGCATTGCCAACTGGTATTTCGTAGTAAACTGACAATGCACACAGCGTTCGACAGAAAAGACAATACAGAGCCTGCTGCTGTAACCGCCTTGGCCGTATCAAGGTAAAATTTCTATAGTTGTATTAAACTTTTTCTTAGTTTGATTTGTATTCACTTCTTGTTAATCCTGTAACCTATTTAATCTAAATTATAAATGACAAATTTATAATACATCAAAACTTTGATATAGATTTTGCATGTAAACAGGTCTAAAGATGTAGATTATCAACATCATAAATATAACATAGACACTAAAAACTATTTTTTTAATTGTGTGTTTTATTTTAAATGATACCTCCAACTGTTAGGAAGAAACTGCATTTTATCATCGAAGGATTATTTTATTATTCTATCAGTCTGCCTTTTAGGCTTAATTGAGTTTACAAATATGAAAAAAACAGGGCTTATAAACCATGTTTTTTTTTAATTAGATACTGTGAGAGAAAACAATACTTATATGTGCATGAATAAGGAAATTAAATAGGTTAAGATGTTGATTAATTATAATTGTGATAGTTCACTATCATAGTATTTAATAAAATCACTATCACTGTAGGTCAACCTCTTTTTTTGGGGGGGGAGGGGGTAGATGGGAAGTTTTTTATGGTTTGGGTGTTTTTTTCTCGTTAATATGAGTTACAAATTAATGTATTATGTAAATTATCACTCGTATTAAATATAAAACAATTTTAAAAAACTTTTTTAATATATTAAACTCCAGGCCTGTTTTGTCTTCCTTTCAATGTAGCCTGTGATGTCCAGTTTCACTGATGTACTGATGGCCAGAGATCTATGTAGGATTTGACACAGTATAATTTTTAAAATTGTATAGCATCAGTTTGCAGTGACTAACATGCAGGGTTTATTTTCTAAAATTAGAAGTGTCAGAGTCCTATGGAAGACTATGAGGAATGAAGGAAAAAAAAAAATAAATAAAAATTAAAATAATTAAATTTTAATTAAAAGAAATATTAAGATATAAACAGACATATAATAAATCATTGATGGAATTAAAATTCCACCCTAAAACTAAGAAGGAGCTCAGCCAATCTCCATCTGAATTTAAACCCTGATTATATGATTAATGTACTATTTTAAGGGATGATGGATACAAAAGCATTCTTCTCCCACCCCACCCCACCCCGGCATATGAATGAGAAAAGATAAAGCATCGCTAAGAAGAATAGTGAGAATTCTATAAACAGTATGAGGAAATTTTAACAGAAAAATATAGCTTTGAAAATAAAGAAGGCTGAGTCCAAGACTTTCTGATCATAATGCACTGTCAATATGCCATCAAGCAGACATTTCCCCTGAATGTGAATGGATAATTGTGAAAATAAACCTAAGGCTGCTCTGTATATTTGACAGTAGTAGTTCTCACATTTGGTTAAATTGTTCAAAACATCTTCAGGAGCTCTGCAGTAGAAGTCATTAGAGTGGCATATGCATAACCAGGATATTCACTTTTAGTACTTTGTGGAACAATAAATTTATCCGCTGTGATAAATCCATTGCATATCTTGGAGAACAAGCCTCTGATATGTGGGAGAAGGCTTTTCTGTCCTGAAAAGCCTTCTCCAAACTTCTGCCGAAGGTTTTAGGGAAAGACAAACCTTTCAGAATTTAGAATCAATTTTTAAGGCATATATTTATTATTAAAATAAAATTTCACTGCTAAAATGTTGGTCCACTTTCATAAAGGAAGTGCTGTAGCCCTTTTATTTATGGCTCCAATACACTCCAGCTGAAATTATGATTTATCTCAAAAATTGAGAAGTACCGGAACTGGCCTTTGGTGGGCTCTGACACAGTTTAATCTCTGCTAACACGGCCTGAACAAAAAGTATATTGTCAGTCATTGTAGGATGACACATTCTGAATGGAAAGTATAGTGTCAGTTGGACGTGGTCTGTACAGAAAGTATAATACATATCAATCACCAGTGACTGACATGCACTTAATGTATTAATCTCAATGTACAGTCAAAAGTCGTTAATTCGGACACCCGTAATCCGGAATGATCTATAATCCGGACCTCAAAGCTAAAATCTTTCTGTGCATGCGCCGCGTTGATGCATGCGCATAGGCGTTTACGCGTGTGTGCAAGACTTTTACGACTGCGTGATGCTAAAGCAAAGCTTAAAGTTTATAAAATTAAACATTTAGCAGTAGTAGCAATAAAAACTCTCTGAGATAATATGTTGTGCAGACATTGAAGACAATAAAGAAGTTTCAACTTAACCAATTTATAGCAATAATAAAAAAATAAAAACACACAAAAAAAAATTAAACAATATCAAGTCCTTAAAAAAATATATTATAACCATCTTCTCAAATAATATTTTACCTGGTCTCCAAAAATACTGCATTAATACAAACAAATGTCCTAAACAGTAATTATGTGGTCTCAAATGAAATTGGCTACACATTCAATAAGTCCATGATCAAGGTCAAGAAAGCATGAAATTTAATTAAGTCCTTGAACATTAAATCCGGCCTAACCTCCGCTTACATTAGTTGAACATGAGAATCGCCGCCAACTTATTTTTAATGCCACCTTCATGAAAAACATGATGCCGCCACGGCGTCACTCACAGTACTTCTAAACCAGGAACTTATCAGCGACTGTACGTACCTTCAAAAGGGGCTGGAAACCGCAACCCCAATGCCAGGAAAGCAAACTAGAAGGGCTGAGCAGAGGACGCGAATACTATACCAGAAGTAGCATGGACGTCATCTCACAGCAACACAACTATAGAAAATTAAACAATCTTATCGAGGTATAGAACTAAAAATATTATAACCATCATCATCAAATATATTTCTAAATGAGTCTCCAAAAATACTGGCATTCAATACAACAAAATGTCCTACCTAAACAGTAATGAGTGGTCTCAAATGAAATTGGTACACATTCAATAAGTCCATGATAAAATGCGTAAGAAAAGCACCTGAATTAAATTAAGTCCAGGCAGAACGGAAAAGACAGCAACCCGACGACTACCACTCAAGAGGCCAGCATGCTCAGGGCAAAAAAGAAGCAAGTGGACGACACTCGAAGGACCCTAAGGAGACGACTGACGTCGATGAAATCTATAACGTGGGAGCAGTTCTGCCAGAAGAGGATGTCGGAGTTACAATCATCGAAAAATCAAAGATAAGTTAAAAATCTTCTATAACATTTTTTTCTTTTGTTATGCGTAAATACAAAGTTCTATGTTTTGACGGAAGTCAATGTGTCTCGGTTGAGATTTAGTTTTCTTTTCTTTATTTAGCTAAGGCAAAAGTATTATTTTCTTTAAGTATAAAATCTAGGAACAAGTAGTTTCTGTTGGTCGAAAGACTAATTCTGTTATTTTAAAGCCAAAATTTGGCCGAAGATAAAAATAACTTCGTATTCTTGTATTAATAACTACTTTAGTTTCAGTGCCTCCAGCTTGGCGAAGAATGAGTAAAGTAAAAATTTATTTTTCTCTTATTCATTTTATGGTAAATTGTAAAAATCATATTTATTAGAATTTTGTAAAGATACGTAAATGCTTGAAAGTTATGTAAAAGTAGAATTTAGTCTAGAAGCATAAAACTTTAAATGCTAAAAGTAAATGCTCAATAGCAATGAATTCAAATTTAAGTATTAAACTGTAGATAAAATCATGCTTTAGAGCGAAAGCCTGCATGTCTAAGGATAAATGAGAGGGAAGTTAGAATGAATGTGCTTTGCAGGGTTCTCCACCTAGACTTGAATTTTAAGAATGTTAAAGTAGCTCATCGAGTTGTAGAATGTCGAGTAAGGTGTGTCTATTTGGTCGTTGAATTCTAACAAATCATTGTGGTTAGGAGAAGTGTTGCAATACTAAAACACGAATATTCTCGTTTGACACCCACACATGGTGGAGAGCCAGGGTAAAGTTAAATTCATGTTTGAATACTTGAATGTATGTGCATTAAGCAGTAACTAAGGAAAATAAATCGTTCAAAAACAAAAACTTATTCAGTGTCAAGAAAGTATAAATTATAATGTATTTAGAAAGATACTGATACTTATTCCTTCCAGATACTGGAAGGAAGAGAACAGATTGATTGCTGAAGTCCAGGAAAGGTTGCTGTAAGAAGAGAGAATTAAATAAGTATCTACAGAAATTTGTTCTACCTTTTATGAGATAACAGATTTTTTTTTTATGTCAACGAGGCTCTTAAAATTTAGATCAGAATTGTGGAAACTTTCCAACAGGTCGTTTCTAGGACCTGCTTCCAAGTTTACCAAATTCTGGCAGCGGCAAATGTAGGGTTTATATTTATTTTAACTAACATTTATTTTAAGTTTAAACTATCTTTTCTGTTAAACCTTACTTTCCCCTGGAACACAGGCAAACAATCAACTATAGAATGATCGCTTTCCAGCTGACGTAACATCACGTTGTTTTGCATCTTAATTAGGTTGAAACACAGTCCGTTCTACACAACCGTGACAGTAAGAAAAAGAAGTAGAAATAAACTATATTTTACATTAAATAAGAACTTTCCCTTCATTTCATATGCAGTAAAAGGGTTACAATAAGTCATATTTTCCAACACTGCGCATATGCGTGTGCGCAAGCACAGAATACGTTTTCGCGTGCGCGTTTAATGTATAACGGACGGTATAAGCTAAAATTACCTAATTATCTATTTCAGGTAATGTTGCAGATTGTGTTGTTCCTTAATCTTCAAATTGGATCTGGCTTATTATTTTTTGCAGATTGCAAGAGCAATTTTATAAAAGTAAGCTTGAACTTTTGATTATATCAAATAGAATTTCCGATGCTGGAGCTCCCAAAGGATCTACAAAACAAAATTATGTTTCGATGTCCATCAAACAAAAAGTGGAATTGCTACAAAAAAATGGATAAAGGGATACACTTTGTTTATCTAACCGTTCTGAAATCTGTTTATCAATTTCACCCTGCTCTGCATGGGGGGGATGAACGTCGCGGCACGCAATGAACTGGAAGTTGATCTGTCAGCACTATCGTTATCTTCAGGGCAGATGTTTTTATTTTATTCGGCATATAATTCCTTACTAAATGTAGTATTTCATCTCAGTGTACTCCGTCTTTGATATGATTTAAATCAAATTCCTCATCATTATAAATATCACGAATACAAAATCAAATAGTTTTCTGGTTGCAATTTTCTAATTTTTTCTAATTTCGGCTATGCGTAATGTATGCTTTACGCATGTGAGCATTGGAAGAAATGTTTAATAAAGTAAACAAATAAATATTAAGCTTCTTTTTTTTTGTAAATTTTGATATCCTTTAGATCATAATTGCTCATTATTTTATAAATTACGGTTTCATATTTTTAATTTTATAATTTCTGCATGCCATCTTACCAGATTTAAACTTATGATCTATAATCCGGAATCGCCGAAGTCCCGACGAGTCCGGATTAAAGACTTTTGACTGTACTAATTTTAATTTATTAACATTTTATAGAAATCTTTCTGAGTAATTAAACATTCAATGTTTTCTTTTTAATTCCTTTTGCTTTTTATTTGTTCAAAACAAGCAACTGTTGTCCACAGCTGAAATTTATATTTAATATTAAAGCTTCTCATGCATTTTGTGAGATGATCGTAACGTATGACCAATGAATGTTAAAAATATCGTGGGTATTCAGATGTGATACTTTTTTAATCATGTTGTTAGAATCAAACTAAAATATATTTGTGTATAAGTTGTCTTATTTCTTTTTTTTAACAAATTATAAAAAGGAAAGTTCTCGTGCTTTTTCTGCATTTTTTTATTACTGGTTTATCTCTTCTAGTTTTCAATCATCAGTATAATTTTAAAATGCCAGAACAGAGAGAAGTATATTGAGAATTATTTCATTTGGAAGTTTGATGTTCTAATGTTTCATTTTAACAAGGTGGAATGAATATTAATAAACTGAAATACACACTGTACAAATATATAAGATGTAGTAGCAAACAAAAATATTAATGTGACTTTTCACTTCAAATATAAAAAAATATTTATTGGGTTGTACAAAATCCACTTTTGGCTTTCTTGTCCTTAAGATTAAAAATTATTTTTTATGTAAAGAAATTGATCAATAATGAACAAGTCATTTTGTTCAATATCCACTTGCCACACTACTGCCAACTTCATAGTTCTAAACAAACTTCTTAACTGCTTTTTTTTTGTTCTGAAAAAATAGTTTTCTAAAGGGGATTTGACATTGATATCTGAAATGAAAGTTTTACCCGACAAGAAGTTTCTTGAAGCTGAAAACAAATGGCAGTCTAATGATACAGTGTCAGGAGACTAGGATGGATGTGGTACCCCATCCCAACTAAGCTTCATTACTTTCTGGCAAATGACTGAAGATGTATGTGGTTTGGCATTGTCACAGTGGAACTGATTATCAACATGCAATAGTGGATGTTGAAAATACTGAATAATTAATAGTTTAATTTTTAATATTGACTGGAAAAGCACTTTTATAATATCCTCATTGCAAAATTTACGATACTGATACATAATGTACTGAATTCTTTAAATTATGGATTTCATTTTTAAATGTAAAATAAGGCTATATGTGTACTATCTATTAATGTTATAAATCTTGCATTTTGGGTTATATCCTTCCAGGGATCATAAGACAGTTTATGTAGGAGATGACCGGGGTAGAGTATTTAGTTGGAGTGTGACGGACAAACCTGGAAGAGGAATTGCTGACCACTGGGTCAGAGATGAGGGTGGGGATAGCTGTACTGCCTGTGGTGTCAGATTTTCTTTCTCGGAGAGAAGGCATCATTGTCGAAATTGTGGACAGCTCTTCTGCTCAAGGTAAATATATCATGCACTTGTTTTTTTTTTTTTTTTTTAATTAGAAATCACTCATTTCTACTGGTAAACTATTGGTACTTAATTGTTTACACAAACTGATACCATATTTGACCTATTTGTCATTCTCTGCCATATATTTACATAAAACCTGAAATCTTAGAAAGAAAGCCAACACCTGTTGCACATTTGTTTTAACATCAGTATGTGCAGGGCCCACGCTAGACTTCTTGCCACCCGATTCTTTCCTAAATTCTAACAATTTTGCCACCCAGTGCACCTGCACTGGTTGCGCATGCTGTGGTGTCGGCCCTGAGTACATGAATGCAGAGTGGTGTTATAAGAGCAAATTTTATTTCAAACACTTTAATCTTTGGTATGATCCTGCTTTAAAGCAAATGCTTAAGACTATCTACTAGAATTATTATCTTTGAAACTAACCAATAAAAAGATAAAAGAAAAAGCTGAGGCAAATGAGGAAAGGTAACTAAAAGGGAAAAAGATGGACAATTTTTCTTCAGGTGATTCACCACTGAGTTATTTACTTAGTTGAGATCAGAGGAGCAGATTATATGGATGATTCATATTTTCAATTATAAAAATACCACTGTATTCCAAAATATTTCTTTTAAAATGTACATTATGCAATATATTGGCACATTTATAAAAATTAGAAAATCAGTTATTATGAAAAATTCCATTTTACATTCGGAAGTTCACTAAAGTATAGGGCAATGAAATTTATGTAAAATTTTTCAAAAGTCAGAACAGGAACTTCCATTGGCCTTAGTAAGTTTGCATTTAGAATGTAACATTCAGACATGTTATATATGTATAATAAACTTAATTAATTTATATGTACAGGGTGGTCATAAAAAACTTCCCCTATCTATGAACTTCTACTGGCTTATCCTCTCAACCAATCGAAATTAAATTTCAGGTACAGTTATTTAAAAATATGCACTCAAGACTGTGATGATTTAAAACAGGGTTTCTTAAACTTTTTTCAGTCGCGACCCCTTTTTATTATCGAGATTCTTTAGCGACCCCCAAGACCCCGTAAGCATTGCGCAAATCCAACACACGCGTGTGTAAAGCAGTCAATGTTTTCACTTGTACTGTAATGTACTATTGCAGTTTTAGGTAATTCACTTTAATTTCTAATTTTAAAACATAGAACAATGTGAAAATTTTAAATAAGTAGCAGACAAAATGACAGCGTCCCGTGCAAAGCAAGGCAAATGAACGTTTATATTATAAAAAGAATGCGTCAAAACGTTTTCGTTTTTTTCTTTATCTGTATTGTCTTATCTTTATCAGTTTTCAGATGCATTGTGTAAAAATATTTTGGTAATTGTAAAATTAATATAATAAGTTAAAGAAATATCAAAACTGCTAAATTTTTTGGCGACCCACTGTTTAAGAAATGCTGATTTAAAAGAATAGAATTCTATCTTTTACAGTTACAGTGAAACAGTTTCTAAATTTACGAATGGCAACACCTGTTTTTTCCCTTCATTAATTGATCAGCGCATTGAAAAACCATAAACGGCATTGGAATGATACATATGTGGTACATTACCAGTTCAAGACATTTGCAAAGAAGAGCATTGTAAAGAATCAATGACAACACGAGAGAAAACAAAGGGAAAAACTTTTATTAGAATTACTTGTACAAGTTTTTAACATGCACGCTTTCACAGATGATAACACATTGCATTGTTGACAACAGTGACAAACATAACATCACATGAGAAATCTATATACAACTTCACATTTTATGAAATCTTTTAATTCTTACAATTCTTATGGATTTGATGTGTACGCTTTAGTTTTCAGGTCCAGAACCAGAAATCTATGGGAGTGAGGTGGCAACAAAACTGTTACGGGAGATGATTCTTATCTCTAAAGTGCTGTTACAGCAATTGCTGAACACATGTGGGGATATGTGGAGGGGCACTATCTTGCATGTATAGAATGTCATTAATTTCACATTTACTGTCGCATTTCTCTACTGCAGCTCTGGAAATTTGTAACCCTGCAACATTATTGCATACTGAATACTTGTGAGGAAGCATATTTTCATACCTGTGCGAGTTTCATAGCTTTGAAAAAGTATAAACCGAAAACAAATGTGCTTGCAGTGCCACACTATACATTCACTTCAGGTAAAGGCACTGGTGCCACATCATGAGGATTTTCATCAGCCCAGTGCCACATCCGCCATATCTTCTTCATATATGATGAAGAAAATATTTGCAAAGTTCCATACTGGGAGCATTAATTCTTGCAGTATGGAATGGACCTGAAATACATTTCCACAACAACTTCTAACAGAATACATGGTTGTCTGAATCACAGTCTTATCACATGGGTATCTAGTTTCTTCAAATCTTTTTCCTAAATCATGTATAGTTTTTACGGAACATGAGCCTTGCCTTAGCTTATGATTTTGGCACTGCTTCGGCAGCATTTACCCTGTTCAGATAAAACAGCTTTATCAATTCACCTTGTTGTTTCCTTGTAAGTGTCATTTTGTTAACAATTTTGAACACCTGACTGAAGAAACATCTCCCCACATTGCTTATTAAATATTTTGCACAAGCAGAGCTTTGCACTTGTTGTTCTGTGATTAGTGCTTTTGTTGTCTGCCCCTGTGAATTCTGGAAAATGCACCAATACACCTCCTCTCTGTTTTGTCATTATTCCTTCACAATGCTCTTTGCAAATGTTTTATGCAGGCAATTTTTTCATAGGTATATCATTCCAACACTGTTTGTTTTTCAGTGGGTGTTGCCATTAAAAAATTTCAAAATTTTTTCACTGTAACCGTAACTACAAAAGCTGTATTGTTTTAAATCATAAGAATTGCAAGTGCATATTTTTAAATAACGATACCTGAAATTTTCTTTCAATTGGTTGAGTGCGTAAGCCAAGAGTGTTCATATATTGGCGAAGTTTTTTTTTTTTTTTTTTTTTTTTTTTTTTTTTTTTGTGTGTGTGACCTCTTTAAATATATATTCTTATTTAAATCAAATTAAATCATATAAAAGATTATTTGGGAATTTACTGCTTTATGTAGTGTAAATCTTTTATATAGTGAATAATTTTGAGTTTACACCCAAAAGTTTTAGTTCACTTCATTCACATTAAAAAAGATTTTGATTAGTAATTAGCCCAGAACTGACTGGCAGCTCTCCCATTCTAGGGGTAATTCCTGTCACTTAAAAATTATTATTACAAAAATGGCATATTTATTTATGTTAAAATAATTATTTTACTTTATGAGTATCTAAATTCTTACTCTGTGTCAAAACTGAAAACAACATTTTTGATAATAATTAAATTAATTAAATATTGTTAATTTTTACATGAATTTTGTAATTTACATGATGGCATTTTTAATAAAATACCAATATGAGAGAAAATTATATCATTGTTGTATCTAATTTCCTATGATTAAAGGGCATTATTGCTGATATTTTCTTTGATAAAATGTGTGTTTTATTCACAGATGCAGTCGTTTTGAATCAGAAATCAGCAGGCTTCGCATACTGAAACCTGTCCGTGTATGTCAGGGTTGTTATAATATGTTGAAATCTCAACAGGATGGCTCACCAGCATCTTAGTAAAAAACCTTAGAACTTATAGTAAATAAAAGAGACTATTTTATTTAATAGCATATTTTTTTTATTTTCATCTGATACATTGTCAGATTGTGCTTCTCTACTGTCATATCCTAAAAAATAAAAATTGTTGATATATGTATATTTCTCACTATGGCAGCAAATCTCTGACTAGTGGCTTCAATGTCATACTGTGGTATTATGTGTGTCCTTGTTTTCTAATGTCATGTCATACTGTAAAAGGGTATTTAGTATTGCATTGGTTATGTCCAGGAATACTGTGAATAAAATCAAAATACAGTTCCGTTTTGCGATTTGATTAATCTTATTGTTTGATTGAATTACATTGAGTATTAAATCTGTAATTTAAATGTATCATAGTATTTATTGAGCTGTGTATTTATTATTATTTTTATTTTTTATAATTTTAATAATTAGAAAATAATTTTTTTATCATATTATGAGGTAGAATCAAAAGCTTTTAATATGATTCTGTAAATTTCATGCTCGCCATTTTTCATTAAAGTAAATGGCACAGGCTTATAAATGCCTTTGTTCGTTAACCCCTTTTCTTTTTAGGCAATTTTGAAACCTTAACTTTTCAAATATTTCATTTTAATATAATATTTTACACATATATATTGTATACAAAACAAAGTCTGTAATCCGAACTCGTCGGGACTTCGGCGATTCCGGATTAGGGGTTTTTCCAGATTATAGATCATCAATTTAAATCTGGTAAGATGGCATACAGAAATTATACAATTAAAAATATGAAACCGTAATTTATGAAATAAAGGTCTATTATGATCTAAAGGGTATCAAATTTTACAAAAAAAAAAAAAAAGCTTTATTTATTTGCTTACTGTATTAAACATTTCTTTCAACGTGCGTATGCGTAGAGCATACATTACGCGCTTGCGTAATGCACATAATGTATGCACGTGCATTCTTTTAAAGGCATGCGTAAAGCATACAAAAAAAGTTTGTGGCCTTTGAGGTCTGGATTACGGATCATTCCGGATAATGGACTTTGTACTGTATTATTATTCTATGACCTAGTATTGTTTCCTTAAATGCTTCAATGCAGCAGCATATTTGTTTCAAAAAATTTTTCCACTTATTATTATAAGCTCATGCTCATGCATATAATCACAGTCATCGGAATGCAATATGTATAATTCTATTTTGACTCTACCTCATGAATTTGAAATCTTTATATATATAAATTGCTCTGCTTCTTGAAAAATTTAAGATAGAATTCTAAATTTCCTTTTAAATTGAAGAAATTAAAGTTGAGAAGTGATTTTTATAAAAAAAATTTTACATAGTTTTAAATGAGTTTCTTATATAGTTTTAAAGCAATCATTTGAATGTAATGACAGTTTGTAATAGCAAAAAATAGTTTCTTAGATGTTTTTCTTGAAGAGAATCATTTTCTCAAATGTAGTGTAAATTATTTTTGAAAAAATCATGTACTTTTATTAAATTAATGTAAAATATTTTAGCAAGTATATTAGCATGAATTATTTTTACTAGTTTACTCTTCATAAGATAATTTTACTAAATCAGTATATGATTGTGTATAAAATGTTAAATATTGTATCTGATATAAATTAAGTGTATATAGATATTTATTTGTTTTATGTATATCTGAATTCTTGATGGTTAAATATATCAAATTTAATTTTTAAAAAAGGACACCAATACAAATCTGATAAAACTTTTACAATTGTAAGATTTTATAGAATTTTGTGATAGGACAAATTGTAAATCTTACATCACCTGTCATTTTTTTTTTCTAGTTTGTACTGCTTAGTGTATGTAAAATTATTCATACTACATAATCATGTGTACACAATATGTAATGAATTTAAGCAAATGTTAAACTTGTGTAAAGTGTAAATATGGCAGAATATGTTGTAGTAATATTATTTGAAAAGATTGTTTACTTCAAATAAAAATATAACTGAACAGAATTTAGTTTTTTACTACAGATTTAATCATTCACTGCATCAGGAAGGCAGATATGATAGAAAATGCCAAGCATGAAGTGAGAAATTACGTATAACTCGTCAGTTATGCAGTGGCGTAGCAAGCATAACTGGTGCCCGGAGCAAAATACCTTCGTGGCGCCCCCCCCCCACAAAAAAACTTTCAGTAATATAATATATAGAATATATTCGTAATAATAAAATGCTGAATCTGCCTTAAAATACTCAAAAATATATAAAGAATACTCACTACCTAACTACACTAGACTTGGATTCGGAAATGCATCTCTGTCAGCAGAAAAATCAGACATACGATGATCTAGAATTAGTTAAAAAGGTGTTACAGTCAAAAGTCGTTAATTCGGACACCCATTATCCGGAATGATCTATAATCCGGACCTCAAAGCTACAAACTTTCTGCGTATGCATCGCGTTGACTCATGCGTGTAAGACTTTTATGGCTGCGAATATGTGTGTACACATGCGCATAATACGTTTACGCACGCGTGTTTAATGTATAACGCACGGTATAAGCTAAGCTAAAATTATCTAATTCAGTTGATGTTGCAGATTGCGTTGTTCCTTAATCTTCGAATTGGATCCAGGTTATTATTTTTTGCAGACTGTTAGAGCAATTTTATAAAAGTAAGCTTGAACTTTCGATTATGTCAAATAGAATTTTCGATATATATTTACTAATATGTAAAGGATCTACAAAGCGAAAGTATGTTTTGAAGTCCATTAAACAAAAAGTGGAATTGCTGCAAAAAATGGATAAAGGCATAATCCTTTGTTTATCTACCATTCCGAAATCTGATTATCAATTTCATGCTGCTCTGCAGTGGCGGGGGGGGGCAATGAATTGGAAGTTGATCTGTCAGCACTATCCTTATCTTCAGGGCAGATGTTTTTATTTTATTTGGCTTATCTCCATGTACTCCGTCTTTGATATGATTTAAATGAAATTCCTCGTCATTATAATTCGCTTCCAATAGTGAAGAAAGTGACATGGAGTTATTGAAAACGAAAAAATTTCGACTGACAAATTAATCGGTATTCTCGACACAGCAATTATAGGGCTTCAACAGCGGAACTTTGTAATTAAAGAAGAATTATATCTATATATAGAATTAAAGAGAAAGTATTATCACATAAAACGAAGCAACTTAAACAACTTACATTGAAAGAAATGTTTAATAAAGTAAACAAATAAATATTAAGCTTTTTTTTTTTTTTTTTTTTTTTTTTTTTTTTTGTAAATTTTGATACCCTTTAGATCATAATTGTTCTTTATTTCATAAATTACGGTTTCATATTTTTAATTTTATAGTTTCTGCATGCCATCTTACCAGATTTAAACTGATGATCTATAATCCGGAATCGACGAGTCCGGATTAACGACTTTTGACTGTATTTATTTTACATATTTATATAAGTGTTTTTAAGCAAGTTTAATACACAGTATAGATAAATAGATATGTGGGAACTTGCCTACTACAACTGAACTCTGCCAGTCTGGTAACCCATAGCAACCAAAAACAAAATAATATTTATTCTATTCAATTGTCATAATTATTTAATGATCTGTCTAAAAAAATTGTACTTCCATAATTGGTGACCGGTATTTATTAGGAATAGCAACCTTCAATGTTGCACGAATATGGAGTTTATATGTCAAAATTCTGAGCAGTAGTAAGTTATCCAGTCTGATGAGATGCAAGTAAGACATTTCACCTGTCATTTCAAGCGTTGTGCCGCATTCGGGTGAGTCAACATATTTCTGTCATAATTTCAGCAAATATATGTATCATCTGCTGCATTTGAGGCGCCAATTTTACTGATTTCAAGTACCAAGAAACTGTGTCACTATATACATATTGATTATTTTTCTATATATATTATTATTGTGCATATTTGATTGATCTAAAGTGGTTGATAATGATGCTGCTTCACAATTGGCGTGAGTGGCAGTTAAGCCACCGCCCTTTTGTCGCCGAGATCTATCGTTATGGTTCATTTAATTGGATGCGCGTTGAGTCACATTACTGCCGACGAAACTCAATTTTATACAGCGATCGCCGCGTTAAGAGGTTATCACATATGGCTACAGTCCCTGCTAGACTGGACTTTTCTGAGAAACGAGATTCTGGTAGCACTGGTTTAAATGGGAGGATTCCTAGAAAAAAGAGCCCCGCTGGAAGCGAAGTCCCGCCTAGATACGGGAAAATGTTGCAGCTACGCGGGATTTTTTCAAACCTCACCGAAAATGTCTCGGCTGGACTTCAGTCCCGGGTACAGACAACTAGTCAGACGAAAGTTCTGCTTCTGAAAGATCACGTGATCCCAATTTGAGCGATAATCGATTAATGTTTGGCGTTCAAGGTCTTTGTAGTAAGTGAGAATGGTAATCTATCTGCTACGTGTGTTTCCTGGAATTGGGTGGGTTCTGAGAATTGTCCCTTTCAACGTCAAGTGACGCGTAGCCGAAACATAATTTGATTGGGATCTTAGAATCAGAGGTACCGCAATCAGCTCGTGAAATAATTTGACCGGCGACGGTCAAATACAAATCTTTAAAAAAAATTAATTTCTGTTTATGAAGAATCCGAGACAGTTAAAATCAAGCAGCTGTTGCACGATTTATAGTTGTACTCATATGAATGAGGACTTCTCAATTGCTGTCTAAAACAAGGAGGTCTAAAATGTCAGACTTAGCCACCGGTAACCTAACGGATAACATTCTTAAAACATTATGGATGAATAGACTCCCATCTAACATGCAAACCATTTTAGCGACCAGTAGCGAGTCACTTAAAAATCTTCCCGAAATCGCTGATAAAATTAACGAGCTGGTCATTCCAGCGCAAATACACGCTGTGCAACCTCCTGGTCCAGGTATTGTGGCGTTACAGGATCAAATTGGTGATTTCTCCAAACAGGTTGCTCAGTTAGCAGCCATCCAAGCTGAACCTTTTCAGGGCAACCGCTCCACATCACGTTGTCGAAATAC